GGGACTTGACACGGTATCTCTTTATATGACACAATAGTCGCCCGAGCCATATTACTACGCGATAAGCCTTTTTTTATTTTTTTATTTTGAAAAACAGAATCAGCTCGACTCTCTTAATCCATGTTGTAACGAGCCAACACTAAGCAACCACAGTGCAAGTCAAAGAGGAAATTATCTTACACTGTGGCGAACGATAATGGCTTGACGTGTGCTTTTCTACTTTATGGGATCCACACCATCTTACACACTCCATTCTCCGATAATAAAGAATAAAGTGTAGACGGATTGATCAAGGGCCCAAAGTGGGCCCTGTGTATACTTTTGATTTTAAAAATAAAGTGACTATGTGTAAGACCAATTTTAAATATAATAAAATAAAAGATAAATTGTAAATTGCACTAAGACTTTATGTGGTTTTGGCCAATCTCACTCAATGAAAAGTCAAAACACTAGTTTACATTTACACTTCCTTAAAATTTCAAAATTCATATTAATCCCTGAACTGTTAATCGACAAAAACAACCACCACTCAATATTCAGTAATCCCCTCCCACCCATCACCGGTCCACCGCTACAACCATCGCATCAAACACAACACACACCGCCACATCAAACACAACACACCATAGAAAGCCAAGGGTTTCTAGAACGACGACGAGTTGCAGTCGCCGTGGAAATCGTCGAGCACGATTGGCGGCGAGCAAGGGTGCCGCCTAGAGAAGGAGGGCTACGTCACGGCGGAGGCTTGGGCCCACTGAAGGACTCGACGGTGCTGTGTGGTTGATAAGGGCATCGTTAGGGTTTTCTTGGAGATAAGAGTAGGGAAGGATGGGAGAGAAGGAGAGAGCGGCGGCATTGTAGGCTCAAGCCGCATCCTCGGCGAAGTCAAAGGTGCCGAGCCAAACCCTAGTTTTCTTCCTGGGGTCTCTGGTCTCCGCCGCGAATCTGCCCCACGTTCTCTTTCTGACAACGCAAAACCTGATCTCTTTCACGGCGGCTGTCGGTCCAGATCCGTTGGTTTCTCGGGCTGCTGCTACCGCGGTTGCCCTGGCTCTGCGCATAGTCGAAGATGACCTATTGACGCTTCAATCGGATGTTTTTCCTACTTTGTATTGCTTTGTTTTTCTGGTCTCCGTCGCGAATCGGCATTGCTTGCATTGACCAGCCCGATAATCAATCCTCTGCTATGGAGAAAATGAGAGACTTTTAAGGTTTTTAGAGAGAGAAAGTCAGAGAGGGGAAGAAATTCCAGTCAAAGGTTAGAGAGATAATGTAAAACAAAGGTTATTTTGGTTTTTCAAAATTTAGTTTACAGTGTAATTTTTAGTTTTTATGTATTTGTTGACCAACTTAAAGGTTAAAATGGTCATTTTTTGGGATTGAGGGACCTGTATGTAAACTTTTGAAACTTCAGAGGCGTCGATGTAAATTAGTGAGGTTTGAGTGTGAGTGCAAATTATCCTAAAATAAATAAGGGTGGAGTGTGAGGGAAGTGTGCACAACAAGAGAAATGGGTCTTAAAAAAATGTATGGAGCCACCTAATCACAATTGTTGATGTGGCATTACACTATTTTAAAGTGTAAAATGTTTAAATGTGTACGGTGAATGCTCTAAGTCATAAGCTTTAGCCTAAGTGATATTTTGAATGTCTGTGTCTTTCAGCCTATGTGATTCACTAGGCAAAGACACCTCCATAATGTTCCCAAACTACCTTGATGTGTTGTTGCAGCCCTGGGGCATGCCAAGAATCCTTACTTGTATGTTCTTTCCCTGCTCCTTGGACTACAAGACATGTCTGAGAGGAAGGATGCTCTCATTGCTTGCCTTTGTTTAACGCCAAGGGTATCAGATGTATGACCTATCGCTGGTAGACGCTCCTTAACCTTCGTGGGTGATGCTCATCCGCGACTTGCTCTAATTGCCCAAGTCCTTATTTACAGAATTCCTTTTGAGGTCATCCCGGCCAGAAAATTTTCTGGTGCATTTAACATGGAGGATTGCATGTGTACAATAGTGAATTCTAGGGTGCTCTAAAAAACACAATACCATCTTTATCGACCAAAAACCGGTCCCAATAGGAAATGTTCTCCAAGCAATGAAGTCCTTTTGGACCTTATCTTGCATACACCCAATTATTGCAGTAACACATTCCTTTTTGGAATAACAGACCTCCATGGCCATGTCAATGCACCAATACTTTACATACCAACAAAAGTTGTGCCGACAAACACTGATTAATACAACAACATATTGCCAAAAACATTCAACAGCCTCTGAAGCCAAACCAAATCAAAGTTACCCATTTTATAAGAACACCACACTGAATAACATCTAAGTTAGAAATTTCATCAAACACCTTCAGAGCATCACCCAATTCTTGCATCAGAGAGAGCTTGTTGATTCAATACTTGTTATGGTGAAGGCCGTGGATGATGATGATGATGATGATGATGATGATGATAATGATGATGACGCGGATGATGGTGATGGCTTGAAAAAGCCCTTGAGTTGGAGAGCATTGTGAAATTTAGGTGGCATAAATTAACAGTTGGTAGTCTGTTGTTTCAATTAAGGGCTAATTAGTAAATTCCCATATGGGAGCATGTGGCGGGAAAAAATTTCTTCTCTCTGCCTCTCTTACTTTTTTGAATTTATATTTTTTTTTAAAATGACATGATTCATAACAAAGGTAAGGGTCAATAACAAAAGCAAATTTAATTGAGGTTATGAAATTAAAAAGAGTAGAATGGTGAAATAATAATCATATAATTAATCTCATAAAAAGGATCGATGGAGACAAACTTAGCTTTTGACATTACATAAAACAAAGTAACTGCTCACTATCTAAAAAGACTCGTTACTATACTTTTGATCTAGCAAGTCATGTTTTAAAGCCTAAACAGAAACATGGGCAAAAATTAACACCCAAACCTATTTCAAATTACATTAAAAAAGAGCTTCTCAATCCTCACATTGTGCACCCATAAGAATATTATCAGTTGAAACAGGGGATTAATGATTTAACTTCTCAAAAATAGATTCACTCAAGGTCTTCTTTAGAGGAAAGATTTTGAGGCTTTCTTTGCCTCATCTTGGAGGCGGCTTTGAGAAAATAAGAAATTGAACGCGGAGCAAACACACTCACGCATCACTCACACACTCACTTTGTCCTTTTAAGGACTTTTAACTCTCGACCTTTTACTTTGAAAGGTGAGAAAATACCATTAGGCTACATTACCTTCGGTGCCCTACGAGAGATTGATCAATCAATCAATGGAAGTTTTTTGCATATTCTACTATTGATGAATGAAAGAAAACATTTCTTGATGTACAGATTCCTTCTATAATCATCTCAAATTGATATACAAGAAAAATATAAAAAGAAAAAGAACACTAGGGCTTCATCATGGTAACTAAAATACCTTCACAGTTTTGTCATCAAACATAATCCACCTTTCTCACTCATGACTGGAAGCAAAACAGTAATAATGTAGTGCAAAGTGGCAAACCTTACAATCAGAAGAAATTTTAGTGAAGATACGTTGTTCTTGTGCCTTAAAATACAGATTATCTACAATCATATAGTTTACAATAGGAAATGCCTTTTTTCTCCCCTCTTTTACATAAGAAGAATCAAACTCAGCTCAAGTTAATTTCAAGGTTTTGCAATGGAAGAATCAAGGTTGCATTGTGAAGGAAAAATATGTCACAATAGAACAGGGAGCTTTATAAACTTTTGAGTGAAAAACTCAAAATGCAGATTTTAAAGTGACAAGAAGACCAAAGATTTAAAATTCATGAACCAAAAAGTGATGGTAAATCCACAGAAAAATCTTGAAAGCATATATATATATATAAAAGAAAAAAAATAGAGAAAAAGGTTCAATTGAAAACAAGGGTCAATTGTTTTTAGTCTTTTTTGACCTCTTCTAGCATAGAATGTACTAGTTATTGCTGAACGAAGAATGAGACATACACCGATGGTGCCTGTTATATATGATAGATCTCATATGCCAAAAAAGTCTAAAATGAAAACTATGCAGCTGCAAAGAGTATTAAGAGTTCATGCTACCAATCACTAGCTTTGACTTTCAACAACAATGCACCTGCAACATCCAGGCCTTTAATAAGATCTAATCTAGAATTCAACCTGTATTCTCATCCTGCTTGCCAAGCTGCTTTTGTTTAGCCTCACTTTCAACTCCCCTTTGATACTCTAAATTTTCTTCAACCCTTCCTTCCCGTGCTTCAAGATCAGTTCTATGCCCAAGTTCCTCCGATTGTCTCAATGTATCGGCATTTGCAGAAATATCACTGTCAGTATTTGAATGATCACCATCACAGGCAACAGGGAAGTAACTGGAGGAAGACAAAAGTCAAAATAATATTAACTCGACACGGCTGAATGAATTAGCAATTTACATTAAGAGTAAATATGTGATTTTTCTACCCATTAGAGTTTTAACTCCATTCATACATAGATAAATCTATATGCAGTGCATACATGAATGAACAATTTACATAAAGGATATTTATGTGACATACCAATATACCATTGAAGGGTGTCATGGTGATGGAGATACTTTGCTTCTCATCTTGCCTAAGCACATATAAACAAATTAAAAGTATTTTAAAATTTTCAACGCCTCTCTTTCAACCAATGAGTCATTAGCCCAATAGTATAACCTCTCTATAGTGGGCAATTTGTGAAATGTACCTAGCATAAAAAACATCTATTTCTTTTAATTTTATTGCAGGGAGAGATTGTTGAAGCATAAAATATTTAAAAGCAGTTGACGGGGTACACTTTGGATTCATATATATTGTGCAGAACAATCCAATAAGAATCTGCATTGAACCTAGAGGATGCTCCAAAAACTGTGATTTTGAAATCAAGGGTTACTTTCCTGACAAAGCTTGCAACAATGTTGACTATAATTAAAAGCAAATAAAAAAATAAAGTAAAAAATGTGCTGGTGGGAGAAAAAGGAAGACTTACACTTGTCCTCCATCCTTCTCCTGTAGAACATGTTGTTTGTTAAGACAAGCAGCCTGCAAATACAATCAAAAGCATATTAAACTACCTTTTACATATTATGTATAGCAACTATCACTTTGGTAAAATAAATAGAACCAACAAGATTTCAACCTTTTCGTCCTTCAGTTCTCTGAGATCTTTCTTCTTTTTTTTCTTCCTCAACATATTAATATTCTTCTCAGCATCAACCTCTGCTGTCTCAAATGCATCATTGGCATATCGATCCTCAATTTCCTTCCTAGTTTGATCCAGCCTAACCTTCTCCCTTTTCTCTATACATTCCCGCGACTCTTTCTCTATATGTTCAGCATCTTTGTTTGAATTAAGAATCAATGATGCTCGCTCAGTTTCTTGTATTGCTCCCGTAGCCAACTCAACCATACGCCTCAAGTGTAATTCTTTTTTGACACTGTTATCCTTGATTTTTTTCGCAATATGGAAATGTTCAGACGATATATCAAGGTTTGCGAAAGCAGATTCGCAAGCATTCAAAGCGGATTCCAATTCTGTGTCGGTTATAGCATAAGAGATTGAATCAAGTGGTTCAGAATTGCTCTGCTCTTGAGGGAGTTCATCGGTTGAATCGTCTGAAAATGGACGTTCCTGATCTTCTGAGGACAGCATGGGCGTTGATGGAAGAGATTCAAGATTAACTGAAGTACCAGGGGTGTCCACAGGATCATCCAACTGCCATTTCGACTGACTTTCAATCATTGTCATGGCTTCATGGGTGTCCATAGTAGTCAACTCACCTATTACACGCTTCTTAACATAAGATACCCGTTCCATAATACTCCGGAGTTCATCGATTGAACAGGCAGCCCGTGGCGTTCTGCCACCTGCAGCGGCATTCTTGGGTGGCTCTGGCAGTTTGGACCACCAAGAACTGTTACCCATCTCAACCGAACGAGCATCACCTTCCGTGGATACAACTGATTGCAAGTTCGATGAGATGTTCCCTCTAAGTTGCTCAAGATGACGCACATACGATTCTGAACCTTGGGTCGTCTCAGGACAGAACCTACAGGCCCAGAAAGAAAAATTACTGTTCCTCTTAACAAAACTTATAACTCGAGACAAATCATCCTCTGTTATGAATGCATCAGAGGAGGTTGAATCGAGTACTGGTTCAGTCTTGCTCTGTTCTTGAGGGAGTACATCGGTTGAATCGGGTACTGGTTCAGTATTGGTCTGTTCTTGAAGGTGTTCATCGGTTGAACTGGTAGCCGGTGGTGCTCTGCCACCTGCGGAGGCATTCTTGGGTGGCTTTGGTGGTTTGGGGCGCCGAGGATTGTTTCTTTTCTTATGTCCCATTCAAAGTTTTGAAGCTGAACTGATTTGAGTGATTATGAGAGAGAGAGAGCAAAATTGATGTATTGAAGATGAGATAGAAGATATATTGGTAAGGACGACGATAGGTAGATGATTTATGTGACCTTGAGGGGAGAGAGATGTAGTGGATATGAGATAGAAGAAGGAATGGTATGGACGAAGATAGTAAGACCACTTATATAAATATTTTGCCGTTTATCTGTCAAGAAGTAGTCTTTTGCAGAGTGTGTGTGTGTGTGTGTGAGAGAGAGAGAGAGAGAGAGAGAGAATTACTTGTACTAAAGATGAGTAACAGAAGGTTGTTAGACAGTTACTGTGTAGAGGGAGGTTCTTGAATTGAGTTATGGAAATTATAAAGGCTCTGTTTCTTGAAGTCAGTCTTGCGCTTGCACTTGATCTTTCGCGCTGGTTTGAAATGGCATTCCTTTTATATTGACAGTATATTCCTATAGAAGGCTTGGACGATTCTGTGTGCACCGTTTTGTCGGAAATTGTTCGGTGCATGTGAGACCGGGGACTGCAAGTGGGCAGTCGTGAATTTTCTGGGTAATTGCATTAATGCATTCCTTTTCTGAAGAATAGACCTCCATGGCCATGTCAATGCACCCACACTTGGAATGCAAAAGATGTAACTTTGAAATTTAACTATAAGAACACGACCTTGAATAACATCTGACTTAGACATTTCATCAAACACCTTCAGAACATCACCTAAATCTTCAAATTCACCATAAAACGCAGTCTGCACGTGACCATCAAAGAGAGCTTGTTGATACAATAGTTGCTGTGGTGAAGGCCGTGGCTGATGACCACGATGAGGATGAGGACGTCTCCGGCGGCGAAGACAGGTTGAAAGGCCTCGAGTTCGAGCAGCATTTTGCGAGGGACACACACCGATTAAGGGTCAATTAGTAAAGTGTATGTTTAAGGACCAAATGTAGCCTCAGTTCGTTGCCAACTGTCAATTATACCCTTGTTTTTTCCTCTTTAAATTCATTTATATAATAATCTCTCTATGTGATATTATACATACACACACACATATATATATGCCTAAATAAATATTTGAATATAAACATATATTTTTAATAGAATTACTTTTTCTTTTACAATATGTGGATGTAAGGAAAATATAAAAATAAAAAGGTTTTCAATGAATTTTGGAAGTGCCAAATGTAAGTTCTTTATCAAACTAATCCTTAATAATTATTAAGAAAAGACCAATAAACAAGGTTTTTCAACAAAATTTTGGAAACCTCACATGTAAGTTTTTTTTTTTTTTTTTTAATCAAATTCATCATGAATAAATAATCATTAGTAGGGACCCTAAACAAGGTTTTTTGAAAGAAAAAAAAAAAAGGTTTATGCACCAACATTAAGATCATTTTAAATCCAATTATATATGTATATATACACGCACATATTACATATACACACCACGGTCATTTTACACGGATTGTTAAAACGTTTTTTAAAATTGTTTTTTGTTCCTTTTTTACCCTCTCTATTTTGTCTCTCTTTATTGTATTTTTCTTTAATTACCACCGCCCCCGCCCCACCCCCCTTGTTTTTTTTTTTTTTTTTTTTTTTGGGGTATGGGTTACCAAAAAACAAAATCGGATATTGCACATGTCGTTGTTCAAGCCTTAATTAAAACATTGACTTAGGATCAGTTACTTTTTAAAATGCAAGTGTCTAAATCTAGACTCATCTCCATCTTTGAGCCCTTTTAGTACCTTATACAGGCAAGAGCTAACACTTGATAAAATATTCAAATTCATACCTTCAATAATTTTCTGAATTGCTCTTTACTTTATTGATGATAAAATGCATTTTTTCAGTAGGTAAAATTAGTTATATTAATCAAAAATTAGAAAATGTTTGTGATTGTTTTGCATAAGTAATACAATGGAAGCCCAAGCGATCCTATACACAATAAACACCAATAAAATCATTACAGTCAAAACCTGGCCTCATATGTTTGTTTTAACTTATGAAAAGAAAAAAAAAAATTCCAAATCACCTTAATTAATATCTAAGTCACATAATCCTCTTTAATTGACGTCGCTCGCACGTTTTGTGCGCGCTTCTACTTTCATACTTCACGCACACTCTTATTCTGATTTTCATTATTTGTGACTTAATTTTGCCGCTTTCGTACTCTCACTTTCAAATTCACTTTCGCTCTCACTCTCACGCTTGTTTTATGTGACTTAACTAGATTAGCACTGAATTGTCTATCATGAAATCAAGGCAGGATGAGTGAGCACTCAGTTGACGATTATGTAATCAAGGAAGAATTAGTTAAGCCAAGGAGTGTATCTAATATATTTTGTGATAAATGCCTCTTACAATTGAAAGAGATATCTCCTTAATATACGGTTTTTATTTCTAATTAATTCCATAACCTCAATAAAACACGAAATCAACTCAATTACAAGCAGTCATATCGTTTATTATTACCCCAACATGTGGATTGGTGATTGAAAAGCCCAGTAATACAAAGAATACAATTTTCAGTTGCTGCTCCTAAGCTTTGGCCTTTCCACATAAAGTGGAGCAATAATTATGATATTCATATGGTGTGGCTTCTCATGGGCAAGAACATGTTTAAGCATCATCCTCCGTATCAGTCAAGCAATTTACAATATGCAACAAAACTCGTGGACGTGCTCTTTTTGAAGTGGAGGGGACTGATACGCGTTTAGTATTTTTTTTTAGTTTAAATTTCTTATTTATTTTATTTTATTGCTAGTAAGTTTCTTTATATTTTAGTCTTTTCTAGTGTTAGGTTTTCTTTTATTATAAATACGTCATAAGAACGCAATTAACTTTTATTTATTCAATTATCAATATAAATATCAGATTTCTTTTACTTTATAAATTCAAAATAAATTATTCATTGTAAGCAAATTTGTTGCTTCTGCTTACATCACAAAGAGAGCTCGAAATATTATAATATTATTAATCAATGGCACTAGCTCGAAATATCAAATAATATTATTTGTAAGAGCATTATCCTGAATAACATCTAAGTTATAAATTTTGTAAAATACTCTCAAAGCATCAACCAAAATTTTTACATTGAAGTTAAATTTGAAAGTATTAAATTGTAACTTTCTAATTAGAATCGGAATAACTTTAGTTTAAATTCTTAAATTCTAGTATCTGGACGCAACATGAACGTAAGATTTTACTCCATACATAACAACTAGATTGAACTCGCTGATGCAACATTGAGTTGGAGTAACAATAAAGGATATGACAACATGTAATAGAGTTGATTTCATGTCTTAAAAATAATATAGGTAAAATATGATAGAATGTGTTTTAATTGAGGTTATGAAAGACTATTGATTAACTTTATTTCATTTTTTTTTTTAATTATGAATAATCGAGTCTAAATAACAAAAAAAGTTCACTTTTTTATATTAGTTGATTCTTAATCCTCTAAGATTGACGACGGTTTTCTTTAATTTTTTTTATTTTTTATTTTTATGGCTGAACGATTTTAATGAATTTGTGGTGTTTACTGGCTTGAAATAATGTAGGATCGTTTGAGCTTCCATTGTATTACTTATGCAAAAACTTACAAAACATAGGGTTACTATTATTATTTTTTTTTCGAAGTGAGGAGTATTAGAAGTTAGATTAATAAATGCAGAGAACCACTCCAAAATTCACCGGAAGCACAAACCTATTAGACTGTCGAGGCATCTATAAAAAGATAGAGTTATAAAACCACCTAAGAGGCTTTTTCTAATTAAGTACAGAGCATTTCAAAAAATTATTGAAGGTATCAATTTGAATAATTTACAAGTTTTACCTCGTCTGTGTAAGGTACTAAAAGGGATGAAAGATGAGATAAGCCTAAGTTTAGACACTTGCATTTTAAAAAGTAACTGTTCACATATCAGAATAGACTTAGTCACTGTACATTTGATCTAACTCCTAAGTCAATGTTTTAATTAAGGCTTGAACAAAAACATGAGTAAATTAACTGCCAAACCTATTTCATATTTAATGAAAACAAGAGCTTTTCAATCATAACTTCATAATATTGTGCACTTATAAAAATACTCTCATTTTATGGCTGGGAGTATCAAATTGGTGGCTTGAATTTATAATTGAAAAAAAAAAATCTAACTAAAACATTCACCTAATATGACCCAATAGCCCTCTTTGGAGGAACGTTTTGAGACTTTCTTTGTCCACTTGAATGGGGTCTAAGCCTGTAAATGGATCGGATCTGATAAGAGTAATACAGAGTATATGATTACATATGATCCAAGAGCCCAACAGATGATTTAAGCTTAAAGCAGTATTAGATTTTGTTGTTAATCAAATATTCGACCTAGTAAACTGATTCGAAAAAATGTAATTTTTTTGTAATTAAAAAAAAAAAATCATATCAAGATACATTAGCAAACAATGATTACGAAAAAAAGAGACAAGTTAGGGAGAAAAATAAAATAAAAGTAGAAAAGTAGGTATTTGACTTTTTATTTTAAAAAAAAATACAATAAAGTGAGACAAAATAGAGAGAGGGTAAAAAAAGAACAAAAAAATAATATAAAAAAATTTTAATAGTTGGTCTAATACGACCTTAATTTGTCTGTGTATATATGTGTGTTATATATATATATAAATAAATAAAATTTGTCTAAGATGACCTTAATTTTGGTGCATAATCTATTTCAATTTTTTCACTCCATGTATATATATATATTTTTTGGTAAGAATTCTTCACTCCATGTGATCTCTAAAGTTGGTGCATAAACTATTTTTCTTTTTAAAGAACACTTGTTTAGGGTCGCTATTAATAATTATTCACGATGAATTTGATAAAAAAAAAAAAAAAAAAACCGAAGAAGAAACATACTAGGCTTCCAAACTTTTGTGGAAAAACAGAGTTTATTGGTCATCCTTAATACCCGGTAATTACTAAGGATTAGTTTTGATAAAGAACTTTTACATATGGTGATTTGGCCTTTCCAAAATTTATAGAAAGCCTTTTATTTATATTTTCCTTAAAGAAAAAAGTAATTATTTACGCATATTGTACATTTGGTCCTTACATATACACTGCTCCATTTGTCTTGTTAAAAAAAAAATTCTCGAACTCGGGCCCACTTTTGAACATTTGGTCCTTTATATATACACTTTATTCGTTGGCTCTTAATTGGCGTTGGTACGTGTCCCTCGCCACAATGCTGCTCGAACTCAAGGCCTTTCAAGCCGTCGCTCTCGCACAACAACTCTTGCAGATGTGAAGAATGAACTGGGTGATGCTCTGAAGGTGTTTGATGAAATGTCTAAGTTAGATGTTAATGTTATTCAGTATCGTGTTCTTATCAAATGGGTCACTTCGATTTGGTTTGGCTTCAGAGGCTGTTACATGTTTTTGCTGTTTCTCTCTCAAGAAGTAGTCTAAGTTGGTGTAGGTGCATTGACATGGCCATGGATGTCTGTTCTTCAGAAAAGGAATGCGTTAATGCAATTACCAAGAAAATTCACCACTGCTCACGCGCACCGACCAATTTCTGGCAAAATTCTCTGCACCGTTTCAAAAGATTCAAACTTCCGAGGTTCCATTTGGTGCACAGGATTCCCACCAAGGGGGCCGCGTCGGCACTGTTTCGGTGCTTATACAGTCCTCCTATTCACAGACCAGTTAGTTAAAAACAACTTCTTTTATTTGTTTTTTGTTTTCATTTTATCTTATTTTCCTATTTTAACTATTAAATTAAAAATGATATAATCATAATTGTTAGTGTTTGTACAGAGACAACAAGAATGCCATTTCACAACAAGACTGACTTCAAGAAACAGAGCCTGCCTTTATAATTCAATTCAAGAACCTCCCGCTACACAGTAAATGTCCAACAACCTTCTGTTACTGATCTCTCTCTCTCTCTCTCACACACACACACACTGCAACAGACTACTTCTTGAGAACGAAAAATCAAAAAGGTTATATAAATGGTCTTCCTCTCTTCGTCCATACCATTCTTTCTTCTATCTCATATTCAATACATCTCTCTCTCTCTACATTCATATTCACTCAACGTAAATCATATTCCTATCTTCGTCCTTGCCAATCTTTTTTCTATCTCATCTTCAATACATCAATTTTTGCTCTCTCCCTCTGCGAAGAGAGAAACAGCAAAAAGCTCTTCTATCTTCGTCTCTCTCTCTATCTACATTCATAGTCACTCAAATCTTTGAATGGGACAATCACATTCATCACTCTCTCCCCTCAAGGTTACATAAATCATCTTCCTATCTTCGTCTTTACCAATCTTTCTTCTATCTCATCTTCAATTCATCAATTTATCTCTCTCTTTCTCTCTATCCACATTCATAGTTATTCACGTCAGTGCAGCTTCAAATCTTTGAATGGGGCATAAGAGACGAAACAATCCTCAGCGCCCCAAACCACCAAAGCCACCTAAGAATGCCTCTGCAGGTGGCAGAGCAACACCGGCTACCAGTTTAACCGCTGAACTCCATCAAGAACAGAGCAAGACTGACCCAATACTCGATTCGACCGATAAACTCCATCAAGAACAGAGCAAGTCCGAACCACTCGATTCAACCCCTTCTGATACAATCGAGACTGAATGCAAAGCCATTATCAAAAGTCAGAATCTTATAACGGACTCAAAGGCTGCTCAAGTGGGTAACCACAAGAAAATTCCGTTGGTTAAAAATAAGAGTCAGCAGGGGACTAAGATGGCTGGGGAGGAGCGGGGGAAGGAGATTCAGGAGCAGATGGAAGTGGAAAGACTTTTGCAGCAAAATTCAGATTCTGTGTAATCACAAAAAGATGAAGAGAATGCGTCTCTGTTGAGTAAACTTGAAAAGCGGAGGAAGAATGCCAAGGTGAAGGATATTAAGTCCTGGGCAAGCAGGAGAGAACAACTTCAATCATATTTTAAATCGATGAGCGATGACAAAAAGCGTGGACTGCTTGAAACACGAATTTGCGATCTCAGGGTCCATTTGAGTTCTTTTAAGGATCGATTGGCAAAGGAGGTTCTGTCAGAAGCTGTAAGTTTTGTTGAGAAGACCAATACTTGGAGGTTCTGGGCTTGTTGGTGCAGTGATGAGAAGTTTGTAGATTCAGCATCATATCTTCATCATCTTAAAAAGGAGCACATAGGGAACTTCTCACTCGAGTTGCAATCAGTTGTGCCTGCGGAAGTTAATGCTCGTTGGGTTGAGATGCTAGAAAATGGCCCTTAGAAGCCTGTGGACACCTCTGCAGTTGTGCCGAGACTTATTGAATGTCAGTCAAAGTGCAACATAGAAAATCTTGTTGGCAAGGACTCTTCAGAGTGTACAGGTTTAGTAACAGCTTCTACTAAACCTGTTACTCTTCCTTCATGGCCAATATCTGATGATTCTGAGCGTGCAGAGATCCTTCAAAATATCCGTGACATGTTCCAGTTGCTTTTAATGCAAAATTGTGTTGCTGAGAGCCATATAAAGTACTTAATGCAAAGCAACATTCTTGAAGAAGATACACGAGTCTGTTTGGCCACTTACCTTGCAGATCAGATAGCAAAACACCATCTTCAAGAGCTCTTTCACTAGGTGAACCTGCACATAGACAAAACACATATTAGGAGGCTAGTTTGTATAACATGATCCAAAGTGTAAAGAAACATATAGTTTCATCTTCTACCTGTATTCTCATCTTGCTTGGCAAGCTGCTTTTGTTTAAACTCATTTTCAATTCGTCTTTGATTCTCTAAATGACCTCCAACCAGTATTACCTGTTCTGCTTCTAGCTCACTTTTATGCCCAAGTTCCTCAGATTGTTTTAATACATCGGCATTTTCAGAAATATCACTGTCAACATTTGAATAAACATCAACATAGGTGACGGGAAAGTGAATGGAGGAAGGCGGAGGTCAAAATAACAATAGAGTATCAAAAAGAGGGTGTGGGGGCAAATGTGGCACAATCTTAATTATTTAATTTTGTTTTTTGGACTGGTGACATTACAGTTTTGACACTGTATCCAATAAATAACACATTACAGTCCTCCTAAAGAAGCATTGATCCATGTACATGGGCATGTTCGGGTTACTTTCTTTGATGAGGAAAAGAAATGCAACAAAAAACAAAAGAAAGCTGAGGGACATCAGTTCCCTTATATAACATGAATGGGTCACCACAACCAGCTCTTACACTATTACATACATGTATGTGGTGCAGTGTTGATAAAATGAATCTGGATCCATATATAACATATTCAGAGGGGGTGACCATTTGAGGGAGCATTGCTCGTACTAAATTTTTGAATCTTATCATACTGAATTCATATTGCTCTGATCCTCTTTATGAATTATGATGTGGGGTTCATATTTGGATTCTAATGGGACTTAAATCTTAATATTGTAAGGTCAGAACAGATGAACATTAAGTCTAGTTGGTATCATCAATCCTCCCAAAGGGTAGGTTGAGCATTTGAACTTTGTTAGGAACAATTGTGGTTGTGTGTACGTTTGCTTGAACTTTCTGAATATATATATATATATGAGACCAGATAATGCTGAATGGTTAATTCCATGAGATAGTTGACACAGTTTTGAAACATTAAGTAAGATAATCTAGTTTTAGAAATATAGACCTAATGGGGTTTAAAACCAAAACCAGCAAGACACAAGAGAGACCATATATTAGTTCAATTTCTAGGTAGTAGTTTTTGTTCTCGGATTATTTTCAGAAATTTGTATGTTTGACAAAAAAAACTTTGAAAACTATTCTAGTTAGTTAGAATTTGTTCTCTCTCTTTTGTGTAGTCAGAAACTGTTTTAAGACAACTGAATCTAGTAGCCCAAAGTCTTTTTGACATATCAAGGAGGGAAAACTTTTAAAAAAGAAAAAGTACAAATCCACTGGTGGAATCAAAAGGAAGACTTACAGTTGTTGTGCATCCTCCTCATGTGGAACGTGTTGTTTGTTACCATCAGTAACCTGCAGTAGATTCAAAAGCATTAAACTACCTTTCACAAATTATATATAGCAACTGTCACTATAGGCTCAACAAGATTTTAACCTCTCCCTCCTTCTGATTTTCTGTAATCTTTTTTCTTTTTTCTATTCTTCGACTTTTCCTGCGGGTGTTTTGTTTGATTTCCCCCTTTATTAATGTTCTTCTTAGCATCAAGTGCATCCACTGCTATAAGTGCTGCCTCTGCAGCCTTTGATTTATCAGTTGCATCTTTGTCAACAAGAGAGTCCAATTGTGCCTGGAAAGAGAGGAGAAATGCTGATAATATCATATTTAGATTCACATAATTTGGAGAATGTTACAAAAAGTGTTTTGTAAACAGCACAAACCCGCATGAATGCCTTCAAAAGGAGTAACATGGTGGACTGATAGTCATGCGCAGATACTCGGGCAAGTTTAATTTCCAGCTGCTTCATATCAGCAATGGTCCGCGTGATCCATGCATCAATACAATTAAGCAGGGAAATGCAGTTTCGAATTTCAGGATTCAGGAATCCCTGTGAAAGAATAATAATCTCTAGTTGAATAAGGAAAATATGACGATTAAATCAAGAGAGTTCAACTTTGAATATTATTTAAATTTGGCATAAGTAAATCACTTTGAAATAGAAATTAAGTGTATATTGGTAATGACAAACTTGACGAAATAACTAATATTGCCACAAATTATTCTAAAATATTTGCAAACTTATCAGATAGTGGTAAATTATAGTTAGTTATTGAATTATACAGAGTTAATAGTGGAAGATTAATAAAAGCATGCCAACATTATAAATTTCAAAAATAATCTAGGCAATTTACACATATCTAGACTAAAAACCTACAGATGCATTTAGTTGAGTGCCAAAAACCAACATACGGACCTTCCCAGACAGAAACTCCAATTGCTGCATAGCCTCAAATTTTTTCTCACACGAGCTTTGTAAGAATTGAGATTTCTGCAAAAGTACCTGAAAGAGTTCCCTTCCTTGATGTTTTTTTTGGTTATTTAGATGTGCCCAAGATGCTAACCATTCTTCTTCATTCAGAAGATCAGCATACAACCAATACACAAATGAATCATTATCTGGCAGCACAGTAGCTTGATGAGGACCAACAGGCATAAGATCTACTCCCAGTAAACGCTAATCTTGAGGAAGACGGAATGAGTCACCACAAAGAACAATTCTCTCATTGATTTCATAAACTTGATTGCCATCAAGTGCATCATCTGTGGAACTTCCTGTCCCATAATCCCCAAATAAACCATAAATATCATCTTGAAATCGCCGCAAGAAATTAAGGACCCACTCTAGCTGGCTAACTCCCAAAAAACAGAAGCCGAGGGGTGATTGACACAGGCTATGGATTGGAAGCTGCAATTCTGGCTCAATTTTTTGAATTTCTACCATGGTAATTTGCATTGAGTATTTAATATGGCTCTCAGCAACACAATTCTGCATTAAAAGCAACTGGAACATGTCACGGATATTTTGAAGAATCTCTGCACACTCAGAATCATCAGATATTGGCCATGAAGGAAGAGTAACAGGTTTAGTAGAAGCTGTTACTAAACCTGTACACTCTGAAGAGTCCTTGCCAACAAGATTTTCCATGTTGCACTTTGACTGACATTCAATAAGTCTCGGCACAGCTGCAGAGGTGACCACAGGCTTCCACGGGCCATTTTCTAGCATCTCAACCCAACTAGCATCAACTTCCGTAGGCACAATTGATTGCAACTCGAGTGAGAGGTACCCTATGTGCTCCTGTTTAAGATGATGCAGATATGATGCTGAATCTACAAACTTCTCATCACTGCACCAACAAGCCCAGAACCTCCAAGTATTGGTCTTCTCAACAAAACTTACAGCTTCTGACATAACCTCCCCTGCCAATCGGTCCTTAAAAGAACTCAAATGGACCCTGAAATCGCAAATTCGTGTTTTAAGCAGTCCACGCTTTTTGTCATCACTCATCCATTTAAAATATGATTGAAGTTGTTCTCTCCTGCTTGCCCAGGACTTAATATCCTTCACATTGGCATTCTTCCTCAGCTTTTCAAGTTTACTCAACAGAGACGCCTTCTCTTCATCTTTTTGTGATTGCACAGAATCTGAATTTTGCTGCAAAATTCTTTCCACTCCCATCCGCTCCTAAATCTCCTTCCCCGCTCCTCCCCAGCCATCTTAATCCCCTGCTGACTCTTATTTTTAACCAACGGAACTTTCTTGTTGTTACCCACTTGAGCAGCCTTTGATTGTTTCGTCTCTTATGGCCCATTCAAAGATTTGAAGATGCACTGAGGTGAGTAACTATGATTGTGGAGGGAGAGATATGATTGTGGAGGGAGAGAAAGAGAGAGAATTTGATGAATTGAAGATGAGATAGAAAAAAGATTGGTAAAGACGAAGATAGGAAGATGATTTATGTAACCTTGAGGGGAGAGAGAGATGAATGTGATTGTCCCATTCAAAAATTTGAGTGCATATGAATGTAGATAGAGAGAGACGAAGATGGAAGAGCTTTTTGCTGTTTCTCTCTCAAGAGATAGTCTTTTGCAGAGAGAGAGCAAAATTGATGTATTGAAGATGAGATAGAAAAAAGATTGGCAAGGACGAAGATAGGACTATGATTTACGTTGAGTGAATATGAATGTAGAGAGAGAGATGTATTGAATATGAGATAGAAGAAAGAAAGGTATGGACTAAGATAGGAAGACCACTTACATAACCTTTTTGATGTTTCTCTCTCAAGAACTAGTCTGTTGCAATGTGGGTGTGTGAGAGAGAGAGAAACAGCAAAAACACGCCGCCAAACCAAATCGAAGTGACCCATTTGATAAGAACACGATACTGAATAACATCTAACTTAGACATTTCATCAAACACCTTCAGAGCATCACCCAGTTCATTCTTCACATTCAACGTAAAATCTGCACATGACCATCAAACATTGTTGATGCGAGAGTTGTTGTGCGAGAGCGACGGCTTGAGACCACGACCACTACCACGGCGACGGCTTGAAAGGCCTGGAGTTCGAGCAGCATTGTGGCGAGGAACACATACCAACGCCAATTAAGGGCCAATGAATAAAGTGTATATAAAGGACCAAATGTTCAAAAGTGTGCCCTAGTTCGAGTTTTTTTTTTTAACAAGACAAATGGAGCAGTGTATATATAAGGACCTAATGTACACTATGCGTAAATAATTACTTTTTTCTATAAGGAAAATATAAATAAAAGGCTTTCTATGAATTTTGGAAAGGCCAAATCACCAAATGTAAAAGTTCTTTATCAAAACTAATCCTTTGTAGTTACGTCGTATTAAGGATGACCAATAAACACTGTTTTCCAACAAAAGTTTGGAAGCTAGTGTGCTTCTTTCTTTTCTTTTTTTATCAAATTCATCGTGAATAATTATTAATAGCGACCCTAAACAAGTGTTCTTCAAAAAGAAAAATAGTTTATCCTTTACATGGTGTCATATCCTTTATTGTTAGTCCAACTCAATGTTGCATCGGCGAGTTCTATCTTATTGTTATGTATGGAGTAAAATATTACGCTCATGTTGAGTCCAAATACTAGAATTTAAGAATTTAAACTAAATTTATTTCGATTCTAATTAGAAAGTTACTATTTGATACTTTCAAATATAACTTCGTAAAAATTTTGGTTGATGCTTTGAGAGTGTTTTACAAAATTTCTAAGTTAGATGTTATTCAGGATAATGCTCTTATAAATAATATATTATTTAATATTTTGAGCTAGTGTCATTAATTAATAATATTTTAATATTTCGAGCTTGTGCTCATGACACGTATTTATAATAAAATAAAACCTAACATTATAAGAAACTAAAATATAACATAAAATAAAATAAATAAGAAATTTAAAGTAAAAAAATACTAAACACAAAAAGTGTCCTACATCAGTCCCTTCACTTCAAAAAGAGCACAGTTTTGTTGCATATTGTAGATTACTTGACTGATCCGGAGGATGATGCTTAAACATGTTCTTGCCCATGAGAAGCCACACCATATGAATATCATAATTATTGCTCCACTTTATGTGGAAAGGCCAAAGCTTAGGAGCAGCAACTGAAAATTGTATGGTGCTTGAATACCTATTCTTTGAATTACTGGGCTTTTCATTCACCAATCCTCATGTATCGTCACTTTTAAATGATTTAGGCATTCTTTTAATCTCAAGAATTTTGTCCATTTCAAATCAGAATGTATCGTCACTTTTAAATGATTTAGGCATTCTTTTAATCTCAAGAATTTATTAAACTGCATACTTTTTGTTGGGCAGCTTTGATGGTTGCAACGGCCGATGACAGTTCTGTCCTGTAAAAAATAAATTTTGCTTCAAGATTGACGTCATCAATTTTTTTACCAATGGACACCCTTTATCTTCATGATCGATCAATTGTTTCTTTGAAATTGAAAGAATTTTTCTTTCCTAATTGTCCGCAGGGACATCATCAATTTTTTATCTTTTTTTATTTTTTCTCTTTGTCAAAGCAATTTTTATTGGATTTCAATTCTTGGACACATATAAGACAACATAAATTACTATAATGTAAGACATGCATAATTCTGAACAATTCGACAAAAAGTTTGACAAGTCCAACCCGAGTTTGACAAGTCTGACAAGTCCAACCCGAGTTTGACAAGTCTAACCCGAGATGAGTGTTTTTGGATGAAAATATGGCATTGAGAACTGGGCTTGCTAGTTATTTTGAAATTTTTGTTCAAGAGTTGATGAACTATGATTGCTCTAAAATTTTAGATGATTAGTTTCATTTTAGGATTAGATTTTAGTTTGGTTTTTCCTATAAATATTCGCAAGTGCAAAATTTAATATTTCAATAATATATTAATTTTTTTATAAATTTATCTTCTGTTTTATAAATTGAAAACACTCTAATTTGTAAATTCAAAATAAATCGAGTAAGTGTTTTGAATTCACAAAACAAAGAGATAATTCAGACAAATTTTAGAGAATTTTTTTTGGCAAATAAAATACTTTCATTAGATCAATCCGGATTAAAATATAAAAAACAAGTTTATTTTTCTATTTCATGATCAAGGACACAAGAAATGGAACCCATCTCCATAACAATATACCCCAAATGGTGCCTATTATAGAATTCAATGAACTATTTATTGTTGAATGAAGTATGAGAGACATGCACAAATGATGATATATCTCATATGCCAATGAACCATTTATTGTTGAATGAAGTATGAGAGAGATGCACAAATGGTGATGTATCTCATACGACAAAGTAGACCACAAGTCTACAATTAAAACTACTACATAGGTAAAGAGTATTAAGAGTTCATGCTACCAATCAATCATTAGCTTCGACTTTCAACAACAATGCACCTGCACTTTAAATATAGTTTTTGAATCAATCTTTTAAACTTTTTATAATAAAAATTTCCATTTTGTCCAAAAATCTCCACTATAACATGGGATTGGCGCCACATTAATCAATATAGTTCAATATAGTTGTTTGCGGTTTTACATATCTATCAGGCATCAAGAGATTAGAATGAGTTTCTACAAATAAAAAATAAAAAAACTTAAATAACACCGATCTTATCCCCCAAAAAAATAACTATACTTTATGGAGGGGAAAAGTATTTATAAGAAGTATAAGAAGTAATATTGCAACAATATTGTAAATTAAACACCAATAGTTATATTTGCATAATGTGAACCAACTCTAAGCAATAAATATGGGAATGCTATCACTGGACTCTTAAACTTAAGAATTCGCAATCAAATTCATCAGCGGAATCAAACAAAAACACAAAAAAGAGATCAAACACACTGATTTTAATTGATTCACCCAAAATTCAAAGTTACATTCATTGTGATAAGAAATAAATTTTTTTGAATGAATAAGTATTCTAACAATGAGGTAACATAAAAAATGCAAAAATTATTTAAATATTCTTTAAAAAAATCAAAATTTGGCCTTTGTACTGTATTTATCAAACTCCATAACACTCATCATCATAACCACCCAAGCACAGACAATCAATATGAAAATAATTTATTGCTATTTTAAATATATATATCTCAAAAATAATAACTCAAATGATACGGAGCCTTTCAAAAAAATAATTAATTAATAAGGAAGCAAATATAATAATAGGATTATAAAGTTTAGAACATACCAATGGCGTGCCAATGAAAAATAAAAATAAAAAACAGCGGAAGCTTCAGTTTCTTAAAAACTGAGTGACCTTAGCATCAACAAAAAAACAGAATCACAATAAATGAAGCAAGTATAGTAGTAGCATTAGAAAATTTAGAACGTATCAAAATTTTAAAATATATACTCCCTTCCTTCTATATTAATTGTTCACATTAAAAAATTTAACTCATAATTTTTGTGAGTCAAAGTTATCGAAATAGATATCTAATATGGGATATAAGTAGTATGTAAGTATAAAAAATAAGTATGATTAAAAATGATCTCAAATAACTCAAAAATAAAAGGTGGTAATGAATCAAAGTTTTAGAAATGAACAACTATTATGGGACGACGGAGGTAGTAGGTTTTAACATCATCAGATACGCATTCCATTCCTTAATTTGGTTTCTTCAAGTATATGAAAACAATTTATTGTAATTTTCAAGAAAATATGAAACAGTATAGTTTTTCAGAGTATAATGAAACCTGAATTACGCGAATGATACATAGCATTCCGAAATAATAATCACATAAAAAATTGCCATATATACAAATATGATAATAAAACCGAAATTATTATTGAAGAAGAGAATTGATTAAATAAAATTAGCCATCAACAATAATAGTCATATATTAGCCGAGAGAGCTGGAGAGAGTACGAAAATTTTAAAGAAATAATAAGTACACATACCCATCTTCGCAAACAAACACAGGATGATTTGGGACTGAACAACTCTTAACTGTGCATGAGAACCATAATAAATAATAAAAAGAGTATGACAATAAAACTAAGGGAAAATTACATATAAATGGAGTTAAAGTTCCATATTTATTTAGAGGCTGAGTCAAAGTTCCATATTTCTCTAAAATGGATTGCTGAGGTGGCACATGGTTTTTTACTGTTTAGAAATTGTGATGCCTAAAATACCCTTCCGCGAAGGTACTACTTTTTCTTCGAAAGTACTACTTTTTTGAACTGAAGGTACTACTTTTTGGCGTTCAGGTACCATGTTTTTTAAACACTCGCGAAGGTACTACTTTTTCTCCGAAGGTACTACTTTTTTGAACTGAAGGTACTACTTTTTTGAACTGAAGGTACTACTTTTTTATTAGGGAAGGGCATTTTAGGCATCACAATTTTTTAAACAGTAAAAAATCATGTGCCACCTCAGCAATTCATTTTAGAGAAATATGGAACTTTGACTCCGTCTCTAAGTAAATATGAAACTTTGACTCCATTTATATGTAATTTTCCCTAAAACTAACTCTTAAAAAGATAAACTAATGTTTGAGAAAAAAAAAATAATAATAATAAAAAGATAAACTTATGCAAAATTTGGACCGTCAAAAAGTCAAACGAATTAATCTAGATTTTTTTTTGAGAAATGGCCCAACTCACAAAAATAATAGCTTCGCTATTGAAATAGGGCGTCTTTTTAACTGAATTCAATCGTTTAGGTTTCGGGAATTACGACTAAACCAATTGCTTCCCTTTTAAGTATTTAGCAATTTTTGGTAATTAGGTTTCTTTCCTTATTTTTATAGAATTTTTTTTTGTTTTTGGACAGTTTTCTTGCACTGCAAATTTCGTTACGTTTTTAGGATTTTTTTATTTTATTTTTTTATTTTATTTAGGATTTCTTATTTATTAGTACATGTGCTCTAACATTTAATTCTTGTTACAAATAACATCCAAGTCAAACAAAGTATTAGTTAAAATCCGATCATTCATTTAATTATTTGAATTCTCTTATTAGAATTATTGTTAGACTTTCCTTATTAGAATTGCACAAAAAATAAATAAAATAACTAAATAATAATAATAATTATCTTTTTTTATCCCTCTCTTATGGTGGTGTATGACCTTTTAGATTATCCAATAATCCACCATCCTCACATAGATTGTCACATAGGTTCATAACAACTACCTATTAACGACTACCTATTGAAATTTTTTATTTATTTTTAGCTGCAAAACTAGAAAAATAATAGAATAATGATAAAAAAAAAAAAAAAAAATGATAGGTCTTTGTGCGACTCAATTAACGTCCAATGGCTATGAATAAGAATAAACTCTCTGATATAATTTATAAAGTATTTTATCTTTAAATTTATCACATCATTTGTAACTCGTAACCCAAAAAAAAAAAATTGGATCTCCTCTTTTAACCACGTGACAAATATATACTTAATTCTTGATTTTCTATTTTGAATTAAGGACAATTACGTCATTATATTTTAAGAGCGAAGTGAATGTGAGTAGGAAGAGAGGGAGAAATTACATCATTCATGTAAATGTAAAGATGTCATGTAAATGTAATTGTCCACCAATATATAAAATATAAATTGAGATCTTGGAGTTAAAAAATTGACCCATTATAACTTTCAATCAGCATTTTAATTTTGGAATTTACAATTTCTCCAAATAATAATAAAGGTAAAATATTCTTGCATATGCGATCAAACTTAAAGTTGGCATTTAATATTTATAGAGTTAAATTTGGATAGCCAAACACGCCTTGCCCAATTTTGCTGTCCAAGTTTATTTTATTGTTGAGAACCATATGATTAAAATACAAGAATATATGGAAGAACGAAACATACTATTGAAATTGTTGGGAGGGAGAGAGAGAGAGGTGATAAAATAATACAATATAATTTAAAATTTAAAAATATATAAAATTATTATTTTATATATGTGAGTAATTATTGTTTGAGTTTCATTCACTGCATAAAGGGATAGAAATCCTTTGATTTGACAAACAGGTTTGAGATTTCAGTCCAAGAATCATTTATTTATATATAATTTTTTTTAAAATATAAGTTTTATATATAATCTTAAGAGCATGTTGATCCTGAGGATACTGAATTGTTAGTTAGATTGAGAAACTCAAAACCCTCGTGGTACTTTTGGTGTACAGGAATAAAATTGAATACTAGTGAAAATAGAATGAGAATGGGAATGGAATAGGATGATCATTCTCATTTTATTGTTTGATTGTAAATATAAAATGTGTAGGAATAAAATGCTAATAATCATTCTAGTATTTGGTTGGATCAATATAAAATTTAGAATAGACTAAATTTCAAATTGAATTTTACAAAATATCCCTCTTAGTAACAAATAAATTAAATTAATAAATTGACATTCTCTAATAATTTTTTAAAAATAAAGGGTGGTAGTCGATGGTGGTGACGATGGTGGTAGAAGTAGAAAATGGTAGTGGTGTAGGTGGTAGTGTTGGAAGGCAGCGGTGGTGGTGGAAGACGACAGTGGTGTTGGTGGAAGGCGATGGCAGTAGTGTGGTGGTGGTGGCGGCGGTGGTGGTGGAAGGAAATAATGGTGTAGGTGGTGGTGGTGGAAGCCAATGGAGGTGATTGCGGTGGTGGTGGAAGGCAGTGGAAGTCGCGGTGGTGGAAGGTTTTGGTGGTGGCGGTGATGAAAGGTGGTGAAAGGTGGTGCTGGTGATGAAAGGCAGTGGTGGCGGTGCAAGGCGGTGGCGGTGGAGGCGGCGGTGGTGGTGGAAGGTGGTAGAAGTGCTAGTGGTGGTAGTGGTGGATGGCGATGGAGGTGGAAGGAGGTGGCGGTGGTGGTGGAAGGCGGTGGTGTCGACAATGGTGGTGGTGTTGGAAGGCAGTGGCGATGGAAAGCAGTAGCAGTGGTGAAAGGCAGTGGTGGAAGGTTGTAATGGTGGTGAAATGTAGTGGCGGCGGTGGTGGGATGCAGTGGCTATGGTGAAAGGCTGTGGTGGTGGTGAAAAGCGATAGCGGTGGTAGTGGTGAAAGGTGGTGGTAGTACTGGTGGTGGTGGAAGGTGGTTGCAGTGGTGGTAATGATGGTAACGATAGCGAAAGGCAGTAGCGGTGGTCGTGGTGCTTACGACAAAGGATGGCGGTGGTGGAAAGCGGTGGGTAATGGTGAAAGTCGGTGGTAGAAAGCAGTTGTAGTGGTGGTGACAGGCAGAAGTGGTTGCGGTGGAAGGTAATTATTGTTTTTGGACTTGGAATACGATAAGTTTTTGAGAAGTTGATTTTTTAAAAAATTTACTTGGGAATAGAATAATTATTTCATAGGTTTAGTTGTGGAATGGATTTTTATTTTAATGGAATAGCTATTCTCACTTTAAATTGTATACCAACCAAAATAATGATTGAAATGAGTATTTCATTCTAATTCCTGCACACCAAATGCAACATTACGGTCCAAAAGTCCAATTGTTACAAATGCAAAAGCTTGGTGCGAGCAGCTCCATATAATTAGCAAAGAAGTCAATCAACGTGTGAAACGCGCTTCAGACTTTCTAGGCCTTTTTGCTCATCCATTTTGTGGCAGCTATGGAAAGGTAGAAACGAGTGGTATTTTAATGGAATTAAATGGGATTCTCGCTAGAGAGAGTTCTCTTCAATCACCATGAATTTGTGGAAGCTCCTAAGCAGGACAGCAAAATCTTGAAAGCACGTACAGGATATATATATATTGATAAAAAAAATTAAAAAATAAAAGAAAAAGTATTGAGACATACACAAATGGTGCCTGTTATATCTCATACGCCAAAACTACGCAGGTAAAGAGTATTAGGAGTTCATGCTACCAATCACTAGCTTTGACTTTCAACAACAATGCACCTGCAAGTAACATCCAGGCCTTTAATGAGATCTAATCTAAAATTCAAGTGAGCAAACTAAGAGCAAGAGAAGCCTTTCTATCCTAAAAGGTCTTCTTTAGAGGAAATGCGCGTTTTTGAGGCTTTTTTTCCAACTTGATGACATCTCCATGTTCAGTTCATGAATCTCTTCGTTCAGTTGTATGCCCTGATCCATCAATTTTTGAATCTCTTTGTTCGGTTTTTCCTTCTCCTCCAGCTCTTTGACCCCATCCATTCGATTTTGGATCTCTTTGTTCACTTCTTCCCTTTTTTTTAAGACAAGCAGCAACCGACGACATGCTTGATATCCATGAAATTTTAAGTCCGCCAGCTCTTCATGTGATTTCTTTGATCTCTCTTCGCATTGTTCATGAGATTGTGCTGTGTCTGAAAATATTAATCAAACCAAAGGATCTGGCCATCAGGGTGAATACTTGTGGATCGGATCTATGACTTGCCTTACAATCTGCTTGGTCCATTTAACATCACATGACTTTATGTAAGAATTTTCTTGTTTTTGAATCAATCTTTTAAAATTTTCATAATAAAACTTAGATTTTGTCCAAAAAAGTTTCCACATATCTATACAGATTATAACATGGTGCCAGATAAAAGGGAGTTTTAAAGCAGTGAAATTCAGTTGACATGGCTCGCAAAGAGCTGTTTGGCCACTTACCTTGCACATCAATTTGTTGGTCAGATTGCAAAACACTATCTTCAAGAGCTTTTTGACCAGGTGAACCTGCACATAACAAAACACATATTAGGAAACAGTGATCCAAACTGTAAAGAAATATATAGTTCTACTTCTACCTGTATTCTCATCTTGCTTGGCAAGCTGCTTTTGTTTTTGAATCAATCTATTAAAATTTTCTTAATAAAACTTGCATTTTGTCCAAAAAATTTCCACGTATCTACACAGATTATAATAAGGAGCCACAAGGGAGTCTTAGGCCACTTACCTCGCAGATCAGATTGCAACACACCATCTTCAAGAGCTCTTTTACTAGGAGAACCTGAACATGGTATGAAACACATTATAAGAATCAGTTTGCATAATGTGAACTCAACCCTAAAGGAACAAATATTGGAATACTATCACTTTGAAGCTTACCTATGGTTGTCAAGATATCATTACTGTGCACAAACACCGGATTGTTTGGAACAGAACAACTCTCAACTGTGTTAAGAACCATAAATTATGAAAAAGAATTTGACTATAAAACCAACTGTCAACACCTAAACACTTGATCAGACAGACTACATTTATCTTTCACTCACAAAGAATTCCCGTTGGACTCTATTTATTAGAATCACACCAAAAAGTTTTCGTATCATTACCCGATCCAAGCTATCTTATCTCAATGATTGTCATAATAAGTTAATAACCAAGTAATGATACAAAACCGATGGGTTTTTGTGCGATTCCAATTAACAGTGTCCAACAACAACCTTATGAATAAACATCAATTCTCCTATGCAAAAATCTCCACGTAGAAGAAGATAGACAGAGAACTCCGATTAGTCCCATTACTCAGGTTGTAAGCAATGAAATTCAGTTGAGAAGGCTCCATGAGTGGCAACAAGAGCTGTTTGGCCACTTACCTTTCAGATCAGATTGCAAAAAACCATCTTCAAGAGCTCTTTCACTAGGTGAACCTACACATAGACAAAACACATATTAGGAGACTAGTTTGTATAACATGATCCAAAGTGTAAAGAAACATATAGTTTCATCTTCTACCTGTATTCTCATCTTGCTTGGCAAGCTGCTTTTGTTTAGCCTCATTTTCAAATCGTCTTTGATTCTCTAAAATATCTTCAAGCATTCTTACCTGTTCCACTTCAAGCTCACTTTTATGCCCAAGTTCCTCGGATTGTTTTAATAGATTGGCTTTTTCAGAAATATCACTGTCAGCATTTGAATAATCATCAACATAGGTGACGGGAAAGTGAATGGAGGAAGACAGAGGTCAAAGTAACATTAAACTCAACATATGGCTAGGAATAAATAGCAAAAAAGGATGTGAAACTTTCAAAAAGAAAAAGTATAGATCTGCTGGTGGGAGCAAAAGGAAGACTTACGGTTGTTCTCCCTCCTTCTCCAGCAGAACGTGTTGCTTGTTACCACCAATAACCTGCAGTAGTGTCAAAAGCATTAAACTACCTTTTACAAATAATATATTGCAGCTGTCACTATAGGAAAAGAAGATTTAAACCTTTCCCTCCTGTTTTCTGTGATCTTTTTTCTTTTTTCTATTCTTCGAGTTTTCCTGTGTATGATTTGTTTGATTGCCCCCTTTATTGATGTTCTTCTCAGTATCAAGTTCAAGCTCTGCTAAAAGTGCTGCTTCTGCAGCCTCTGCTTTCTCGGTTGCATCTTTGTCAACAAGATACTCCAATTGTGCCTGGAAGGGAGAGCGAGCAACATTGACAATGTCAAATTAGATCCACATAAGTTGAAGAATATTACTGAAAACAATGTATCACAAACAACACAAACCCGCATGAATGTCTTCAAAATGGGCAACATCATAAGCCGATAGTCATGAACAGATGCTCGAGCAAGTTTAATTTCCAGCTTCTTCATATCAGCAATGGTCTGCATGATCCATGCATCAATTTCACAAAGCTGCAAAACTAAACATAATGAGACCAGGAATAATCTTAAGATATAGAAGTTGAATAATGAAAATATGATGATTAAATCAAGAGAGTTCAACTTTGAATATTATTTTAACAATGGCAAAAGTAAAGCACTTTGAAATAGAAATTAAGTGTATATTGGTAAGTGGTAACTATGAACTTCACAAATTATTGTAAATATTTGCAAGCTTATCAGATATGGTAAATTTTCATTAATCATTGAATTATATAGGGTTAATTATGTAAGATTAATTAAATCATGCCAAATTATAAATTTCAAAAATAATCTGGGAAATTTGACAGACATCCAAACTCAAAATCTTAAGATAAGGCTTAAACTGAGCTGAGTTGAATTGAGTTCCAACAACCAACATACGGACCTCTGAAGACAGGCCTTCCATTTGCTCCTGAGTGGCTGTTTTTATGCGAGCTTCTTCTTGATGCCGATAACCCTGCATTTTGCATTTGCCGTCTTCACCACATTTCAGATCACATAAAAAACAAGTCAAGTCTGTATCAGTTTCTTCAAGTCCAAGCTGATTGGCATTGATAGATTGAGATTCTTTAAGTACATTTGATATGACATCTAATTCAACTTTACTGCTGCTGGAAATGGAGTCATCATTCCTCCCGGTAAGTTCTTCTTGCCACTTCCTCAAGAGGGATCCATAACCTTGTGGGACATAGCTTTGATCTTCTTGTATCTTCACAAATTCTTCAATATAGATACTCAAAGACACGTGCTCCAATGCTTCATGACGGCTTGAATACTCGCATTTTTTCTCACACAATTTTTGTAAGAGATGAGATTCCTTCTTAAGTACCTGAAAAAGTTCAGTTCCTTGAGCTTTTGTATGGTCACACGCATGTGTCCATGATACTAACTTTTTTTCAGTTAGAAGACTAGTAGACAACCAATACAAAAAAGAATCACTTTCTGGGAGCACAGCAGCTTCATGATGAACAACAGCAGAAGTTGCTGAAGGACCATCATCAGTGACACTGTAATCATATGCACAAGGCATAAGCTCTACTCTCAGTAAACGCTCATCTTGATGAAGACGGGATGAATCACCACAAAGAACAATTCTCTCATTGATTTCATAACCTTGATTGCCATCAAGTTTATCATCTGTGGAACTTCTTGTCTCAGAATCACCAAATAAACCACACAAATTATTTAGAAACTGCTGCAAGAAATGAAGTACCTCCTTTAGCTGGGAAACTCCCAAAAAACAGAAGCCGAGGGGTGATTGACACAGGCTTTGGATTAGAAGCTGCGATGCTGGCACAATTTTTGGAATTTCTTTCATGGCATATTGCATTAACCCATTAATATGGCTCTCAGCAACACAATTTTGCTTCAAAAGCAATTGGAACATGTCATGGACTTTTTGAAGGATCTCTGCCGGCTCAGAATCATCGGATATTGGCCATTTCTGACCATCGGAGCACAGCACAGTCCATGAAGGAAGAGTAACAGGTTTAGTAGAACACTCACTTGGACAGTCCATATTACCACCTGTACACTCTGAAGAATCCATGTCAACAAGATTATCCAAGCCGCACTTTGACTGACTTTCAATAATTCTCACAGCTGCAGAGGTGTCCACAGGCTTCCACGGGCCATTTACTAGCGTCTCAACCCAACGTGCATCAACTTCCACTGGGACAACTGATTGCAACTCCAGTGAGAGGTTCCCAATGTGCTTCTGCTTAATATGATTCAAATATGATGCTGAATCTACGAACTTCTCATCACAACAGCAACAAGCCCAGAACCTCCAACTATTGGTGTCTTCAGCAAAGCTTACAGCTTCTGACATAATCTCCTCTGCCAATCGGTCCTTAAAAGAACTCAAATGGGCCCTGAGATCACAAATTCGTGTTTCAAGCAGTCCAAGCTTTTTGTCATCACTCATTGATTTAAAATATGATTGAAGTTGTTCTGTCCTGCTTGCCCAGGACATAATATTCTTCATTTTGGAATTCGTCCTCAGCTTTTTAAGTTTAGTCAACAGAGACGACTTTTCATCTTTTTGTGATAGCACAGAATCCGAATTTTGCTTCAAAATTCTTTCCTCTTCCACCTGCTCCTGAATCTCCTTCCCCCGCTCCTCCTCAGCCATCTTAGTTACCTGCTGACTCTTATTAGGCTGCGTAGTTTTGACCAATGGAACTTTCTTATTGTTCCCCACTTGAGCAGCCTTTGAGTCCTTTACAAGATTCTGCAACTCTTTCTTTACTTTTATAATTCGCTGTTCAGTTGTGCTGCCCTTAAAATAACTCTCGTATCCTATAGTATCTTTCATTGGATCAGTTGGACTATGAATCAATAATGCTCGCTCGCACTCTTGTACTACTTCCTGATAAGCTTTAGCTTCATAAAGCAAACTTGCGTAGAGAAACGCAAACACTATTGAGCACGGTGATAGCAAGACTGCTTGCCGAGCCCTCTCAACTGCATTCTTTAACTGTTCTTGTTTTTCGAGACTGTTTTCCGAAAATTCTGATGCAATACTGAAATATACAGAAGATTGAATACTGTGTGCGAAAGCTGAGGATTCATGGCGAAGACATACCTCTTTCGCGATCCTCAGGGCTTCAGTATGGTCTCCACATTCTATAGCATTGTTAATGGCTTCGCATTCAGTCTTGATTGTATCAGAATAGGTTGAATCGAGTGGTTCAGTCTTGCTCTGTTCTTGACGGAGTTCATCGGTTGAATCATCAGATAATGGCCATTTCTGATCTTTCGAGGACAGCAGAGACGTTGATGGAAGAGCATCAGGGGTGTCCACAGGATTATCCAACTGCCATTTCGACTGAATTTCAATGATTCTCATGAGTTCGCGGGTGTCCATAGTAATCCACTGATCATTTTCAAGCATTTGAACCGAAGATACCCCTTCCATGATCCTCCGGGCTTCACCATATGAGGGAACTTTTAACTCATTGCATTCTCTCTTGATTGTATCAGAGTCGGTTGAATCGAACACTGGTTCAGTCTTGCTCTGTTCTTGATGGAGTTCATCCGTTGAACTGGTAGCCGGTGGTGCTCTACCACCTGCAGAGGCATTCTTAGGTGGCTTTGGCGGTTTGGGGCGCCGATGATTGTTTCTCCTCTTATGTCCCATTCAAAGATTTGATACTGAACTGATTTGAGTGAATATGAATGTAGAGAGAGAGAGAGAGAGAGAGGGAGAGAGAGAGAGATGTATTGAATATAAGATAGAAATAATGGTATGGACCAAGATAAAAAGACCACTTATATAACCTTTCTGCTGTTTCTCTCTCAAGAAATAGTCTTTTGCAGAGAGAGAGAGAGAGGGTAGTCTTTTGCAGAGAGAAAGAGAGAGAGAGAGAGAGAGAGAGAGAGAGAGAGAGAGAGTATTACTTGTACTACAGATCAGTAACGGAAGGTTGTTGGACAGTTACTCTGTAGAGGGAGGTTCTTGAATTGAGTTAACAAAATTGTAAAGGCTCTGTTTCTTGAAGTCAGTCTTGCTCTTGCACTGGATCTTTCGCGCTGTTGTGAAATCGCATTCCTTGTTGGCTCTGTTTATTGACCACAGTATATTCCGACTTACAATTTCCTATATAATTCTTGATTTAAAAAAATGTAAACATTTACATACACTAACAATTATATTTTTAATATTTTTAATTTTATAGTTAAAGATATGGAAAAGCAAATAAAATAATTTATTTATATATATTTATAACTAACCGGTCCTATTCAGGATGTTTTGGGCACCAAAACTGTTTCTACACAGGCCTTTTGTTGGGGCTCCCTCCCTGCATCACAACGGAACCGCTTTGATGCAATTTTATGGAATAGCTTAGTGACAAAGACTACCTCCATTTTGGTGGTCTGGAGTTCGAATCTCTTTGGGATCACTCCAAGTGAGTTTTTCGAGTCCAATGCATGTGGGAGTGGACAGGATGTGTTCGGTGATGGATTAAAATATACACAAACCCCCAATAGTAAATCTTCTCAAAAACAATGAATAGCCTGTCTTGCCAACCCCCAGTTATGTCAATGCACCCAAACTTGGCATAAATACCAAAAAATGCTGTCCCGATGCACATAAGAGCACAAACAGTGAGCCCATTGCTCACACAAAATTCAGCATTCCCACCTTCACACAGCAACCCATCCCCAAAAACATCCAACAGCCTCTGAAGCCAAATCAAATCGAAGTTACCCATTTTATAAGAACCCAACACTGAATAAAATCTAAGCTAGAAATTTTATCAAACACCTTCAGAGCATCACCCAAAACTTCACCTTCAGCGTAAAATCGCAGTCTGTACGTGACCATCACACAGAGCTTGCTATTCCAATAGTTGTTGTGGTGAAGACCATGGATGATGGTAATGCCGATGACGATGATGACGATGGCTTGAAAGGCCTTGAGTTGGAGCAGCATTTTGCATTGAATTACGTACATCGATTGGCTGTGGTCGTTTTGAGGTGGCATAGAAGTACGGTTAGTTCCCTTGTTTCGATTAAGAAAGGTTAATTAGTAAATTCCTATATAGAGCCTGTGGCGGGAAAAAAAACTTATTTGAATTGAGATAATGAGAAGGGTGTCAATCCGGTGCACGAAGTTTCTACACTACAAGATGTACGTACTAAGCCCAAAAAAACAAAGAAAAATAAAGTAAAATTGTTATTATTATACTTATTTTTTAAAATTTTTAATTTGTTCTCCTTGTAAAAGCTATTAAAATTCATGTAGAGCCCCTATAAAAGAGTATATATAATAAAAAAACATTAAAACCTTACATTTCCAAAAAGGAACACTTTTGGACTAGGATGTGTGTTTGATCATTTATAAATTAAGATTGTGAAATTAAGAATGGTAAAATCGGAAACAGAAACCGTATGCTTAGGCACTGTTTGGTATTCATTTTTACTTTGTATTTTTTTGTTTTGGAGTGATTAGTGAAGCAAAGAAATGGCCCGTAACATATTTGGTAATGGACTTAGATTAGCTAACAATGTGACTTAGCCCTGGTCCTGTCCAATATTGCAATGGAATACCATATGTGTAGAGCTTGACCCTAACCGGGACAGAGGTAATAGGCTGATCAAATTCGAAGTCAAGGGCCCATTTCTTGAGATTCAGTGGTCTGCAACAATTGAAGCCCATGATAGGATTTGACAGAGTGAATGTCACGTCTTAAAAATAATAGTGTCCAAAATATATGACAGTAATTTAAATATATATATATATATATATAACTATATCAGACAGTTTTTTTTAATTGAATTGTAAGGATATAAAGGCCATTAGTGTTTTTACTTTTTAGCTTATGGGTACTCATTGTAATAAGAATTTTAAACAAAATATTTGAGCCAAAACAGATTTTACGAATAAATATTTTATTAGAACCTTTTGTCACATTTGAGAAATTACTGGGTTCTTACGAGCTTTGCAGCAATTAATTTAATATCCACTTCCTCACAAATTCCTAGCAGTTTGCAAGGTGGTTTATATAAACCCAATGTGAAGGCCGAATTGATTTTAGTTCTTTATAATAGAAAAGCCTTCTGTTGGATTCATGAGACACTGGCAGCAGGTATTGGGTTTTTAAAGGTACCTAAAAAAATAAAAAAAAAATGGTGTACTGAACACGTGATTTTTTTAAATAAAAAAATAATAATTCAAGCAATAACTTTTATAGTTTTATGAGTAATATGACCTAGTCAACTTGTCAATAATTTTCAAATCACAATAAAACATACATTCATATCCAAAAGCTGAAGACTAGTATGATCTAAAAAATAAATATTGGGTCAGATTCACAAACAAGTTCTCTTTACTATAACCCAATCAAAAAATTAGTAATTTGTACCAATAAAATGCAACAAATGTGAGGCTTCTCAAGATGAGTATATAAAAGCTTCACCAAATTGGGAAAATACTTTAAATTCATTCCAACGAATGCCCCAAGTCGAATAGCATCAAAGTGGACCGGAGGACTACGTGGTCTTAAGGCTACCCATGAAGGGAACAATATAATAAGATTAACAAACCTGATGGAGTGTGCGATAGTCCATGACTTCTCTTCCAGAAAATAAATCTTATATTGTTGTCACTCAACATGCGATATCAAAAGTTATATTTTTTTGGAATAAAGTTTAAGAGTAAAATTATGCGGACTCAGACTCAAAGCGGACAATGTCATACCATGTGGTGGAGCGGGTAGTTACAAAAGGTATCAGAGCCTGACCCACCTGAAAGTATGCCGATGAGGACGTCGGACCTTAAGGGGGGGTTGAATTATGATGACCCTGTGGGGGGGTGTGTCGTGGGCGGATGCAAGATACTGACAGGCTACCACGCTGGCGAGTTACGGATGCACAATCTCACATTGCCGAAAGGAAAAAGTGAAGTGCTTATATATAGGTATGTCACTCCAATTGGTATCAGGCCTTTTGGAATAAAGTCCAAGAGCAAAATAGTGCATGCTCAAGCCTAAAACGAACAATATTGTAATAAAGGGGTCGTTACAAATGGTATAAAAATTTTATTATTTATCTTATTTATCTTTGAAGATTAATGAATTTTATTCCGTAGAGATTATTTATTAATTTTCCCTTTCAGATATTGTATTTGGGTCTTTCAACCATTAGAACATTCATCAAGTTAATGTCTCCACCGTTACTTTCAACGACCAAATGTTGGGCATGGCACCATGGTATTCTAAAATTTTCAATAAGAATACTATATATAGTATATTCACATTGTTGAGCGGTATTAAAATGAATTTCCACTATCAGCCACCGATTGAAATGCAAACTACAAGCGGCAAAGTTGAAATAAACAAGAAAAAAGGGGGCAAATTAAGGGCTCTCTCATGGGAAGTACCTTCACACAATTTGGATTCTATAGAACTTTATTTTGTGTGTTTTGAGAAATAATAATAAATAAATAAAAAGAGAGAAAAATAAAATTATCATTTTTGGTAATGGTAAATTTTCAAAGGCATATAACTAAAAATAAATAAATAAATTTACAAGTAGGGGTCAATGTTCCCCTCATTCCTCTTTAAATCCGTCCCTGCTCATACCAAAGCAGCAGCAATCCCACATCTTCCAAAAAAATTGCTTACTCTTATTATAAGAGGGCATACTGTTCTCTACTAAAGCCGTCTTTGAGCCATCAATAAGTTTCTGCAACTCTTGCTTTGCATATGCAATTCTCTCTTCAGCTGTCTGGAACTTATAAACATGACCACTGTCACTCCTCTCGCCCTCCGGCCCCGGTATAGTATCTTTGGCCGGATCAATTGGATTTCAAATCGATAATGCTCGCTCACACTCTCGTACCACTTCCTCGTAACGTTTAGCTTCGTACAGCACTCTAGCGTAGAGAAGCGCGAACAGATATGAGTTGGGTGATAGCAACACTGCTCGCTTGGCGGACTCCACCGCATTCTTCAAGTGCACTTGTTTTTGGACGCTGTTTTTGTTTTCGAGTTTTGACGCCATATGGAAATATACAGAGCATTGAATGCGGTGTGCGAGAGCAGACGATTCGTGACGAAGACATAGCTCTTTGGTGATCCTGAGGGCTTTTAACGCGGGCTTGCATTCTGTCCTGATTGTGTCACAAGAAGTCGTGATCGAGTGTCTGTGAATATGGAGTTGAATTGAGAATAAATTTGAATCTACAGTATTGAACACAAAGAATACTATTGAAGTACTACGCAGTATATGTTAAATATAATAAAGAAAATCTAAGCCAATTGGAAACCTATCAGTATTAGGAACCTAACATGACTTTTCTATTGGGAAGCTATCAGAATCAGGAAACCAACAACGTACAAATGACGTTTCCGATTGATTTTGCTCATGACGTTACTGTTCGAATGAAAATAATGCTGAGCTGTTATAAAATTGTGGTTGATAAAATGCAATTCTATTATTAATTTTATAACATTAAAAGTTATAATTATTATTCTAAAGTTAAAAAATAGACTTTTAAAATACTATAGTATTATTTAATGGTAGATGGTTTGTTATCTTACTTGGCGATCTGACAATTTTTCGTCCCCATAAGTATAATATTGAATAGCAAGATTAAATTTGATATTTCACAATCTATTTAACTAGTTAATACAGTAAGTTTTATTAATTTAGGAGTTTTTTTTTTTTTTTTTACAGAGTTTTATGTATGGTTTTAAAAGTAAGGGATTTTATGATGTTAACCTTTATTTTATTGTAAGACTACATTTAGTTAATTAATCGTTCAATTTCTTCAAAAATCCTTATTTACATAAATTGAAACAATTGGAGTGATTACACATTTTGCATAGGACTAAGTATATAAAATATCTCTAAAGTTTATTTTTTGCGCAAATAACACTCCTATAATTTATTTTATGTATATAAATTCTTTAAAAATTTTAAAATGTAACAAATAAGGGTTTGCTATTAGAAAATGACTGTCATGTGCGATGCACATGGCATTTTTTACATTTGAAAATCCTAAAATGCCCTTTCTTTATTCCAAATCAACTGCCACTACCACTTTCTACTCTCTCTCTCTCTCCTCCCAAATTGGATTCCAAGATAGAACATTAGTCGAATTGTTTGGGATGCTTCAATGTGGTTGGTAATTACTTAGTTAATATACAATAAATAACATAAGCTTAAATTCACTCATGGAATAAGTAAGTGTCATTCAATTTCATTTTGAATCTCCATGTCGAAGGTGAATATTGAAGAGAGGAAATGAAGGTGACGTCGTTGCCAAAAAAGATGACGACTGAGAGATAAATAGAGGAAGCTTTAGGTTTTGCTGAACAAATGGGTCGTCAAAGGGAAGAGCTTTAGGAACGCTAGTGTTTTGTTTTTACAATAGGGTAAAATGGATGGCCAATATTATAGTTATATACATACATATATATATTTATGTATTTATTTACTTACGTAATTGTTATTCCTTATACAATTTTTTTCTCTTTATATTTTATAGAGAATCTCACCATTTCTTTTTATAAAGTTTTTATAATTAAATATAGTAGGTAACATTTTATTAAAAAATTAACAAGAAAAGTACTTTATAAAATATTGTCACCAATAAATTTTAAAAAATTAATTGTGGAAATAGTAATTTTTGATGTTTTTTATCATTATAACAGGGGCCATAATATTTTCACTGAAAAAAAAAAAAAAAGCACTCAAAATGAGGGTGAGGGTACTTTTGGATATTTGAAACAATACTAGTTTGGGTGAAGGTGAGGGTGAGGGCACTCAAAATGAACAAAGGTGGATAATTGAAATAATCAAGAAAGGATACCTGTGAGTAGGATAGTACGTGAGTCTGATAGTACTTAACAATTACGCTTAACATTTGTTTTTTTGAAAGTTCAATTACGCTTAACATGTGCTAACAGTTCTACTATATTATTGATGCCGCCATTCATGACTTAATACTTGAGATTAAATAATATTTTCTAAAAGTTATTACACTCAAGTACACCGTTAAATATGCACATTAATAATTTTTTTTATCATCAAAATCACCAAGTCCCCTTAACTTCAAACCTTGGGCTGTAAGAATCTCCCAATTATATGTCTCTGTCGTTCATTAGGTTAAATTTCAGGGGGTATAGTGTAATTTTACCATAAATATTTTCAACACCCCGTGACAAAACCAATCGTTTTCTGCCACGCCATGAAAACATAACTAATCAGACTGTGCCGAGAAGCATCAGATTTTCCCTTGACATAAACAAATTCCACCCCTCCTTTTATCTTCTGTAACAATGGAACCATGAAAATATGAAGCTGACCATGAACGTCACCTTCCCACGGTTCGTCCTTCGTTTTGGGTTTTCTTCCAAAACCCTAACTTACCCCCGAAACCATGCCAATTTTCTTTTCTTCCCAGAAAGAAAAAGACATATCACAACTGCCCTCTCTTCTCAAAATGTAAGATTTGTTAGATACACAGTTTGTGTAAATTTAGATACATACATATATACATGTTTGTGTGTGTATATATATATATCAAGTTAATGGTAGATATTTTAATTTTTTTAATTGGTGGGCAGTCAAGTGAAGAGTTACTAGTGGTGGTTGGAGGCGGAGCAGCTGGAATATATGGAGCAATTAGGGCTAAATCTATAGCACCTAATCTCAAAGTGCTAGTTATTGAAAAGGGGAAGCCTTTATCAAAGGTTTGTATTGTTTGGAATGTACATATTTGTTTATTTTTGTATGTGGTTGGATTATGACTACACTCTTATTGGTCTTTTTGTAGTTACAACAATATTGTATATTGATTATGTGACGATTGTTGAATTGTACTTTTGGGCATTTCCTGAGAAAAATATTCATGTTTGGCAGGTTAAAATTTCTTGAGGTTGTCGATGCAATGTGACAAATGGGCATTGTACTGATAATATGGTTAGAATTGTTGAATTCCGAATGAATGTTGGGCATTGTACTGAAAATATGGTTTATGTTGGGCATTCATTGAATGAATGAGTTGTATTTGAATACATATGTGTCTATGTCATCAAGTGTTTCAGTGTGAAAAGTGAAGGATCAACGTTGGAAAGTCTGTTGGTTTAGGAAATCGTGGTGATATCTATGCATTGTTTTTTTTTTTTCAAAGCCTATTTGTCTCACTTGAATCTTGACACGTGAAGACTGAAGAATCATGAACTGTTACTTTTTTCTTAACTTTTGTTGTTGATTATATCTTAATACTGATAAAAATATTCACTTGAAGGCTATTCCGCCTTTACTTGGAAATTTAAAACATACATCACAGTTTAATTATTTATTGTCTAGGCAGTTCCAATTCTAAGGCGGGTTCCGAATATTTGACTGCCGTGTAGTTATTATTACCCTTCAAGTCTCACATGTCAGAACCAAAATGATCATTTTTTACTGTTTTTGGAATATTCATGACTTGTTTTAGTTACTTTTCTCTAACACTGGGTGAAAAAAATGTAGATAAGTTGGGAGGCATTTTGAAAACCCTTAGCTGACATACTGAGCTGCACAATTGTAATTTTTGTTTTATTTCTCTCTCATGGAGAATCAAGGACAGTTCAAGTTGGACTTTGAACACAAGCTCTGTAATGATTTTGCCTTTCTTCAATCAATGGATTTGTCAACAGTCTGCTTCAGAATGTGAGACTATGCTCAACTCAACAAAGCCTTTTTCCCAACTACTTGGGATCGGCTACATGAATCTCATTATTCCATCCCGTTCTATAGATGGTCAAAGCCTCAGTCAAACTAAACGTTATTATATCCTTCCTTACTAACTATACTCAAATTAATTTTGGTGTTTCCCTTCCTGCGGCATTTATACGAACCATGTCACTCTTTCTAACTGGTGGATAGAATAAAAGAACACGAAGAAACCCAATTTTCTTACAGACTGAATTCTGGCAGCCCTATAACTTACATGCTAAATGGAACCATTAAATAATAAATAACTAAAAAGAAAAATTCATTTTCTTTCATTGCATGGAATCAATTCAATCTGGCCTTTTTAGAGTCAGTGACCAGCTGCATAATTGAGGAAACAAAATAGTTACTTGTATTTCGAGCATATATCTTAATGATGTGATGTTCATAATGTGAATCGCTTATCTTATGTCTAGGTTTTGGCGGAAAATTACCCTAGGGGTTATAAGGAACTGAGAGGCTCTTTCTTCAGTATGCATGGCCCTGTGGATACGATGTCCTGGTTTTCTAATCATGGGGTGCAATTAAAGGTTCATCTTCCAAAGTGGACATGACTTCCTTATTTTTTCAATAATGCTTATCAGCATATATAATTATTAATTACCATTGGGTATTACCATTCTGCTTCAGACTGAAGATGATGGAAGGGTATTTCCTGTCAGTAACAGCTCATCTTCTATTATTGATTGCCTTATGTTTGAAGTAAAGCAGAGCGGAGGTATGTCAGTGCACTTGGCAATGGAAGGTGCTATTTATGTTTTCTATTCAACTTATGTGATTGATAATGATCCTTGTTTGTGTTTGTGTGTGTGGGTGTTTCTTTTGTTTGTTTGTTTGGCTGTCCTTTTTCATTTCCTGGGGGTGGGGGTGTGGTGGAGTTTGTTTCTTTGACAGCCAGACCTCAACATGACATTTCCTAACCATATGGTTTCTCTCTATCATGAGGGTTAAAATGGGTGCCTCCTTTGACCAGGTTATTTTGTTATGAACTTGGTATTTGAACTTTGAACTAGTGACCTCTTATAATGAATCAGCTCGTCACACCAATGGGGCTACAAAGCTTCTGTTAACCCTGTGGTACTTTTAATCAATATAAAATTATAAAGTTTATTTTCTTACAACATACATGATTTTTTTTTTTTTTTTGATAAGTACAACATACATGATTAAGTGTTCAGTATTGTCCAAGGTATGGTCTGTTTGATGTCCGAGGTACTTGGGAAATATGAATTTATCATTTCTATAAATAGTTATCTACGTGATTAGATCATAATATTAGCTTTAGCAGCAATATATGACAACAAATCTGAGAAAGAAACCTGTTATCTTCTTTTAAAGCTTTTGTTGGCCAGAACCCGCAATGTTGAAAAATGTGGTTCTTATTAGTCATGAGGTAAAGACTAAATCCTTTTCATTTCATGTATATGTATATTTTTTATTTGTTAGCAAAATGTTGGGTCCCTTCTAATTTGTAAACATTCTGCTGGTGTATCTGGTAACAATGGAATGTTTCAAAATAGAATGCTAGTCTCAATGACCTTAGTATGCTAAGAGAGGATTTAGCATTGTTTTGCAATGAGAGTAAGCCTCCTACTGTATGATGTTATCTTAGATGTCAAGTTCTTGATTGTTGAACATACTTTCTTGTTGCACAATTTTATGTTTGCATAGAGACATGTACTGAATAAAGCTTAAATACTAGTCTTCCAGCAAAAAACAAAGAAGAAGAAAGAAGTTATATATTTATAATAATAATAAATAAATAAATAAATAATAGCAGTCTTTAGTAATATCCTTATATCTACAAGCAGTCTATGTTGAAATATGAATTCTTTACTCAGTTCTACTGCAGACTGGCAAAGTCGTAACAGCTGTATCTGCCACTGATAGTGGGAAATTCCTTCTCAAGATTGAGAAGCGTACAATTGACTTTGTAGAATTTGTTGAAGCTGATTATCTATTAATTGCCAGTGGGAGTAGCCGACAGGTTATTATCAGTTATAGGCTCATTGACATGTTTGTATGTGTAGATCTGATTTCTGTATTCTATAACTCTTAGTGTTGCCTTCCAGGGTTATGCACTTGCTGCGCAACTTGGACATTCCCCAATAGAACCAGTACCGAGTTTATTCACTTTCAAGATTCAGGATTTGCAGTTGGCAGAATTGTCTGGGGTAATGGTCTACTCTAACCGATGGAAATCCTCATCATGGTACATTTAGTGGTTAGAAAATCACAATTTTTCCTTTTCTTATGCAACTTAATGATGTAAGTTAAGTATAGGCTTCATATATGGTTAGTTACACTTAATAGAGGTCGGCACATTCCTTCTTTTCTATAGTTACAATATTCACCAATTGGAGATAAGAATGAACAGATTATAAGTATCAACATAAATGCTTACTTAAATGGTTTTAATCTCTATGATGTAATTATTTCGGCATCAATAGGTTCAATTCTCTCATCAAATGATTTGTATGACTGTTATACCAGTAAAATTAGAGACTGGATTATAGCTGGATCTATAATTTTACAATTCTCTCCAGAGCCAGCTGTTTAATGACATAATATTCTGTTAATTTTTCTATATTGGCATATGTTAATCGTCTTAACTTGCCTAAACCTCATTCCTCAGGTTATGCTATTATACTAATTGTTATGTGGCATGTGCAATTATTCACTAATTATAATTTGGCCTTCATGAATTCATTCTATTTTGTATGGAATATTCACAGGGAAATAATTTTGTTTTACTTTTGTTTTCTTGCTCAGGTTACATTCCCTAAAGTTAAAGCAAGGTTGAAGTTACAAAATGTTCAAAAGACTATACCCTGGCTTACACAGGTATGATTTTCTCATTGACGTTATTTGGAAACTTATAAAAAAACAAACATTGATATTATTTGGAAAATCAATAATGTATACAACATAACCATAAATATTGTGTTTTAGGTTGGACCCATGCTAATCACACACTGGGGGCTTAGTGGGCCAGTAATTCTTCGGTTATCTGCTTGGGGAGCCCGTGAGCTGTTCGGTGCAGGTTATGAAGGTAAACAATCCTATTTTCTTCGGGATAATTTGTCTCTCCCCAAACTAATAGCATAATAATGCAGGGATTCTTTCTGTGGATTTTGTTCCTGATCTTCATATCGAAGATGTGAAGTCCACTCTTCTTGAACACAAGAATCAGTTTGCGGTAACCATATTCTCCACTTCCTTTTTTTTTTTTTCCCTTGAATTTCATATCCAGTGCTAACTGGTTACCTTTTATCTGGTTTGTCACACAAAAATGGAGTATATTTAAATGAATAAGTACCTTGAGAACTGTCATTATCATCATCCTTGCCTCAATCCCATATGAATGTTTTATTATTATTTATTTATTTATTTGGGCAGGTCCCATATGAAAGGTGTTGCTCACATGAATTCTAATTTTTTCGTTCTTTTCTTTTCTATTACAAGTCTTTTATGCTACAACATTTGACTTTTAAAAATCTTTTTTAAAAATTTCATCCCATGTTAGTTTCGGTCGCCCTCTTGGTGCATCCGTGAGAAATCTCATTTATCTAATACAGTTAGTCTTTCAAATTAAATAAGGAATTATCCAAGCTACTTGGTACTGGAAAATTTTATTTTTATGGCAGTATTGAAGAGTACTTTTTGCCTAAATGTGTTGTCTTCAATTGGTATAACTTACTGAAGAGTAAGGGACCTGTTAAAATTTAATCCTAGCTTCCATCTCACTATTAATTTTTCAATTGTTTAGGGTGTCAATCATAAATATCCTCTCTGGTTTTAATTCATGGGTTTTGCTACACCAAACTACCAACGAATTTTATTGTTTTACAACTGAGAACTGCATTTTTGTTTGTCCACTGTCTGCAGAAGCAAAAAGCGCTCAACTTATGTCCTTCAGAATTTGGCCTTGTGAAGAGGTTTTGGAAGTATATACTAGAACGCGAGGTTCTGTGAACATCCCTCCAGTTGCTTGATCATTGGCAGGGGATATACTTTTATTACAAATGAGAACTAATGTATATTCATATGCAGGGTGTATGTGAAGATATCTTGTGGGCTTCCGTTTCGAACAATTCATTAATGTCTGTTGCTTCTCTGTTGAAGCAGTGTTCATTTGCAGTGAAAGGGAAGGTAAAGTGCTACACAACACCTGTAATTTTTTTATTTTCTTCAATATTTGTGCCTCTTTCATTGATGTGCAATTTTGCATACTGAAGGGCCAATTTAAGGATGAATTTGTCACTGCTGGAGGTGTTCCATTGTCTGAGGTTCTCTCTCTCTCTCTCTCTCTGTTTTTGTGTGTGTGTGCCCGCATGTACATGGAAATATGACTGTTCTTTGTTGCTTTTTGAAGATCTCGCTGAACACGATGGAGAGCAAGATACAGTCACGTCTATTCTTTGCTGGAGAGGTAGTATTACTTGATATGATTGTAATTTTTCTTTTTAAATTTTAACATGGAAGTAAAGAGAAACCCATTGCTGTTGCATCCCTGTGGTGGCAATAACTTCAATTATGGGCTAGATCGACTTAGACTTGCCACATAATATATTTAATGCAATTGTATTTGTATTTGTCAATAAATTTAAGCTGGACTTATGGCACTAAAATCTTCCTGTAGGTGCTAAATGTTGATGGGGTAACAGGCGGTTTCAATTTTCAGGTAATTAAAACGTGTTCCACAAATGAGGTGCATCATTTTGATATATTATAGAAATAGCTATTTACACGTATTAAGAAATGAAAATCTATCAAAATGCAGTTGTATAAAATTAGCTATAAATGTACCACCGAGTCTTTAACTTAACTTTAATTCAAGTGGTAGTATATCCTCCTCCTTTCGCATGGGGGGTTGAGGATATAAGTTCTCTATTCGGGCAATGGTAAGTGTTTCCATGAGCCTTTTAAAGCTCCCTTTCATTATTAAACTCTATGCAAATTTAAAAACTTAAATCTCCATTGAATCATTTTCCGGAATTTGCATTCCATTGGTTTTAGATTCCAAAATACCGACCATTCATTTGGTATAAGTTTTCCATGGGATATCTAATTGTTAAATCATTTTACTGTTTTTATTTCGAAGTATTTGGACAGAAGTTTCACGTGTTTAATTTTTCAGATGACAGGTAGAACATCAATCTTTATAGTTACCATCTGTAATTAACCTTTGCTATCATGTTACATCTATCATAGAGTGGGATATTTTTGTACATCTTTTTATAAAACTATAATCCAAAGGCTGCAAGGTCATTTAGACCAGCCAGTTCAACCAAGTCCTTTAATTTTGTGGCTTTATTCTTATCTTCCAAAACAGAGTTTGAAATTCTCTGTATTTCGACTATAATTGTATCCGTACAATAACCCAAAATGGTTTCTTCAACCTTAGAGGCATTGTCGGTCTTCTACCACCTGATAGTTTGATGGGATAATTACACTTACCCCCGTGGATTGCCTAAATCAAATGGACTTCTCTTATGGTCTCAAATACAACACTGACCTCCATGTTAGTTGTCCCGAAGGTGTTAGCTGACTATTATATCCATTGTGCTTTATTGTTTTTTAATATAAAATGTTGGTTCCGTTATGGACAAGGTAGCCTTTTTAAGTTTTTGAAGGATATTCTTGGGTTTTAAGTAAATATTTAGAATGACACAAGTAGACAAGAGTGTAAGATTTTATGACAAGGAGGTCAGTGTTACTTAGATCCGAATCAGAGGAAAGTTCAGTGTTATATTTAAAATTAGAAAGGAGGTCCCTGTTATTTAGGCAATCTACGGAGGAATTATCCCATAGTTTGATTGTTAGGCCAATTTATACAGGCTTCTAATATTTTTGTTACTTTATTTCAGAATGCTTGGTCAGGTGGATACATTGCAGGAACTACTATTGGTAATTTGGCATTAACTGCTAATATGAAAAAAGGAAGTTGTGATACAGGCATCAAAGCGTGAAGATTAGCCTGAATAGCTAGTTCATGTATATAACATTTTTGAATGATAAGAGTAGCTTTTTGATTAACTGTGAATTGACATTTTATTTTCTGATTAACTGTGAATTGACATTTTATTTTCTTTCTTTGTCTGTTTTCTTCTTGCTTCAATTTTATTTACGACGTGAGGAAACTAAAAAAATAAAAAATTAATTGATGATTATAAATTTGGAGAAGCGAACTAGTCAAACAAGAAAAAAAATAATTATAGAGAACCGACATTAGATTTGAATTTGAAACAAATCTCGTTCAAAATTTTAATTAATTTTTTATTAATTTTAAATTCAAATCGAATTGATGCTTCTAAACATAACATTAGAAAATAATAAAATTAGAGGCGTGAAGGTATGAAGGCAGGGAGCCTAGGGACGCAATTAGGCATATATTGCATGAGAGAGGGGCGGCTAAGGTTTAACTTCCAAGTATCAAACCTTCAAATCTCAAGTATCAAACTTTCAAATCCGAGTGCACCCATGTTCAAATTTTTTATTATTCAAATTAAGGTCTGATTAGGAAAAAATTACATAAGGTTTATCTGAGGTTAGTCTTGAGTTTAAATGGTACCGCATAAAAAATTTAATTTAAATTATAGCCGGTATTTGAGCGACTTCAATAATTAGCGTCTAACAAAATTGAATTCATAAAATGAACAATGTAAAGACCATAATTCCATTAAAAATTAAGTTCAAACTAGTTTTTTCAACTAAATCAATGTAAAAATGAATAAATTTATGAAAAATCGGGTTAAAGTTGAATTAAGTTTGAGTTATGGGGTCTACACCCATGTGTTACTCCGTACCGTATAATGATTGACAATATTTAATTTTTGATAAATTATACTCACACTCTCTGAAGTTAGGTCATGTTTTAACTAGATGAAGATTATGGTTTTAACTCTCACTTACACTCCAATTTATTTTTTTGCCTATGAATTGACCCTTTTATCATCAATTTTTTAATACAATATATATATAATCTTAAATGACAAAAAGGCCCCTTTATATATATATACTATTTGTACACGTAATCTGAGTCCACCACGTCATTTATGGTCCCTAGCAATCCTAACCATCCAAATGCATACATCAGCACATTCCCTCTTCTCTCCCTGCAAACCAATTGTGATACCCCTCGATTCTAGAGCCACGGGTGATCAAGTCCGAGCACAGATCCGAGGGATACCAAACAATTAATATGTAAACAAGCAGAAATAAAAACTGAATTAAGAATAAATTAATAATACGCTGAAAGAAATTTAAAATAAGAATCCTCAAACTTGAAATAATAAATATAATTTAAAACCGTACAACTCGGGAATCCACCTAGTGGATCCCTAATTCCAAATCCTTGAATAAGTTTACAGAATTAAAATCCAAAATTAAAATAGAAAGAAAAATCCTATGTAACCGGAAGAGTGAGTGTTTGTATCTGCATCAACACGATCAAGCTCTAAGCTAGGTACTGTCGAACACCTGAAAAATAATAGAGTGGGTCAGGCCCACATGCAAGTCCTGATCTACTACGATCCAAACAGGAATCCGATACGCAGATACATCTTAGATAGACTCAACAATATCTAGAGTAGTCCATATATGTATATATTACACACTATAGGACGCTCACTAGTCCAATAGGTATGTTTCAGCCTGAGTAGAGATACCATGCAAATCGCACGTAATGTGGTTATGTGTATCTAGACCTACCAGGGAACAAAACTACTGTCCAGTTATCTATCCTAGGCGATATACGCACCCTAACCATGGTCCTGAGACTCAAGCTCATACCATGGCACCATAACATAAATATATAAAGTCCGTACTCCTCATAATACAGAATATCATCCATCTGTGTAGTGGTCTGATATCTATATAATAAATCCATTCGGAAACCATAGTAGATCATTTAATTCACAATTGATATGACACATGTAGGTGATGGACTTAACCTTTATGGTTAATCCATACCTGAATCCAAATTGGGTCGGACTTAGTGTTTTGAACTAATCCATTCCCAATATAGATAGGTTTTAGTGTTTTGGACTAAGCCATCCCTAATATGACACCGTCCCATACCGGTTCATATACATCCGTATAAGTGGGACTTAACCTTTTTATGGTTAATCCAACTCATTCCAAATTAGGTAGGATTTAGTGTTTAAACTAATCCATACCTAGTATGCCACCGTCCCATACCGGTACATACAATCCTCCAAATAACATAGTTTATAAATAACACTACGTATACAACAACCATTCTCCAAAATATGCATCATTATAATCTAATACATATATATCAATATTAGGCATTCATTATGAGGCCTAACAATAACATTCCAATAATGTAAACTGCTAAAATAATCTAAGCATTTACATTCTTCAACTTGTCCATAAATCGATGCAGTTCCATAGCAAGGTGTATATAAATTTGGTCCAACATAAGTATAGTTAAACATGGGTGTAACTAAGTCATGCCTCCACTAAAAGATTTAGAACCCAAGTTTCAGTCCATTAAGTTTAATAAAACATGTTTATGAAACTTACTTCTCCAAACAATACTATAATTGATACATTTATGTACAGACTTAAATATCAGTCTATTCCAACTAAGCATACACATTATTAAATAGCAACATGCTTATAACAGAGCTGCAAAACATGACTCCAAACCTAAGAACATGCAAAGGCATCAAATCTCCTCCAAACAGTGTTGTAACAAATGAGATATATAACAGATTAAAATTATCAATCAATCCCAACAAAGCATACATGTATTTAAATAACATAATGCTCATAACTCAACTACAGAACATGATTAAAACTTAAGATCATGCAAATAAATCAAATTGCAAATCAGTCTGCAACATAAGTCAATTGTTCACTTATCCACATACCGACCTTCGATTAAACTTATGTTAACTATGTCCTAAATTCTGACTATAAACTTGCTTCTCAACTATTTTATAAGTCTTACACCATGTATTAAGTCACCCAAAAGCTTTTAAACAATTTTAAGAACCACAGTGCCAGCCAAACAGAACCTAGAAACTCAGTTTTATGCAATTCCAAGAGAAAGAGAAGGCTTTGAGTTTCAAAGAGCCTTCTCCAAAAAAGGAGAGCCGGCTCCCCTTCCTTAGGAGCCGGCTCTAGATGGTTGAGAGCCGGCTCTTGTGTTTTGGGAGCAGGCTCCCTCCATTTTTGGAGCCTGCTCTCACTTCTAAGAGCCGTGCCTGTTTTTTTTGTTGTCCTCTCCGACTCCTGTGGTTTTCAGTCTTTCAATTCTGTTCTATTACATGTTTTAAGTACCTATCCTCCTCCCAGATTGATCACAAAGCAAAGTTATACATCAATAATTTAATTACAGATCAATGTTTTAAGCAACGATAAACATATAAAAACTGAAACTTGTAAAAACTGAGAAATAGAAAATAATCCAGTGATGTTAGAAACTAATTTAACATGTTTAAACAATGTGATTAACACTTAGTTTAATTCCTGGAGTCCAACTAAGCATGCACATAACACAAATTCTTGGGAAAGAGAAGAACAGAACTTGCCTTTGAAACTTTGAATAAAAACTCCACCTGTTGTCTCTATCTTCTCCGGCAACGTGGGTTGTGTTAAACCACCCTTGCTACTCCTATTGCAGTCCAATAACACACACCAAACTTCCTTCCTTGACTCAGCTTTGTGAACCACCCAAATTCACACTCCGATTTTCTCTGTATCTCTCTGGTTTTTACTACAAGATTAGAGCTCTGTTTGTGGTTTACAGAACGTACGTTTATTTTTCCTAAACCCTAAACCACCGTATTGCTTATACTTATAGGTGAAAGCAATAACCTTAATTCACGTGTATTCAGAGACTAAGCTCTAACTCCAATCCTAGTCGGCCCATGAAACCCTCTAAGTTGTAAAATACAATGGCTTACTATACAACATTCTTAACCCTACTGTTTAACTAACGTATTGTTTTAAAACAATTCATTCACTTAATTTCCATAATTAAATAACTACATCAAATAACTTAAGTCAAATAAAACGAAGATGCAACTAAACCAAAAAGAAGCTAATTAATTCAAATAAAACAATTAACTCAATCAAATTATTCAAGTAATTAATTAAAACAAATTTAAGTAAATCATTTATTTAAAAATAAATACACACTTAATCAATTAAACAAACCAAAACACATAGCTCACATATTAAAAATGCAATAAAACTCAAAATTATCAAAATTAAATTCCCATTCCATCCTTTTGGAAACTAGGGGTATTACACCAATCCTCTTCAAATTTTCGTCAATGATTTCACCCACATTGCGGATTGGAATTTTGGTAAAATAAAATCAACGAATTATACAAAAGATATAATTAAATCTAGGGTTAAGTGCAAAAAACCCCCCCGATATATAGACTTTGTGCAAAACTAGTCCATACTTTTTGAAAATGTGCATGCAAGTTCATAAAATTCAAAAAAGGTGTAGAGTTAGTCCCTCTGACCACTTTTTGGTCAAAATTGACATAAAATAAATTTAAAAACCCTAATTTGCCCTTTTATGTTCCTATTTTACCCTTTTGTTGAGTTGATTCAGTGTGTCATCAAAGCAACATCACAAACCCAATTTGTTGAGTTAACTCAGTTACCCAACAATTTCCACAGCGGCGGCACCATCACCACCATCTCACAGCGTCCCCACACCTACACCAGCGGTGCCACAGTCGGCGATGAAAAACTATATTCATTGCGGCTGCAAGAAAGGGGAGAGAATACGAAGAGAGAGAGAAATAGTAGAATAATTGTTTTGAACGCAGGGAAGGCTCCGCCCCAAATTCTCAATTTTGTTCCAATTCATGATACATAATTTTTCATCTTCTTGTATGGTTTGATGATGTTTTATTATGAAAATTCACTATAACAATTAGTCTATTTGGGTGAGAGATATTTGTGGACCATTATGCCTGCAATGATTGTGGTGGTGGCTTGCCGGAGAAAATGGTGGTGTAGCTGGAGAGATATTTGTGGACCATTATTTCAGATATATTTTTAATCGATTCCAAAAGCCTATTTAGCCGTCGCCATAAATTATAGTTGCCTAGTGAAAACCCATTTTTGATGACTTTATCGTTGACTAAATTGCGATGATTATTTCTAGCTGCCGTGGGTTGGAGCTTGTAACAGTCGGCGTCGCTGAAAAAGATTTGTGGGTTATCATTCTTTTGTTTGGTGCTTGTCTCGCTGAAAAGATACATTAACCCCAAGGTTTCAACCTCTTTGCCGAAAAGATACACACAAACTCTCTGCCGCACTATCACCGCCGATCCATGCATCGCCGGTTCCTCGTTATCTCAAGCTCGCCGGTGCAATTATCCATGCTCGCCGGAATCGCGATCCTCCGCGGAAGCCGTTTTGTCCTTTATCGTTGGTAAATCCTTCATCTTCATCGAGCAACTCCTTGCCGTCCTTCTTTGTCTTCACTGCCGTTATCTCTTAAACACACGTTTTCTCTTTCTAACCAATCACCCTCTCTCATGGTGGCTCTGCAACAATTTCTCGCAATTGCTGGGTAAAATTGATGTTGTGATTCTATGTTGGATGTGGATCGAATGCCAATTGAAGGTGTCTGCGAGTTCGAGTAAAGTGATGGACCAGTCGCCGAGTTGCTCCACAATTTCTCCCAAATTCTTTGGACTTTGTATCTCTACACATTATACAAATTTGTTGGGATCCTTGCTACCATACAAATTGGCGCATACCCTCTATCTTTTTTTCTTTTTCTTTGCTCCCTTTGCTTGCTTTTTTCCGAGGGAAGAAGATGAACAGTGACATATGAGTATAAGGCTGTGTTTGGGTTGAGAGAAATTAAGTTTAGGTGATGTTTGGGATAAAAAGATCATTTTACATGGCCTATATTTATACTTACTAATTTATTCAATTGAAGTAAAAATATCATTCTCTTTTCACCACATAGGGACTTATTTGCAACCAATTGATAGTATAAGAGTTTTTTTTTTTATCATACAGGACTAATATGCATTATATCCACACAGAGAGAATTTTTTGCACTTAACCCCTTCAATATATTTTTTTGAGATTCAAAGTACAGTACAGTTGATGGCCAGACATTTTGATTTCATCCTTATCTCTAAATTATCATTTTATGTCCTCACTTTCACACCGACCGTATCCCCACCTCACTATCTGAACGGCGGCAGGGAAGCGGCGGCGGCATAGAGCTTTGAAGAAACCACCGGCGATAATGATGAACTTGGAAGACGCCGTTTGGGCTAATTTTCCGGCGATAATGAACTTACTGGCTGTGGACAAAGATCTGACGGGCTACTGCCCGGTGAGCCGCCCTCTTGAGCCGTCGGAGGACTCAGCGAAGTCAACGATTTTGCGGAGAGAAATTAAGCAATCATCGGCATGGTTGTTGATTTTTCTGATCGATTGAACTACTTGCTTTGAGATTGGAGGAGGTAGTTTGGAGGGATGAGTGGTCAGATTCCGGCGGCTGATCGGGTCAGAGGTGGATGAGACGGTGGAGGGTGAGGTTGGGGACGAAGTCGGTGGTGTCGAGGATCTGCATGGTGGCGGGACAGGTGTTGTGACTGGAGTTTGGTTGATGGGTAGGGTTCGTAGGTGACGCCGGTGAGGATGAAGAAGTTTGGTTAATGGGTTGGTTTCTTTGGATCTGTAGTTTGGTTGATAGGTTGGTTGATGGGTTGGGTTCTTTGAATCTGTTGATGGATAGGTGTTGTGGCCGGAGTTTGGTTGATGAGAGCTTGCCGCGGGAATTTGGTTGATGGTTTAGGTCTGTAGGTGACGCCGGTAAGGATGAAGAAGTTTGGTTGATGGGTTGGGTCTGTAGGTGACGCCGCCGGAGTTGAATTGGTTGAACGGTTCGTAGGTAACGCTGGTTAGGATGAGAGCTAGGGAGTCTGGGTTTGTTGTTGATGTGGGTCTTCTTGGGTTTGTGGTTGTTGTCTCTGGTTTGCTAGGCTAGAGGTGAAAGAAAATGGTGCCCACCATGATGTTGATGGTGGTGACACAGTGTGATTGGTGTCACCGGGATGGGTCTGTGCAGAGAGACATTGGAGAGGAGAGAGAAGATGGCTGATGAAGTACTCCGTATTTGGCTAAGGTGGATATTCCTTTCTCTCTCCTGTTGGGTAGTTTGGTCACACAAATAGTCAACACAAAGATAGCATAGTATATAACAGCTCAAAAGTATTTTATGGGCAGTCAATCGTGGACTGTCGTTGTCCAACTCTCCCCTGTAAATGCTCAAGCATTAAATTGATGAGCAAGTAATTACTTTTAACAAGTCTAAAACGACGCTATTCTTAGCCACCAAAATTGACCCCAAAGACTTTTTGCATAACGGGAAACTTTATGGTTCACTCTTCTTACTTTTTACTATATCTTTTACGAAGTGGGAAAAAGAATGGTTATCATTTGGCAGTGGATCATGATGTTTAAAGATTTCTTTTACTTTTCTTTTTGGTTGGTAAGTCTTTTTTGACCTTACCGGACTTAACCCTTCATGTTCTACCTTATAAAAGAATATAAAAATATTATTGGATAACAATTTAAAAAATGTTTATATTTGACTCGTTTAAAATTAGCTAGTTTGAATTCGGCCATTTGACTTTTACACACACATATATGTATTAATAAAATTCTTTATAAAAAATGTTTAGAACTTTTTGTAAAATTAAGAAAATGAGGGAATGAAATACGAACACACCTACTTAAAAAAATTACACTCTCTTCTAACTAAATTATTGAATAATATTTAAATAATTTTTTTTGATTTAAAGTTACATAATTAATGTAAAATTATTGAGAGTGACGAGGAGAGGATCCAAATTATATTTCTCATGTGAATAATAGATTTTATTTTTTACAGAAAAAATTTGAATAAGATAAAATTTGATTAGTTAAATCAATAATATCCCACTGATCCCTACTACTTGTAATTGGACAGTGCCTGATGACACAATGTTTAGGTATGACCTTGGTGCGACCTAAATAAAATATCTCTTAAAGACAATGAAAGTGACAAAGGCAGCTTTATTACCAAAGTTACCAATGTAAAGCCAAATCATATTGAACCTTTCCACGTCCAAGGACCAACCTTTGTTTTTTTTTTTTTTTTTTTTTCTTTTTTCGTTTAGTCTTTCCCGGACCATCTTTATAAATGCATATTCCAGAATCCAATATTTTTTTCTCCAAACACGCCCTCATTTGTTTACATATATATAATCTCTCGCCTCTCTCTCGCCTCATCTTTTCGCCATTTTTCTTTATCTTTCCTTCACCTCGTGACTCACTCTCTCTTCCCCTAAAAGCTCTCAAAAGCAAGCGAAAACGTCGCGTCACGGATTTGCTTATCTGCTCTGAGTCCTTGGCGCGATTCTTGCAGCTCTCGACATTATTTGCGGTTCTTTTTGTTACATAATCAACGAACTTTCTTTGATTTGTATGTGTATGGTATATACATATATATATTTGTGTCTGTATTTTGTTGAATTTGCGCAGAGAAGGTGAGCTTACAAAGCGTAATTCTAGAGAGAGAAAGTAATTTTTGATTCTGCTAAGTGAGGGAAAATGGGGAGAGATAGAAAGAAGGAGGTGGAGGAGGAAACTGTGACTAAAAAGATAACGATTGGTGTATGTGTAATGGAAAAGAAGGTGAAATGCGGCTCCGAGGTTCTGTTCTTGTTACTCGAATTACATATGATCGAAAAACAGAGCATACGTAAATAGTACTATATTGTATAGGCTACTGTTTGTAGCTTTTCATTGTTATATAATGGCTGATTTGTTAATATTTTTTTTTTTTTCCAAATAATTTATCAGGCGTTTTCAGCTCCGATGGGAGAGATTTTGGAGAGATTACAGTCATTTGGTGAATTTGAGGTATTGAATCTCTATTGCGAGTTTGTAGGACTACGATACTGTTTACTGAAGCAATGAATAATAAATTTGAATTTTGGTGATTAGAAACGAGGATTCATGTGAAATCAATCAACTTGCTTTCAATGCATTATAATTAATTATTATTATTATTATTATTATTATTTTTTTAATTTATATATTATTAAAATATACAACTTACCGAATTCACATCTTGAAGGATTTGTTATGAAGAGTTTGTTGCTGGAGGTGTATGCATGTTCTGTTCTATCTCGTGAAATCTCTGATATTCTATAATCTGTATTGTTGTAGATTGTGCATTTTGGCGACAAGGTTATTGTTGGGGAACCAATAGAGAGGTAGATTCCCATATACTTGGCTAAACTGTATTATGTGCCGGTGTACAATGTCGTTTGTTTATGTTTCATGTTGTATAATGTTGCTCACATGCATTATTCTTAGTGTGCTTTATATTGGAAATGTTGATATAAAATTTATTGTGGTCCTGTGCTGTATGTTTTTAATATTGGATTGCAATGTGATTATTGAGGTTCGACGAATTAAATTGTACTTGCCAATTTTTATGACAGATTGGTACTTGGTAGTATGTTTTCACTGTTGTATTGTGGTTTTCCAACATTAATTGGTGGAGTTTAATCCTAGCTGTTGATATCTAGGTCTCGATTATGGGAAGGGAGACTTAGATGTACTTGTTTGTAGAGAAGCTGTCCTGTCCTGTTTATAGAGCTCAGAATTTTCATTATCATGAAAATGATTGATCAAATTCTATTGAGTCTAACATATTGTAGTTAAAAATTTCAGTTATTTTTCCGGAGTTTATTTATATCTCATGGATAATACTTAATTGCATGCAATGAAGTTATGATGTATCTTTACTATCCTTTGTTCATATATTTGGCTTGGGCACATGCTGTTATATTTGCAGTTAACAGATGAAGGATTAATTTCGTGCTCCATGAGGTTCGCTTGGACTAGATGTGGGACGGGGGTACCATATTGGTAAATCCTAGCGTAGTTAGTTCAGTTTGACATTGGAGTGTTTGAACACTCCATGGGGTTTTTCTTTTTTACTTTTAAGAAACTTGGTTGGAGCATAACATGATTGTTCCAAATGAAGAACTGGAAAGCTCATCATCCTACCAGCCTTGGTTGTTATTTATCTAGTGTATGTGCTCTCTATTTAGAGATAGTAATGAAATAAAAATTCTGAATAAGTCCAGTGAACTATAATTGCACAAGTTATTGAGGTTTCTAGTGTAGATCACAAAATTGAACTTGTTAGCAATGTATATTCTTCATTATATATATATATATATAAAAAAAATATTTTCGTGAAGTTAACAGAATGAAGAGTTTAACAGTAATACTAATAGACTATAAAGGATTAGTCAACTTAAGAGTGTAAACTGTGTAATCTCTTTCTTGTAATACAGGACAGGACCAGATTGCATTTTTCTTTACAATGTTGTAATACATAAAATATTGCAGATACTACCATGCTTTATGAACCCTGAGAATTTAGATTTAGTGTCACTTACCGAGAAAAAGACTACTTAGGTTAATTATGAAAAAAAAAGAGACCATTTAGGTTCATCCATTCATGTTATTAGTTTCAGCTATCTTTCTGGGGTAGGCATCCTTATAATGTAACAATGTAATTAGTTATCTGCTAGATGACTTATCTTTTTCTCATTGTAATTTCTTCAGCTGGCCAATATGCGATTGCTTAATTGCATTCCACTCTTCAGGCTATCCTCTTGAAAAGGCTGAAGCTTATGCTGCATTAAGAAAGTAAGTATTTTTAGAACTTTTTATGTGGATTATTATGTCAAAACAATGATGTTTTTCTATTGTAATTTGTATGTAGATGAAGTGGCTTTTCTAAGATACTAGGACTCCATATATAAGTGACACTTGGAGATTTTAATACAATTAATAAATATATCAAATTTGTTTTTTCAAGGTTGTACTATGGATAAAGGTGACATATGTGTATATATTAATAATAATATTAGAAATTTGATAACAAGCATTATCATAAGCATGTACATGTACCTAAAGTTAATTGAGATATAATACACAATTATAAGGTACATATAATCAGTTTACATATCATGAAAGAATGACTTTCCGAAAAAGTTCAATTTTTTACCAAATCGATTATTTTATATCTGGTTCCACAGATTTTGATATGTGGATCTTGGTCATGTTATAAAATCTTGAAGATCTTGCGGAATCTAATGAGTTAATGATTGTGGCAGGACTTCACAAAATTGAAATGCTAAATTTGAGAGTGGAGTTTAATGGGAGAAAAATATTTACGGGGTGAAAGTTGCCTTCTGTAGTTAAAGATATTTGCTGAAGATCATGGTAGTGTCAATTTAATAGATATTTGCTGAAGATCATGGTAGTGTCAGTTTAATAGATTAGAGGAACAAGGTGAGAAGAAGAAGAAACAGGGCTGAGCTGAAGAAATTTTGTTTCTTAATTTTTATTATTTTTTGGTCTTTTATAGTAAGTTGGGAAAAGAGGAAATCAGTTGCCAAAGTATCTGAATCATGGTATGAGCTTGAACATCTTGTTAACACAAGGGTGGCTAGCATTGCATATATAAGTGGTGCAAAAACCTTTAATAAATTCGAGTTATTTCTCTGTCAAATTAAATGAAAATTAACTACTACACTTTTTGTTTTTGTATTTGTTTTAAATATTTGGTAATCTGACTTTATATTTGGGCTAATCATCTCGGAAATCCATGTCGACAACAGTCTTTGCTCCCTCTAGACTGCTGCAATAACCTATCTCAGAATGTCAGAACTGCCACTTTCAGTACCACTATTCCTTCCACCACAACCATCAATGCTATGGGCACACCACTACTGTCCTCATGCCACCCCGAGGTCACTGATGTGTGTTCAATGTTACCACTCGCAATAGTACAAATCTTTGTAGGATAGGACTGTATAGAGGGTGTCGATCCCACAGGGAGATGAGTCTTCTTTGTTTTGTTTCTAACTAATCCAATTCTTTTTGGTTTAAAAGTAACTGATTTGATTTGATTGATTGGTTGTCATGAACATAAAGTAAAATTAAACTTAAATTAAAGTTAAAGAGATTAGAGGGAGAAGGTCGGGCTTTGACTTCACCACGAACCTTGTACTATGGTCAATTGTTCAACTTTGGGATTTCAACAATTTATATTTTAAATGAATTAAACTCAATAATATTCGTTTAATTCGGTTTTAAAGAAAGATGTTTTATAAATTTCAATTAATTATAACCTATCTGCGGTTAGCATGGACTATTCGCCTACCTACTTCTAACTACTTTAATTAATTTTGCAGTATAATCCATCTTTCCTAAGCATAGACTATGAAAATATTCATTTATAAAAAATATTGGAACACCATTGCATGATCTCCATTCTTATGTCTGATAGGCCTCCACCAGATATCATCCAATAAGAATGGGTTGAGAATAATTAATGAATACCTAAATTTAAGACAAGGTATTAAATATTAAAAAACTATTTAAAACATTAAAATCCAAATTGAGTTGACTCAATTGCTCAGAATCATACAATAAAAAATATACAATTTATTGAAATTCCCAAAGTTAAAACAATCAAACCATAGTATTTAGATCGGGTTACATTAGTGCCCTAAGAGAGGAATTAGCTATTCATGGCGACGCAGAATATCATCTGTGTTGTTGTGGTCTTCATCGTCACGGATGGCACTTCTCTTCTCAGGATCTTCACCTTCTAAGGTTATGGAAACCCTAAAAGCCGCCATTACAATATGAGAATTCTAAAATAATACGAGAGAAAAAGGACAATTCTTCTGTGGCCTTGTGCCTTCTTTTATAGAAGAATTAAGGTTCTGGCGGACTTTTAGGTCTTCTGACCCCCATCTTGAGTGAAATCAGACTTAAAAAGGATAAATCCCGTAACTTATAATTCCAATCTGTCATGGATGGCTCGAGCTTTTAGAAGCAGAGCTCGAGCTTTTTGGCAGGGGCTCGAGCTTTGGAAGCAATAAAGCTCGAGCTTTCTTGAACATGGCTCGAGCTTCATAGAATAGTGTCGATATTCACTTTTGGACTTAGTTAAATTTCTTCAACTATTTTCCGAAGCGTCTTTTCGATCAACACTTAGAATATTTTTGGATTTTCTTCCTTTTAACAGTGCTCGAGCTTTAGGTGCAAAGCTCGAGCTTTTGGCTTAGGGCTCGAGCTCTGAGTGATAGTGCTCGATCCCTTGAGGTCTGGCACGAGGTACTGGGAGCATGGCTTTCTCTGAAATCAACTCTTCAAATTCCAATGCCTTAGGCTCGAGCAACCTTAGGTAAGGCTCGAGCACCCTTAAGTATAGCTCGAGCTCTGGAGGTCAAAGCTTGAGCTTTGATGCCTTAGTTGAATTTCTTGTTTTCCTGTGGAGCTCGAGTCCTAGAACTGAGGCTCGAGCTTTGGCACTTGGATTACTCCAAACTTCACCATTTTGACTCTCGGCTTGCTTTGAATGACCGGCAACGGTTCTGTAAGCTTCGATATCAGTCCTTTCATCATAAAGTCTCGGTTTTAAACGTTTCTTTGGGAAAGTACCTATAAACATGAAATAAACATAAATCAATCTAACAATGGATAGAAGTATCACTTTAGGTCTTAACATGCGTATATTTAGGGGCTCGAATATGCAATATTCAGCGCTCATCAGTCACCACCATTACAAATGCAACTTCAACTTTCTTGACATTTTTCCCTTCTAATACGTGGATTCCATATGTTGATTCTTAAGTTTTCAGATATAAAGTTTCAATGTTAAGAAATCCACATAACAAATGCATCTTGAGTTTTGACATTAAAGTGATCACTAACATGATTTGTATTAGCTTACAGCTGTAAGTAGCTTTGCTGATAAGAATAGGTGGCATCTGTATTTACCCTTTGAAAGTATAAACTCACTTTAGAAATTCAGTCACAGGTATCAAAAGATATCGAAAAGGGGGTATTCTGAAAAAGGGAAGAATGTGGGACAGGAGCTCCTGTTTTGTGTTATTGTTAATTATAATGTGTTCATACTAAAATCATGGAAGGCTGCTTAAGCCTTAAACCTTGTTTTTCAGTAACTAAACAAAGGACCAGTTACTAATAACGCTGAATGTGTTACATGTTTCAGGCCTTTCCTTGTGAATGAATTGGAACAACAACACCTTCTTCATGATCGAAGGAAGGTATATGAGGTAGGCTTCTTAATCTTTCATCATGTTTACTGTAATATTTCATCCTTGTTTTTACAGCAGTTTCTGGTGAATTATCCAACATATGACTCAACTTTCAATGCTCAAATTATCTTTCATTTCTTCTTGAAGCAATGGCCACTTGAATTTTTACCTTGAAAGAGCTAATCTTTTTTTTGATAAGTACCTTGATAGAGCTAATCAAGCTTTTGATCCATTAAGAAGCATTGAATTGGGCTTGTCCTTTTCTCATTAGCAACATTTGTCATGGAATAGGACAGTAAATACCAAAGGAAAGTACTTATCAAAAAAAAAATACCAAAGGAAAGTCAATTGCTTAAGAAAGCGTCTTGGTTTTTAGTATTTTTATTTTATTTTATATTATTTGGTGGCATCTTAGCGTTGGGGAGACTTGCCATTTGTTTTTTAGAAGTTCAGGTGTGATGTTCCACATTGTTTGGGGGGAGAAGTTGCTAGCACTTATAAGAGGAGATGCCTCTTACCCGTGTACACGTTTTAAAACCGTTGCCGCCAAGATGGCTCACAAAGAACAACATTTGCATAGTGTGAGGCGATTCATTATTTGGTGGCATCTTAGCGTTGGGGAGACTTGCCATTTGTTTTTTAGAAGTTCAAGTGTGACATCCCACATTGTCTCAGGGAGAAGTTGCTGGCACTTATAAAGAGGGGTTGCCTCCTACCTATATATACACGTTTTAAAAACTTTTGCTGCCAAGAGGGCACATAGCGGATAATATTTGCATAGGGTGAAGCTGGTCCCGACACATTCTATAGGCCAATCCCTAGTTGGAATATGGGGGCAGCGTGCACAAGCAGGGTCATGCCAGCTAGAACGTTAGGTCCCAGGATGAGGTAATTTTGATGTTCCACATGAGGGGAGAAGTTGTTAGCACTTATAAGGAGGGATGCCTCATACTTGAGTAGACACGCTTTTAAAACATAAGCACCAAGAGGGCACAAAAGTGCACAATATCTGAAACAACGTGAGATAGGTCCTGACATCGTGCATTCATGGAAACGGGAGAGTTTAACATGTGGAGTAGAATAGTGGTGTTTCTTCTTCTCAGTTGTCTATGGATTGATGTATAGTATGATGTTTCATACCATGTATTTGTTTATTTACTTTTTTTGTTTCCTTCCTTTTATGGAGGGTGTGTGTCTAGTCCATGGAATCGAAATTAAATTGACATGGGTAATTTAGTCGATTAGATGCTTTTAATTTGGTTAAAGTTTAAGCCTTTGTATATCTTATCAATGGCTGTCCTTAGGTGTTGCCTGTAAATCTGATTCATATTTTGGCTGTTCTCATTGATAAGTTCAATTGATGCCTCAATCTTGGAGGAATAAGGTTTTGTCTGGTTATCATTGTCTGCAAAGCACTCATAAGGGAGTGACTTTCGTGCTTGTTTGAAGAGTTGGATAGGCTATGGCAAGATGATGCCGGTTTTTGTAGATAAGAAAGCAATGATTTGCATCATTCTACGGTCACGACCTTCCAATAGGTGTTTAATCTATTGATGATGTTAAATGATTAAGTTGCACCATTCTTTATTAACTTAATCTTTTAGAGTAGCTATTTTTAACTTGGTATCAGACATATCATTGGAAACATTCTTTATGATTATAGACCTTTCACGTGCTTCCATGGTCCATTTATGAGGGGGAGTCTGGTGGCACATGAGGGAGCGCGGTGTTGATATAAATGACAAAGTTTCAACTCTTACCTCTCTTTGTTAACTCAAGCTCTTAGAGTATCCACTTGATAACAATATCCGTGGGGATGTTTTGAAAGACGGTTGATCCATCAAGACGTGGAATGGTGTAGGATTAATTTTGGACAGAGTGGAGGTGTGGAAGCCCTTTTCATATTATCTCAGAGGATGGAGAGGTCTATGTGGCTCATTACAAATTTGAAATGTTGGTTCCTTTGTTGTGCTGACATAGTTATATACTTTTATAAGCATGAATGATCGGGGAATTGATGATATTCCAAGTCTAATTGTACTTTTTGCTGCATTGATATGGAGGAGGGTAAAAGGTCAACTCTCGAAAGTTAAAATCTGCAGTAGCTTTGTCCGTTAGGTCTTTATTCTCTGCTGTCTTTCCTTCCTTAGAAGGCCCTTTACCTGTTAGACGTTTTTTATGTCCTCAAATCACTTATTACATTCTTTGTGTTGGCAGCCACTCATGATAGATTGTTCATGGCCAACAATGGTAAACTTAGCGGGTTGGTGTTGAATTATAGTTCTCAAATCACATTTGTGTTTTGATGAGCAATTGGTGCTTTCCGTAGTTTGTTGTAGGTTCATTTCTACATTCCAATTGGGTTTTTCCTCTTCTTTATGGTTATATTGAGTCTTTGGGCCTCCCTCCACAACTTTTTGTGGTTAATTTGTTGAGGGTGTTGGTCCTGTTGGTATTATTTTTGGGAGTAATTATATACGAGCTGACTCACCATGCATACTGACTAAAATGAAACCATTGCAAATAGTCATGAGGGAAATCATGATGTCATATTTTCCTTTTTTCTCTGATTCCCTTCATTCAATGTAAACCTTTTGCCTCTAGGGTTGCTTAAAATATCATTTTCCTAGTTTTGAAGGTTGGTTCTTTCGCAATTGTTTGGCGCTTTCGAATATATTTTTTAAGGATTGAGTTTAGATCTAATGGTGGTCTGAGATAGAGTGAAAGTTGGATTTCCATTGGCAATTTCAAAAGGATTACTTTAAGTGAGTTAAGAAGGGATTTTAGCACTATGAGTGGGAGGACATTGTTGTCGAGTAGCCCTGGTATGCTTGTTAATTTTTTTTTGGTGATATGCATTTGAAGAAGTCCCTGGGTTGTATTTTTCCATTGAGGGTCTGTTGCCCATTCAATTGTTTGCTCTCTTCTCAATGGAATTTATTTATTTTGCACAAAAGTATGGTGTGGAATGACCTGAAACTTTATTCTCAGAAAGGTTGATGAGAGCATATTAGGTCATTTGCTTGTTCTATGATGCGTCAGAGGCTCAAGAAAGTAAAATTTTAAAGAAAGAGAGAATATTGAAATGGGCGTGTTGATATTGTCATTCCCGCCTCCATATTATTATCCAGATCTCTTTTTAATTGGTATTCAATATGGGGGAATTTATTAAGGTAGTGAGGTCTAGGATCTTAGCTAGCTTTGAGTTATTATTATTGTTATTTTTGATAGATGTTTATTATGATATCTAAAAATCTTCACGGGCTTTAAGTGAAGACCATTGCTAGACTTCAGCTAGATTATCTTTTCTTGAATTTTATGTGAGAGGCATCTTAGTTTCACTTTTATAATGGGCTTTGTGATATGTGGGCTTCTTTTTTAGTTTCTGTGAGATTTGAATAGGTTTTATGGGCTTAAAAAGGTCCAAATTTACTTGTCTTGCAAGTTTGCTCGACTTGGCTTCCTAGTTCATTAACTTGATCTCTATGTAGGGGATGTTCTAACACTTTCATGATGATGTGAATGAAGAAATGAATAAAAGATGATGTGAATGAAGAAATGAATAAAAGATGTTCTAACACTTTCATGATTATGTGAATGAAGAAATGATTAAACTTTCTAAAATATAATACTAACACTGCTACTGTGTGATGCACCTGAGGACCTATGTTTGGTTGCCTTTGTCTTCATTTACCTAGAATATTTTAGTCTCATGATGTGTGATGCCTATAACCTATCCCACTTTCCTTTATTCTTTCTCTATTCTATCATCTTTTACCCATATACTCCCCCCGTCCCAATTTAAGTGTCGCTTATGGGGAGTAGTAATTTTTAAGGGAACATGTGGGACATGCATTGTCTCACTGAAAAATTACTAACTTGCCCTTTTAAGTTTTGAATATTTAAGTTTGAAATTTTAAATTTAAAGGACATATATGGAAAGATGTAAAATATATTGTTTGAAAAAGGAAAGTGGACACTTATTTTGGGACAAACAAAAAAGGAAAACATGACACTTATTTTGGGACGGAGGGAGTATTTCACAACCTTTGTATTGAGATGTAATCCACTCTTGATCAGTTGATCTCTTAGCCCACAGTTCATCCATGACAATCATAATCCACATTGTAAGAAGTCGTTTTAAACGATTTTTCTTTCCTTATATTTTTCACTCAGCATAAAATGTTGCTATGAACTTAGTAATTAAATTTTAGATATTAATGCATCTTTTTTGTAATTTGGGGTGGGGGGGGATTCTAGCGTCTTGAAATGTACAGTATTCCTGTTCCGAGATATGCCCTTGTAAATAGGGAAGTGCCATATGAAGAGCTGGATTATTTTCTCGAGGAAGAAGATTTTGTTGAGGTTCATGGAAATCGTTTTTGGAAGCCTTTTGTGGAGAAGCCTGTTCATGGTAAGCTCTTTCTTTAATTTTTACCATTAAGCCTGCCTCATTTAGTTTTATTTTCTATTTTTAAAGTTGCTTTTCTTATCATTGATACTTGGGTCAAGTAACTTGATGCAGTCCCTTGTTGAATGTGTTTTTGATTAATAATTAAGTAATAAACTAATTATTGGGCTGTACACATTTTTGGACTACAAGCATCTAGAAAGTGTCCTGCATTACTGCTGTCCTGGATATTATTTTAATCATGTTGGACATGTCCTTTTGGTTGTTGAGGCGGGATTTTTGATTAAAGTACCAAACAGTGTATAACTAAGTTATTGAGAATAAGGGACTACTTAGGAAAAAAAAGGAGAGAGTGAAAGTTTTGAGAGAGAGAATTTAGATTAGGAGAAACTTACACAGTCACACCTAAAGAAAAGATGCATCACACTTCACAAATAATTTGTTTTAAAGGATTCTTTATTCCATGTTCCGACATAAAGCCAATACATCCTTTATACAGAGGTGTAAGGACTACAATCAGGAGCCAAGGAAAAATTTCTATTTCTTATCTCTCTCTCTCTCTGTCTCTCTCTAACGGAGATTCTCATCCCTTCCATGGCAGGACTAATCCCTTTGGCTACCCTCAATCATTAAACGATGGTTTTTGAGTAAGTCCAAATTGGAGGTTTAATGTCTCTGGAGTCAAACACAAGTAAAACACCAAACCCGACTTGAAAATTTTAAGTAGGCCAAAAACCAAATGCACAGCATGACCACGTACGTTACTGTACAAGAGAAATTATCTAAGTACCTCTTAACACACACACACAATAAAACACAAAACTATAAAAAATAAAAACAACAATATAGCAATTAATTTCCTAGGATAGTTATCTTCTTTGGAATCTCGCAAAATACTACATTAGCCCTTCAATTTCGATTTCCCCTTTCCTTAATAGTACTTTCCGAACTTTCCATACGTGTTATTTGCATTAGTTTCTTCATGAAATACATTATTTTTGGCATTAAATCATTGTTGAAGTATACATATATTTACACAATGACACAATAGGTTATATTGTCTTCACGATTACCTACACTATTATAGGCTTCAGTGTGAGTTTTTTATTCTCCAGTATGTGATTTCTTAGAAGAAATTTCTAGTAGTTTGGATTGATGATAGAAGTTCCTGATATAGAATTGTGATCTCCGTTTATTAATAATTAGATAATAGCATGGTTAATGGAATTGGTTTCATGTGTTATGAGTGATAAGGTATTAAGGTCTCATGCTTAATTTTTTTTAAAAAAATTTATTTCAAATAATTTTCATTACTATGGACAATAGTATTTGATTTTTTTTTTTTTGATAAGTAAGACAATAGTATTTGAATTTATTAAAGATGTGCCAATTATGTTATAAGAAAGATCTTTTCGTTTAGAAGTATCTTTAAACTACATTGCTTTCCTAATTCTGCTTTGTATTATATTTTTATTTAGTAGAACAATGTTAACGTTATTGACGTTTATGGAAAAAAGAAGCAGTATGAGGTAATCACCCGTAACTTGTATTTATCACTGAATTTATACACCTGTTTTCTGGAACACAAGAAATTTATAATTCTTAATTGTTTTCCCTACAGAATTTGTTGGGACTTCTCGTGAATTTTTCTTGATCTTGTGGTTCATCCACATTAAATTCAAAACTGTAAATAGCATTGAAATTTTATGGTATTACTGGTCTTCTGGAAAGCCAAGAATTTCCAGTGATTCTATTGGAACCTAAGAAATTCTACTGATTCTTATGCTTGAGTTGCATTTTTTTTCCCGGCAAGTACTTAGCTTGAATTTTTGGTAGAATTGAATTCATTATTTATATTTCTATTTTATTTTATTTTATTTTATTTTTTATCAATAGTGTAGTTTCTCTGTCTCTCTTCCTTCCCTACTCCTATAGTCCTATCCCTTCAAGCCAAGAAGTTGTCATTAGCTCTAATATCAACTTGAATGCAACTGGAGATGAATTAGTTAAGGAAATGTTGCCTGATTATACATTTACACGTTCTGATTTCTAACAATTTTTGTATTTACATTTTCATTAAATTTTGAATGACACTTCATTAATGTGCGCTGGTAACAAATCTTGGTCTATGTTTTTTGTAAAGGGGATGACCACAGTATTATGATATACTACCCAAGTTCAGCTGGTGGGGGCATGAAAGAATTATTTCGGAAGGTTAGAACTTTAATCTGATCTTTTTGTTGGTTCTAGATTCAGAATTAAACTGCTCATATGTAATCATTTTTTATTTTTATTTTTTATTTTTTATTTTTTTTCTCCTGTGTAGAATGTAATATCATTGGGTCTGTGGGGCTTGGCTGACAATTAGAATGGTTTTAGGGTTACTTAAGTTGGTTTCTTAACATATTCGCCCGAGTTGTGTTTCAAGGCCAGTATGTTTTACAGCTATGGTTTAAACTTTGCTGGCTTTACACATCTATTATTCTAATTAGGTCTACCGTCCTTATAACCAATTCTTCTTATATCCCTTCTGGGATATTCTGATCTAATACCATTTAGCAGTTCTTTTTAATTGAAATGATTCAATACCTATTAAAAGAAGCTAGCATATCATATGACAAATAAGTTTTTTATTTTTTATTTTCCTTCCACACACTAACTGAAAAGCACAGTGATAAGATGAGAAATCCTTTTTGTAGGATGCTTAATAAGAGTGAACAAAGAGAATGGAAAGGCATAACAACACTCCTACATGATCAGCATGTCGCTTTCTACTTTCAATGCTGTAAAATGACCTCTGTATCATATGATCTTTGGCATGATCTGCTGAATAATAGTTGACATGCTATCTCAGCTTACTGGGAACCTCATCACTGCCTTATTTGTGCTACCTTTCTGAGTTTATTTTAGCTGTCATTATTACTAACAACTATTCTTCATTAGAGATTGATTCAGAATCCTTTTCAAGATGAAACACACACACACACAAACATAATAGACAAGAAAATACATTTTACTGAATGAAAAAGCAAGGACAGGGTGAGTTTGTTACATGGACTTGGGTACGTGTGTCGAGTGCGGGCATGTAGAGTGTCAGACAGATCGAATTCCCAAGTAGTACACAGGGACACTGCTAAATATTCGTATTATCTAATATTTTTATTTAATTTTATAGAGTAAAATAATTTCTGTATGTTACATAATGTTTAATATAAACATTTCACTCATTTTGAAGCAATAGTACAATAAGTTGAATCATTTGATAGCTTTTTAGTTGCATTTCCAACCAAAAGTGTCAGATACATATCCCATACCCATGTCCGAGTATAGTTTGTCTGACACAAGTATTTCAACTACTTTTGAAGAGTCCATGTACGATCTTTAAATGGAAGTACAGAATGATGGGAATCTGACGGGAAACCTGCCAATACAAGGTTAACCTCCAAACGCAACCACATCCACACACCCCAAACACTCAAACAAACATGGTTAGAATGTTGGGAGTGTAATAGCACCTCTTTTTGCTGTACTATCTGCCACTACAGCGACCAGTTAAACTCAACAAATTCGGGATTAAACATGGCACATGACCTAGACTAACCCACTAAATAACTAAAATGTATAGGCTAGGTTTGCTTCACCGAATTCAAATTGCGGACTTATCTTTATGCTTTGTTCAAAATAAGTGAGAGAAAGCAGCTGGGTATGAAATTGAGTGCCTGGACATTAGTAGTATTCTTAATTTACCATAACTTAAGAACTTATTCTTCTTGGATGCCCACTGCTGAAGGCATTTTCACGATCAACTTTGATCATTGTTCATTGGGTAATCTAGGATATCTTGATTCTTTAGAGATCTTGGGATGAGACTCTCATGAAATTTGCCTTCCACTCTCATTAGATTGATCAAATTCAGCTTTCACTCTCATTAGAGTTAATGCTTAGCTTTTCAACTTGTGATAAATTCTTTTCTATTAAACATATTCTGTTTTCTATTTGGTAAATTAAATTTCCAAAAGTAATCATTGTTGATGCTATTCTTTTTATAAATCTACAAGTTAACTTCTTATTATACCGCTGTGATTGATTTGATAAATCATATATCTACTTCCTGTTTCCAGGTTGGTAACAGGTCAAGTGAGTTTCATCCCGAGGTGAGAAGAGTGAGACGTGAAGGCTCTTACATATACGAGGAATTTATGCCAACTGGAGGAACAGACGTCAAGGTTGTCTAGTCTATGCTTTTGTAGAGTTAGGTGAATGGATTTATTAGTTTATTATTTTCTTGAGGATGACATGGGTTCTTGTTGAACTCCCAAACAAACCCCCCCCCCCCCCCCCAACAAACACACACACACTCACACTCACACTTTGAAATATATCATCATGATGTTCCTTGCTTTTTCAATGTCGACTCAAATATTTTGCTTACTTGGAAGGAAATGTGTGAGTGTATTTCTTTTGGTGTGTGTGTTTTGTGTGGGGGGGGGGGGGGGGGGGGGGGGGAGAAAGGGAAAAGGAGGGTTTGATAGAGCTTTTCATGGTTGCTAGGAAGGTAAGGCGTCATTAGCCCAATTGGTAAAGAAGTGTAAAAACAAGACACTCTGGATTGTTTCCTGCCTCTATGGGGAAGGGGGTGTTTAATAGGGGTAGGCGTACCGTCATTATGTAGCCCATCAACATTGGAAAAAGAAGAAAAAATGAAGATTTGGTAGGAAGGAGAGGAGTAGAGGATAAGAGGGGTTAATTTTTCCTTCGGCCCCACCAAATCCTTTTCTCTTAAAAGATGGGTGAAAAGGAGGGACAGTGCTCCCTTTTTCTTGACTTTTGTTTTTATATATATATATATATATATTTACTTATCAAAATATATATATATATATATATATATATATATATATATATATATTTGCCTTTTCCCCTTCAAATAACATTCTTCTTTAATATTTTATCATGTAACACCTCTTTCCTTCTTCCTTTCTTTCCTGCTCAACCGGACAAAAAGAAAGAAAGGCTTATTTCCTTCCTAGGGATAACTTTCATCCTTACTTTTGATTTTCCATTCCTCGATTCAAATGGAACATAAGAAATATATAATGGTTGAATTTTCAAGGTTAAGAATGTTATAGTGGCGATTTCCATGAAAAAATTGTCCTGAGATACGGGAGCATGTCATGAATATATGGAACTAAATGAATTTGTTTCAAAGTTGTGCAAATGAAACTTCAAAATTCAATTCCACAAGTCTGAAAAATTAGGTTAAATTAATTTCTTTGCTTTTGGGATGCACAGTTATGTAAGCATATAAGCTTCATTTGGATACCTGTAATCTGTCCCAAAAAAGGGTCAAAAAGTGTAGGATCTCTTGCTATTGTTGCATATAGTAGCAATGATCAACTAGACCCTCTTTCACCCTGTGTTACACTTTCAACATGAAGGACTAATTGGACATATTCTCTTATTTGTAAAAATAATTTGAAGTAGCATAACTACTGACCTACTTGCACTGCTAAATTATTGAACTTATTATGTTTGATACATATTTTCTATATATATATATTGGGGTGGGGATTCATTTTATGAGTAGGCCATCTTTCTCACAGATCAGGTGTTATCTTCTTCTAGGAGTTTTAAGGGGTGTTACGTAATCATTGAAGAATCTAAATTTATCAATTATGGTCTGATTTGATGTTTATTCTCCTGTTGTTCATCTGTTGGTCTTGGAACTTTGGTGTGCTAAATATTAATATTGATGTGCTATTATTATTTTGTACTGTGTAAACTTGTCCTTTTGATATTTTATTTTTGCATATCTAATTTTTTATAAAGAGCTGCTTGGGCTTCTTGTCAAATTATTTTAGGTGTATACAGTTGGCCCTGAGTATGCTCATGCTGAGGCAAGAAAGTCTCCTGTTGTTGATGGTGTTGTTATGAGAAATCCAGATGGGAAAGAAGTAAGTAATCTATGTAACATACTAACATATACTTCTTATTTGGAAGGCTTTATTTGTTGGTTGGTTTTATCTTCATCAGTATATTACTTGAAAGTTGTGATTTGTGGCTACTTCCACTTATCCAGTCTTCATCAATTCATAAAGTATTTAAGATTTTACTTTTTTTTTTTTTAATCTAATCTTTTCATTAAAGCTTTCTATTTATCTGGTTCAGTTAATTTAGTCTTATATCTGAATATCTATCTATCTGTCTCCATGTACTGTACTTGAGTGAGCCTTTTTTTTTTTTTTAATAACTGTTAGTGGCAATTGTTCTATATCTCATCTAAAAAGGGCAAACCCAGTGCACGAGGCTCCCGCCATTGTGGGGACTAGAGAGAGTTAGATGTATGCGGCCTTACCTATGCATGCGGAGAGGCTGTTTCTTTGTTTCAAACCTGTGACCTCTAGGTCACAATGAAGTAACATTATCATTGCGCCAAAGCTCGCCCTCTTCTGTATCTCATCTGTATCTATTATTTGTTATTGTTTCAACAATCTTTCTGTGATCTGTTAATGTGATCTATAAGTTTTTTTGACCATGATTGTCCTTACAAGGCTGCGATCCCTATTGTTATTTATATCATGATAGAGTAATACATCTGTTTTTTGATGGATGGATTGGTGATTTTCAGTTGATTTGATCTTAATCTTATGTAGAATAGCTGATACTTTTCTTGGGATTTAAAATTCTATTTGTCAAAAATTTGATGTATAAATTGAGGTCCCTGATTGCTGAACTGATTTTTTCCGTTATTTTTTTCTTCTTCTTTCTTTCTGATGAGCATCTATAGATATCCTCCTCGCAATTATTTTTTCCCCTGCATTTTCTTTTTAAATGTTACACAGCGTTGACCATCAGACTTGCCTTTGAGTTTTAAAAACAGAAATAGAATGAGTACAAGTGGGTTCTTCTCAATTTCTAATAAAAAATAAAACTGAGTAAAGCTTTGATTTCAATTGGGGAACAACTTCGACAATGCCAGTTAACACCTATGTGGGGGTGATTTGGTTATGGTTGGCACTACAAGGATGAGGGGAAGGTCAAATAGACAGTGACGAATAGATTTGACAGCAATTTAGGCCTTGACGTATCTTAAAGACATGATTCATGTAGCTGAATCCTAAAGATTTCAAATTTTTTTTGTTAATTCAACTAAAATGAGGGCGTACTTGAGTTTTTACTTGCTACGTGACATTTTGCAGATCAATTAAATATTTTTATCTGTTACCACTCATTTTTGTTCATTCCATGTGTAAGATGTTTACAGTAACTTCTCTTGACCTTAATGACATAACATACTGGTTTCTCTAAACAACTTTTGCTGTATGTAGGAATTTCTCTCTTTAGTCAGGTAAGATCAGTTCTTCTTGCTTTCCTGTTGCTAGGTGAATAGCTGAGGATAGTAGGATAGCTAAGGCCTGCTTGTCTTTCCTCTATTGGTTTATCTGATCCGACTCTCTCTGGTTAACTAGTTCTATAGATAGTAGCAATCTATAACCTATCTTTGTAGACAACAGCTTTTGTAGAGGAATTGGTTGTTGCTGAGGAACACATATTTTTTTTCAAAGGTACATATTTATGACATAGGGTTGATTGAGGCGTGGAGAGGTTGCCCTGTGGGGGCTCTCAGTCAGGATGCATGGAGGGCTACGCCGCTTTGTGTGTGGTGGTGTATTTGGCTTGAAAGGAATAGGAGATATTTTGAAGTAAAGGCGATGTCAATTTCGGTGCTTAAATTCTCGATTATTTCCACTCTTTTTTGTTGGGTTTCAGGGAGAGATCATAGATCGTTGGAGGAGATTGTTGATTTTTTGGCCTCTTTGAAGGCTTGAGTCCTTTGTGGCTTTTTGTATTTTTCTTGTGATCCGCTCCCCTTTTGAGCGTTTTTTAATAAAATTTTTATTTATAAAAAAAAAAAAAAATGACATAGGGTTCTGTAATGTCCAACACCTATTCCATATTTTTTGTACATATAGAAGGATCATCTTTTCCAGTTCACTTAATTAGAATATCATCCTTTTTCTCAAGATTAGGTTGCACCTACAAATTGGTGAATTTGGTTTATTAATTTATATTATTTAGGAGAATAAAAACAATGTTTGTCAGATTCACTCCTTATCTCTGCTTGAGAGCTCAGTTATATGTTATATTTTATTTCGTAATTTTTTCCCTGAAGGAGTGTTTATGTGACAAACAACCAAGTATTTTCCATATCGGTCCAATTATCAAATCTATACTAAGTCTCAAACTAGTGAACTGATTTTTGTTTTTTATGCATATATAATTCTCAACTCCTATAAATAGGTTTTATCTTATGAATTATGATATAATCTGAGGCTCACAAAAGTTGAGATAGTTAGGATAAACCATTCCAAAAATGACAAGAAACCAAAGAGAAGTAAATTTGAGATCAGTTTGTGAGCTGAGACGTACAAGCTAAGCATTTTCCATCCATGCATTTATGAAGAAGCAACGAATAGTGATTGGATGTACTAATATTTCTAGTTTCATGGTAATTCTCATTCAGATGGAGTTGAAGCCTGAAATGAATGCCTGTGAAATGAATCTGAAAGTTGTCTCCTCGTTTGGCAGGTTAGATATCCTGTGCTACTTACTCCTACTGAGAAGCAAATGGCAAGGGAGGTCTGTGTTGCGTTTAGGCAAGCAGTAAGTTGTATATAAATATATTTGTTACAATCTCAAGTCAATTTGTGATTTTATCTACTTCAACATACTGGTTGGAATATTATTCTTATTGTTTTTTACTTATCCATCTTCTTTTGCTTGTGCTACCATATTTTTTTGTCCATCCATGCCATTGTGGTTGACTGAATTATTAGTTTTAGTAATATCTTAGGATTTCTTTTGTAACCAGAACCAAAGTCATTGCGTTTCTTTTGTTTCTGACTCAGTGTTTTTTTAACTTTAATTATTGCTGGCGATTTCTGTTTTTAGAATGAAAAATTGTCAATTGGTAAAAGTTTTTGCAGAAATTGCTTTGGCATGTAAACATCCAATGGAATTTGCAGAAACAAATTCTATCTGGATAAATGGAGCTCTGTCATCCTGCACTTGACTTTATACATCCCTGGAATTTGTTTCTGGAAGGCCTTGTTTGCGTGGGGTATTAACAGTCAGATTAAAATTTTATTAGCCTGGTTTTTGTTGTTCAATGTTGCATCATCTTTGTAGAGACCTATCAACACCATTTTTCATTCATTACAGATAGACCGTGACAGCTACACATGATATGCTTCAGTGATGCGCTCGCACATACAAATAATGCACTTTCTATCAAGATTTCATTTTCTTTAATGGTTTGTGTTTCATTTACTTGCAGGTTTGTGGGTTTGATCTCCTGCGTTGTGAGGGGCGTTCATATGTCTGCGATGTGAATGGATGGAGTTTTGTGAAGAACTCATACAAGTAATACTTTTTAGTGCCGCTTTTATCAGTAGAGCTACATAAAATTGCTGTTAGTAAAAAACATGTTAGGTGTTTGATGATCCATTATATGAAGCTGTCACAATTAAAGTGTTTTTTAATTTGTTTGGTAACAATATTGTTTAAAGCACTTCTATTACTAATTTTACAATAATATCCTTTAATAGAGTGTTACTATATTTGATAATAGCATAACTTTATAAAAGATAGGGTGAAATTGTCTTATAAAAAATATAAAGGGATAAAATTGGCTAATGAAAAACAGTTACCTAAAATATGAAACACAGTCCTAAAAGTTACAAATTTTAGCTTCATTCAAAAGCTCTACCGAGCTAAAATTGCTAACCATTAAAAGTGCCTTTAATGGTTACCGAGCACATGTAAATGCAATTTTTAAGTGGTTCTCATATTAGTGTTGCCACGCATAATCTTACCTTCTTCTGCTTCTAAATTTTTGGGGTGTGAATATCATGTTTACCGCAGCAAATTGAAGTCTACATGTTGTGAAGATTCACATCAATTGCACTAGCTGTAGCTCATCACTTGCACTAACTGAGCTACAGCTTCTTGGTTCATCAATAGTATAACTTTGCATTATAGTGCTTATTTTTCCAGTTTCAAATTTAGCTGTGATATAATTATTGAACCTAAAAATTTGACAATTTATCATTTTTAATAGAATGTTTTTACCTTTTATGAAATTCATCTTTCCTCAAACAGAAATTAGGAAGGTACAACATAGGTAAGTTTGTATCATTGTAATTACTGTAAATAATTTGTGCCCTTAACAAAGCAGCCTTTTCCAAAAGAGAAAAAAAGTACCGATCTGTGAATGAAAAACTATATAAGCTGCTTCAAGCTGCAAAATGAAAAGTCTTTATTGCAACAAGAAAATTAAAATATGACTTCTCATAGAAGTAGAACACAGTATAAAGAGAAAATTCTATTTTATGTATAAATTATGGACATGCCCATGTGACACAATTTCTTACTATTGGAAATACATTTATTTCGATTATCCAAAGATGTAGAAGAGCATTCACAATGCCTGACATTTCAATTGTCATAGCTGGTACATGCACTCACTTCTGTTGATTGCAATATTTTTATAACGTTAGGTGGCCCTTCATTTGTCTTTTTTGTTTCTCATCTTTATCCCAAATTCACTTTTCAATATAGAGACTCTGAACCTTCTTCGATTTATTATTTTCTTTTATTTATTAGCATCAAAATATTCACATTAATGGCCTGGCACTTGGACCAAATGGTTGCACTGGATCTGAGAATTGGTTCTTTTTTTTGGTTCAACCTTTGGACCAACTAGATGCATGTGGGAACATGGAGGTTTGTGCCTGTGTGAGTGTGTTTTCTTTGTGCACTCATGCATGCATTTGGTACTAGCATAATATATATTAAGGTAAATTACACTGACACTCCTGAGGTCAAGTGTAATTACATGTGGATGCTATTTTTGGACTGTGATACCTATGACTTCGTCATGTTTGGCGATTGTATCTACGTCTCCCTTGCTGTTAGGGAACTGTTGTGTCAGATGTTTGACACGTTATAAAATTTCTATTTACCGCCCCCCCCCCCCCCCCCCCCCCCCCCAATTGACTTTGAAAAGACATTTTTAACCTTATATATGATGTTAAATGACCAAAGTAAACTGCAAAAGTTTTGTTAGGACAAATATACCCTTTCAGAACATATAAATTATTATTATATTCATATTTTTGTATATTTAACAAAATTTTGTATACCTTTTCCATTAAATATATATTTAGATATTATAAATTTTTTATAAAGTACATAGTAAATACAAATTCAATTTGTAAACTTTAAAAGTAGATTTACAAATTATAAAATGCATAGTAAAACATTTAATATGCAATTATGCACATTAAAAAAATACATAATTGAATATTATATATATATATATATATAAAGACAAAACATTTTTTAGAAGAAGAAAGAAAAAAGAAAAAAAGCAATGTATCAACTTAGCCAAAAAAAGGAGTAAATATTATCAAGGTTTCGGTGAAAGGCATGGAGAGACTGGGACCAATGAGTGGTGGAGAAAAAAAGAAGGGGTGGGGGTGAGTAGTGAAGAGAGAATGGAGGTGGTAAAGGTGCGCGGTTGAGGGAGAGGGAGAAGGGATGGGCGGTGATGGATGGTGAGAGAAAGAGAGAGAGAAGGGGTGGGTAGAGTGGTGGAGGTGGGAGAGGGAGGGAGAGAGAAGGGGTGGGGGTGGGGGGGGTGGAGATAACAGTGGTGTGGGTGGTGATGGACGGTGGAGGGAGAAGGGGGGTGATTGAGAGAGAATGGAGGTGGTGGAGGCAGGTAGTTGTCTTTGACAGAGAAAAGGCATGGGGTGTGCTTGTGGAGTGGTGGAGGTGGGCGGTGGAGAGAGAATGCTGGTGGTGGAGGTGGGCGGGTGGAGAGAGAGAGAGGATAGCATTTCTTTTTTGGTTATTAGTATGGGGTAATATGGTCATTTCAGATTCAAATGATTTTGATTTAAAACTATTATAAAATGAAGTTTTCACACGCAATAACACCTTTTGCACACAACTCTGACAGTGTGGTGTTTCTGTAGGTTTTTCGAAATTAAAAGATGGGAGTGTCGGTGTAATTTAATGCATATATGATTGTGACATTTATTATTTTTCCCTCGCCTTAATGTTTTAACACTTTTTTTTTTTTTTCCTTCGTTGGGGAATATAATTATGTTGGTCAGGACAAAAGTTTTACCCTTGTTACCAAGTTACCCAAACTTAACCCTCATTTTCCGGGATTAGGACTGACTATGTAAAGATAAGGCACTAAACATGACATAGACGGAATTTGTAATGAAGATATGATCACATGTCGCTTGGCTAAGGTTATCGCCCTTGATAGGGTAGAATAGAAAATAATGGCCAACTCTAAGCAGTTGGAAAAAGGCTTTGTTGGTTGTTGTTCTTGTTGTGGAATATAATTTTGTTAATCCATTTTTTACTACAGGTACTATGATGATGCTGCTTGTGTGCTAAGGAAGATGTTTCTTGATGCAAAAGCCCCCCATCTTTCTTCAACAATTCCACCGATTTTACCATGGAAGGTCAATGAACCAGCTCCGCCTACTGAGGGACTAACACGTCAGGGCAGCGGGATCATTGGCACATTTGGGCAGGCGGAGGAACTAAGATGTGTAATTGCTGTTATTCGTCAGTAAGATATAGAACCCTTTGTTTCATTACTACATTAGGTGACATTCCTGGTTTTTTTTGTGTACAATCATGTTTTATTTGGGCAGTGGTGATAGAACTCCGAAACAGAAGGTGAAGTTGAAGGTTACTGAAGAAAAGCTGCTGAATTTGATGTTAAAATACAATGGGGGCAGGCCTAGATCTGAGGTGCTTCTTTTCTCTTCATCATGATGTCAATTTGTTTGGTTATATTTTCATATATTGTATAAAGCGGCATATATTCTCTCCTCCTTCTTTCTTGGCAGACAAAACTTAAAAGTGCAGTTCAGTTGCAAGATCTGTTAGATGCCACCCGGATTTTAGTACCACGTTCTAGGTATCACTTTAATTCTTTTTTTTTTTTTTTTTTTTGGGGTGCGTGTATATGTGTTTGTAAATTCATGGTTCATACATTTTATTTGACTCTATAAAACTTCTTGTTTCCTACAAAAAAAGGAAAAAATTGCACACACATCAAATACAAACTATTTTATTATTTTTATTTCTGGTTCCATGGCATTGGCTGTATTTTGGGACTTGTTTAGCCATGTTATGGATAGGCCTGATCACGGTTCGGATCGGTTCAGTTTGGGGATAAATCCCAAGCCGAACCGGTCCCCACGGATTGGTTAAAACTGAAACCGAACCAATCCGTGGGGGCATTCAATCCGAACCAAACCGATCTGTGAGTTAACGGATCGGATCGGTTCGGTTCCCCGGATTGGGCTTTTCAAACAGCCCATTCAATTATGGCCCATTATCAGCATTCAATTATGGCCCATTATCAGCAATATATTAGATTTGTAAATCCATATACCTAATAACAATTATAACAGCAATAGATTTATATAATAGCAATAAAATTTCAAAATATATTTGGCACATATAAATACCACCACAAACTTAAATTACCTAATAACAAAAAAAAATTGTAAATCATCCGTAAGTGAAAATAATATTACAGTACCAAATATAAATTATCCAAATAGAACAAAACAAAATACTTAAATAGTAGCCCAGTAGCTCATTAGCAAAAAAAAAAAAAAATAGCACAATAAAACATCAAACAACAGTCTTGACTAGTAGCAAAACAAGTCTGAAAATGGCAGCATATCAAGTTTGAAAATGGTAGCAAAACAAGTCTGAAAATGGCAGCAAGCAAGGCTAGCTCTCAATCTGAATCTGAAACTGTAGTCACATCTACAAAATAACATAATTTAATTAAAAATCCACAATATGATATTTATTGATCAAGCACACGACCTCCAGTGCTAAAAGCGGACTCCGAAGCAACAGTAGAGACTGGAACAGCTAGAATATCCCTTGCAATTTCAGAAAGTATTTTATACCTACTTCCGTTCACCTTCCACCAATTCAAGATGTCAAATTCTGGAACAACATCTTCACAAGCTTCCTCCAAATATTTTTCCACTTCCGACTTGGGAGTAGAACTTTCTTTTTGTATCTTGCGCTTTATGTACAAAGAGGAAAAACCATCTTCCACATTTCCATCATCAACTCCCACCTCATTTGCAATATTACTTGTTCCATTAGAGCTTGAAGTAAGTGCATGAAACTTTGCATATTCGCAAAAAATGCGGTTGAATGTATCCATTACCTTCTTACTAAGGTTTTGAACCATTTCAAGAGAATAAAGTTGGGAATAGCAAAATTCCACAAATTCCATTTTATAACGAGGATCCAACACAACCGCAAGCACCACCAACATGTTCACTTTTTCAATGCTTCCCCAATATTTGTCAAATTTAATTTTCATTTTTGATGCCACATTACTTAACCAAATATCGGGACTCTTTGACCATGTATTTAACGACTTCTCAATTCCTAACACTTCATGAAAATATCTATTGGAAGTAACATACAAAGATCCGGAAAGCTTGTTAGTGGTGTCATAAATTTTTTTTAAAAAAACAATCAAAACTCGAGCATATTCCCAATCAGTACTTAAAGGAGCTTTATTATTAACTTCTGGTAGGAATTGAATATCATCATCTTCTAAACTTTCAAAAGCTTTTTGAAACTTTACGGCCACCTCTAACATAAGGTATGTGGAATTCCATCTAGTTGAAACATCTAGGCACAAATGTGACTTAAATGTTATATTCTCCCTCTTCACACATGCTTGAAAATGCTCTCCCCGTTGTGCAGAACTCCTAACATACTTCATAGCCTCACGAATTCGAACTATTGAACCATTTACATCACTCAAACCATCTTTCACAATCAAATTCAATATACGTGCACAACACCTCATATGAAAACATTCACCACCTAAAAGGAAAGAGCCAACATTCCTAGCAAGCTTCTTTTCTTTCAAATATGCAACTGCAAGATCATTTGAACTAGCATTATCAACCGTGAGTGTGCACAATTTGTCTATACCCCAATCAAGCATACAAATCTCAACTGCACGACCAGTTTCCTTACCCTTGTGACTAGGTATTATACAAAAATTCAGAATTCTTTTGTGTAAGGTCCAATTCTTATCAATGAAATGAGCCATGAGACACATATAAGAAAGATTTTGAATTGACGTCCATATATCAGTGGTGAAACAAATTCTTTGATTGAGTTGATTCACTAAGGTTTTCAACCTCTTCTTTTCTATAGCATACAATTTCAAACAGTCCCTAACCACAGTAAAACGTGACAACAATTTGAATTTTGGCCGCAAGACACTAAGAAAATAACGAAAACCTTCACGCTCAATAAACTTGAAAGGTAATTCATCAATGATAATCATTTTAGTAAGTGCTTGTCTACACAACTCCTGATCAAATTTCCAAGAAACCATAACCCCCTCTCCTTTAGTAGTTGACTGAAACGAAATGAGTTTTTGTTTCTTGTCAACATTAAATGGATATTGTTGGAATCTACTTATGTGGTTCCTCGATGTACTTGTCCCATTTCCACTAGACTATGAATAAGATGCACTGCAATAGTTGCATTTCACATTACATTTTGACTTAGTACAGTTACAGGAACTTACAGGAAATTAAGTAAAATATTTGGTAACTTACAGGAACTTCTATACAAAACAAAAATTAAAATATGTAGATAAAATCATAAAATTAAATAGATCCACGTAAAAAATTAAAATATGTAGATAAAATCATAAAATTAAGTAGATCCATGTAAAAAATGTTCAGAGAAGAGGAGAATAAGTAGATCCATGTAAAAAATGTTTAGAGAAGAGGAGAATAAGAAGATCCATTCAAAAATCTTGTGAACTCACCGGAAAAGAGGTAGATCCAGTCGAAGAGGTCGCCGTTGCTTCAATACACTGAGGTCGCTGTTGCTTCGAATCTGGTGAACGATGGTTGAGAGGTGTTGGATTGAGAGACGAGAGATTGGGAGGCGAGAGATTGGGAGAGGCGAAGAGTGTCACAGACTCACAGAGGCGAGAGATTGGGAGAGGCGAAGAGGGTGAAGAGAAGAGGCTGTGAGGGAGGCGCAACTGAAAGTCTGAAATGAGATTGGAGTAATGTCGTAATGAAGAGACGAGGCTGAGTTAGGGTTAGGGTAACATTAAAAAATAATGAATAAAGAAAAAAAAGAAAAAAGAAATACGATATATCATTATATTGTATATATATATATTAATATATTATTTAGTAACAGTTCGGTTCGGTTTGTCGAACGGTTCGGATTGGCAACGGTTCGATTTGGATCGGTTAACGGTTCGGATCGGATTTTTCAGCCTCCAATCCGTTAACCGAACCGCGGACACCGGATTGCAGATTTTTCAAACCATCACCGAACCATAAGATTTGAAAACCGAACAAAACCACACGGATCGGATTGGTTCGGACCGGATTGACAGATTATTTGCTCACCCCTAGTTATGGATTTGAACCTACCTTTTCCTAAGGGACTTGACCATACGTTCATCCATGTTCCACCCCTTGCCCTAGGACTTGAACTGTATACCTTTGCATGAGTGGAGCCACTTATACCACCTGAGGTCCTGAGCTAGACAGCTGATCACTAACAACTCATGTTCAACCGAATTATCCCACTCTTCCCTGAAAGAAAGTAAACAAAGTTTATGCATCACATCTTCGAATATGAAATACAAAATATCGACGGTTAGGTTGATCTAGGTTTCCTTGAGAGGCAATCTGGGAAATTTTTCATAATGAGAAGTGGAGATTGCAATAAGAAAATTCAAATTGTTGCAGTGAGAATATTAAAAATATTTATTGCAGTAAGAAATTTGAGACTATAATGCCCTGGCCAAACTTAAGGTGTTTTCCTTCAAGCTCTGAAGGCTTAGTGGTTTTTGCTTTTTGTTGTTCCTATGGGATGCGCTTCCCTTTTGAGCGTTTTTTATACAATTCTTACTTATCAAAAAAAAAAAGTTGGTAGAGGAGCTACAGTGGAGATACAGAAATATTTGAACAATGAATTTCTTACTGAGAAGATGTAGCTGAGTTGATTAATTGCTAAGAAAAGGCATGGAGGTTTTGTTCCTAAATCAATCTTAGTGCTCCTCCATTATAGTATCTATATTTAGGATTATTATTATTATTATTATTTTTTTTTTTTTTCTTTCATGGAAGGAAAGGAAATTTAGTGTTCTTGGATTCACATGGCTATTGTCAACATTCCATTGGTGGTTTGAAAAGCATATGGAGACACATTAATTGATTTTTAGATTGCTGTGCTTGGTTGGAAGTCACTAAATTTGGTGTGACAATCTGACCCAAATTCTGGGCGAGAGACAAATAAGCGTGGGAGTTATGGACTTTTTACCATTTCCTGCTATGGTGGCACTTATTTTACACACACTTTTTTTTTTTTTGGGGGGGGGGGGGGGGAGCAAGATTACAGATGTTTAGAATAGCCAGGATTAAAGGCCATATTATATTTCTTTATTCTAATTCTAGAACTCTTATTTCTCATATACTTTTTCTAAATTCATGAGTCATGGGCAGCTTCAATAATTCTTTTATTTTTTGTATGCTGCTTGCCAATTTTACAATTTTATTTTGAAGTCTTTGTCCTACCATAGTAGAATATCACTTGTAAATCAAACACAAAAAATATATCTTCCATGTGGGAAACAGTTTTCTGGACAATTCCAGGGAGTTGTAAACTCAACGGTTTAAGGAGTGAACTTTCTTGGATGGCTGAAAGCTGATATAACTAGTCCTTGGAGAAACACCATTAATGACCTCTGATGGTTTGGTATTAAATATTTCACAAACATAATACTAAAAGACTTCAATCATCATCAGGATTTAGTAAAATTTAAATATCTTTGTGATGAACTATGTCGCCTCTGCCATTCACCAGTCTGCATATTTCTTCTATTGTTGCAAGATTTAATATCTTGTGTCACTTCCTAAATTACTGTAGTCTGCTGAGACGTTCATAATATGTGGTCCCTTGAAGTCATTAAACTTGTGACGATGCTGGTTAAATAATTTGCTAAGTAGTTTCTATTACGACCATAGTTTGAAATGGTGAAAGTTTTAGACTAAATGTCTCCCTTTTTGCATGGCGTGGCATGGGCCTCAAGGCAAAAGGAGTAAGCCTTTGACTCTTTACTTTTTTGTAACGTATATGATTCAGGGGAAAAATAATAGGTTACAAATAAAATAACTCAAATACCATTTTCTAAGTCATTTTAAGATTAACCAAAATTTTTTTTTGTGAAATTTATTTTATTTTTTATTGGTGGTTAGTTTGTGATATTGAATTTTAGCACTGGAGAATTGGGCTAAACATGGATTAATCAAGAATTTCTGTTTGTCTCTTGGTGGAAACAAAATATAAAAGCCAATCATGAGGCATAGGGCCTCTCAACCCAAGGGATAAGAAAGTGCAAAAGACGTAACTTTGATAATTGTCAGCTTTTTCACCTAAAATGATCTTTTATCGACTATTAGAGACTCCAGGTATTTTTAAAACTACCTTGCCTTGCCGACTGCCTTAGGAATTCATATAAATTCTGGTTTTATTTGATTTCTTATGCTTTCTTAATGGAAAATAGATTAAGATGATTATGGAAGGTAGATTTGGGGCAGATCATTTTTCTTTTGGTTTGTTGCTGCTAACATAGGCATGAATACATGTGGCCTATGGCATACTTATATAATGAAGAATGTCTACCAACTTTCTTTCTTTCTTCCCCCCTTCCCCTCCCTTCCTTTCCGAATGCTGCTTTCTAAAATTCAGATGGGCTGTGCACTTTATTTATTGCATATTCATTATAACTCTAAAAGTCATGACAACAAAAAATGACAAGATTGGTCCATTTTTGGCTTGTAGTTCTCCTTCAAATATCAAAGATCCCTTTTTGCTTTGTCAAATTCTTTTTTCTGCTTCCGTGTGTATATATATTGGCCCAAGTAAATTGCCCAGACACATTCTTTCCGCTTATCGAATATTATCTTTAAAAAACTGTTGTATCCGAACTAATTCAAAATTTAATATTATTTAGACCTGGTCGGGAAAGTGATAGTGAAGCAGAAGACATTGAGCATGCTGAAAAACTTCGTCAAGTTAAAGCTGTTCTTGAGGAGGTCCATTCATCTAGTTTCTTTTAAATTATGAATTTTTATGCTTCAGTTCTATTATGGCAATTTCGTTTATTTTTTTCATCTATAGTGGGATTCACCCTTTAGAGATTAAATGTTAACTGTTTGCATTTAATTGCGAAACTTTTAAGCCCATCATTATTTTTGGTTGAGAAACACAGATATTAAGAAAAACATCGAGGAATATGAAGGAAGGACGAGGCATCCTACGGACTAGAACTAGAAATATGGATCAGAGGGCAATAATCCTGAAATATCACGAACACCTACATACAAAGGTGCCCAAGATGGTTAAAATTGTAGAAGATTGCAGAAATCTCACCATTTCCTTAAAACCAACTTGAGGGAGGAATCCCCTAGGGAGAGGGGGGTGAGGGCTGGAAATTATCTGTAGAAGGTTCCCAAGAATTAGCTTCCTTCTAGGAAGGAAATTACCAATGTAACAGAAAAGGATATGTCAACCATATTTCCACAAACCCAGGCTTCTTGACCTTATCCAACCTATAACAAGATGAGCGCAAGTGACCATGTTTCATTCCCAATCCAGCAGGAAAACTTTCCTTGTTTCGTTTACAAACCAATTCAAAAACATGCATCAGCAAGTTTTTATTTTTTATTTTTTTTATTATTATTTAAAGTGGAACTCTTAAGAGGTCACAATTGTTATCTTTTCTGGATTAAAACCACATTTATCTTTGTTGTGTAGCCTTGTTAGAAAAACTTATGGTTTCATAATTTTGGAATTATAAGGCATCACTTGTGGACTTGTGGCGAATCTCCATCCATGTTAGCAAATTATATAGGGAAAACTACGTTGATATGAATGAGGTGCCTCAAAATGCACTTATATGATAGTCAAAACTCAAAATGCTATGACCCAAGTTAGGTAAATTATATATACTTGCACAAAACCAATATTATTCTTAATATGAGGACCAAAGTGCTTTTTAAATGACAAAAATAACTCTCTTGACAAAGAGAACAAAATGCCCTCCTTATAATTTGCTCACCTATATTCTAAATATGAGTACCAAGTTTTGAATGACAAAATAACCCTCACAACAAAGAGACCAAAATATACTCCTTTCAATTTTCTCACCTACTGGTCAAATTCTATTCAATTTGCCTTAACTTTCTTTTCTTCTCTCTCTCTCTCTCCCTCTCTCTCTCTTTTTCATCGACCAAAAGATCCTAAGCTCTCACACTCTCTGCACACAACATCTCTCATTTTTTTTTTTGATAAGTACACAACATCACTCATTTTATGACCAATAGTTACAATTGTTGATGAAAAAATCAATTTAATAAACACACATTTCGAATTATACTAGAGCCACATTTATTATGAGTGTGCTTTACTTTTAGTGTGTTAACACAGTCTTTCAGTACGTAAATGGACCACATTTAGCAGGCTCATTAATTTTTGCAAGTTTCAAAATAAATTGTTAAAATTCTACACAAAGTGCTGTTTATATTCTATTTTTATGATCAACTAGGAATTTGTTGAAACACAATCGATCTAGACTCTTGTAAACACACCACTTGTTATATGCAAGGCACCACATGGAATACGATTGTGCACCCCTTTTAGCATGTTGACAGCTTGACTCACTACTTTCAATATGTTAAAATACCACTTTTAGTACTCATATCAAACTCTTGCTACTTGTGAAATGAATTGTTAAAAATCTGCGCCAATAACAAATTTACATTTGACTTTATGACCACTTCTGAGTTTTGCTTCTATTGCTGATCATGATCCTACCACCCTCCATGGTCTTTCTGTCAATTGTATACCTAAACCGTCTTTGTTCATCTCTTTGCACATGCCATTCTCTGATTTTAAAATCTAATTTAGCAACTAGGAGAGGTCTTGACCTTCCCTTAACAGTCCTTTGTTTTTTCATGGTGAGTGATACTTGACAGTGAGGAGTGCTGCGATTATTGCCAATGAGGAGCCTGGAGGTTGAGATAGAGTTTCTGTAACTGCAAGGCAAATTGAATGGGGTTTGACTAGTAGATGATTGAAATATTGTTGAGGAATATTTCGTCTTTTTGTCATTTATTTTCGTATTTTAATTCAAAGGCTAAAAGGGAACTTTGGTTCTCAGGTGTTTGATGAACAACTTACATAACATGGCATTTTTTTTTGTACAACACAGTTTTCATGCAAGTGCAATTTGAGGTTCCTAAAGATCTAGGTAATTTTCCCAATTTCTATGTTACCAGGGAGGTGGTTTTCCTAAATTCACAGCTAGGTAAGTTTTGGTTCCTAAGTATATTTTAAACTACCTAAATTCACATCCAGGTAGTTTTCCCAATCTATTTGTTTGGTTGAACGAGGCTTTGACATTTTGTTGTATGGGTACTTAACGAGGGAAAGTGTGGAGTTGGCTCACTTTCTCTAAGTCAGTTGTATTCTTGTATTTATAGATCAGCCAATTAGGTGACAGCTACTTTGGAGTCGTAGAGTAGCTAGCCATTTGCTGTTTAGTTATTGTTAGTTGTGTTGGGCTTCTTTAAATGTATCTCTCTTTTGAATTTTGTTACTCCGCTTTGGGAAGGAACTCTCAGGCTTTCTTGTTCTATCTCTTTTCTTTCATTTTTTATTTTAACAAAGCTCTGATTTCTTACCAAACAAAATTGCAACAGAGGTTAATGTGTAGCCTTCATCTAATATTGAGCAGTGTAAGTGCATCGGTGACTTTTGTGGTCATGTAAAACTCCATTGCTTAACTAGAACTGTTTAAATAATATAATCAACTTCCAGTTGGACTTTTTGGTGGTACCCATGTCGTTTCTGGTTCATTTGGTCCTTAAATAGGTGACTCTACTGTTAATAATGTTACCATATGCAAAATGTTGCTTATTCATTTGTAGAAGCTGTTTTTGTCTTTCAATCCCACCAAAAAAACGTTAAGTCATTCATGATTCAATATGTGTGTAGTCCTTGAAGAAACCATTTTCTATTTGTTGAGCTTTGAAGATGGTGATTGGGAAATAAATTTGGTTAGTTAAATAAGTTATATCCTGGCCTTTTAAGTAGTATGGAGAATTGTCTCATTGAGTCTTAACTGAATATGCGATAATCCTTGTATAGAGGGCTAACATTATAGTTTTGTATTTCATAAATCTTTTCGGCTTATATGCTAGGGTTGGCATGTACATATATCTATATTTCATATTATTTCTTGCAATTTCTTGTGCTTCTTTCCTTCGGGAATGGGAGAGTTATGTGTTATATTTTACACGTGCTATGATTGCTGAGGAGACCACATGCTTCTGGATGAGTTTTAGGCAGTTACTTGGTAAAAGAGGAGTAATAATTCATGATGGATTTCATGTTGCCTGACATTGCTTAATTAATAGGTGACGATTTAAGTATAATTTTCATTTCCTCTATTGGTGATTTTGTATATGGTTTGGCATCCAGGGGGGGCACTTTTCTGGGATTTACAGGAAGGTTCAGCTAAAGCCATTAAAGTGGGTAAAAGTAGCCAAAAGTAACGGTGAAGGTGAAGAAGAACGGCCTGTTGAAGCACTGATGGTTCTTAAATATGGGGGTGTTCTTACACATGCTGGCAGGAAACAGGTGCTAGGTTTTAGTGATTCATGCATGTGTTCTGCATGTGTTTTTCTATTCCGATCAGAACTCTAGGAATTACTGTTTCTGCGAAAATTCTTGTGTGTGTTTGCATGTGTTCTTAATATATTCTTTTCCTCCATTTTCTTGGCAGGCTGAAGAACTGGGTAGATATTTCAGAAACAATATGTATCCAGGTCTTACTATTGTTTCTTTTCACTTTCCATTCTCAAAAGTGATTGTTATATATTTCTAATAGGCAGAACTTTCTCATTCTGAAGATTATAATTCTTTATTTTTCATTTCTTATATTTAGCATTATATAAAGATGGGCAGATATCAATTGCATTTAGCAGACTCTTGACTCTTCATTAGACAGTCATCAACTTATTGGGTTTTACCTTGTCTGTATGATTGTACTTGGATTCCATAGTGCTTCTTGATAATGTGAATATATGGGGATACTTATAAATTTAATTGTTACTTTGTTGCATGAAACTTGTCTCACCTTAAATTTTTCACTTTTTAACATTAAGGGTGAGTTTTGGTTTTAAAATTTAAGTTCAGCTCATGATCATGTACGTTTTTCAAGGGTGAAATGTTTCTAGCAATTTGTTTTGAAGTGGTGGATCAAGGGTTGAGTGGATCCTTTTTTTTTGCAGATCACCCATATACTAAAAGGGAAGTCATTGTTGAATCTTTTATGAGGAATACAAAATGTGTCATCTTTAACAAAAATTCAAATTTAAACTATTACAATTAACTAGAATTCAAATTATAACAAACTAATCGTAAATATAGGCATCGTGCAGGATGATAAAGCACAAAAAGCATAAAAAAATCCACATAAGAACACCAAATTTACGTGGAAAACCTACAAGGGAAAAATCGTGGGACTAGTGTAGATGGATCAAATCCACTATAGAAGAAAGGTTTATTGCTTTTTATCAGATTCTGAATCCTAGGATCACCTAAATATTTTCTGACCATGACTCATGCCGGATGTTCTCCTTCAACTCTGCTACACACAGTCGAAGAATCTGTTCCTCATGATATTTCCTCTTCAAATTGTGATTTGATCTCCTCTACAATTGCGCTTGCTCATTGTTGATTGTGTGGAATTTGCTGAACTGTCGAACTCCTTGTAGCTCTATGATTGTATGTGATCAACACTCAATAAAAAACACCATCTATATGATGTGACGATGAATGAAAGAAACAAAATTCTAACAATTAGATTGGTAGGTTGCACTCCAAGTATGCCTTTCAATGCTTTGACGTATTTTTCAAGAAAGCATAGAGCCTTATATATGGACTTTTGAGGCTTAAAAGGATTAAGGTTTGTGTTTGAAACCTTTTGAAAACCGTCTTTTCGCACAATTTGAGCAATCAAAGCTTAGGTTCAATCGGTCGTACCTAGCCCAATGAGCTTTGATTGATGCTTTGAATGACTGAACTTCCTTTTTCTGGGGCAATCATTCAGAAACACTTTGATGCATTCAAAAACACAATTTTAATGGTCAAAACATGTTCAATGATGAGAATGCTTGAATATGAAGACCAATTTGGTGAGTGCACAATTTGAGTGTTGAGATTTCCCTTTATACCTGTGTTGAAGCTCTTGATTTATCCAATTTTCCTTGAACAGAGGTATTCAACTAATTATATTTACTTTTGAAAAAAAATAAACAAACTAGGAACCAAATAATAATACGATTTCATTTTGTATGATTTTGCCAATTTAAATCCTATTGGCCTAACATTTGCCCCTTGGCAATTTTGTGGCAAAAACACAATAAATGGTTTACACAGAAGCTAAAATAATTATTCAGAACTTTGAATCTATTAGACTTGTTGATATTCTTCTATAGATATAAAGCTACAAAATAAAGCAGACGACTATACCCGTGTATTATATATATCTATGTTAAATCAAATAATTACCAAATAAGATTGAATTTAAACAAGTCAAGCATTTATTTGGAAGTCAAATCAAATTTATTAAATAAACATATCAAAGAAAATACTTTTTTATGCTCTAATCAATATTAATACCACTTAAATCATGCATATCAATAATCATCAATCAGAACTAAAAATTTAGAAATTTCTTTCTTTCCCTTTTGTCTCCCCTTTTCTGTATCGAACTTGGCAAATTAAGGCATTAACAGACAATAAGCATGTACTAAAATAGGTAATTGATTAATATTTGAAACTAATAACATGCATCAATCCAAAATAACAAAAATGTTCTCCAATACATATAAACTAAGTCCTATTGACTTCAAAATTTTGGATTCTGTAGTATAAACATCTAAAAATGTAAAAGTTTTTAGACTAAAACTTCATAATATGGCAAACTCTAGGCTAGATAATATTAAAACAGAGACTAGTGTCCAACACTATTGCTACCACAATTTCCACCGCCAGAACAAAATTGTCCTCTAGGTGAGCACATCGTGTTGGATATTTCCCTTGCAGTCAAATGAATCTTAACAACAGCCTCTGAGATTTTTATCAAGATGAGTCATACGTGTTTCTAATGCATCATAGTGGGATGGAAAATCATTCTTGCGCCGAATAGTTGCAGTGAATTGTTAGACCTATTCTTTTAATTGGTCAATTATGCAACAAATAAGGAAGTGGAGCCCTCCACTTAGTTGCATTTAGTATAAATAACCAATTAAAAATTATTCAGTTAGGCAATTCACTGCAAGTGTTTGGTGTGAGTAATGTATCACTACTCTAGTGGGATTTGTGTTGAGCTTGATGGTCTTCCATCATTTTTTGGGTTGCTCCATCGACATGATGTCATCAACAGTGGCACTACCAATCCTTTCATGATGGTCTTCCATCATTTTTTGGGTTGCTCCAATCCTTTAATCTTCCTCATCATCCTCATCTCCACTTTCACTATGCTAGACAACATTAACGTGAGCTTGTCATTGACTTTGTGGAATATGGTTGATTGACTTAAGCCATGAGGTATTAATGAGGCCTTTCTTCTTGGTAAGTTTCTCACTATAATCAAATTTGGTATCACAGAGGAATTGAAGGATTTTGGTGATGAATTTAGGAAAGGTTAGAGCTTTACTTGTCGGTGATTCCAATCCGTTTTGAATCGTAATGCGCGCAACAGAAACCGAGAGGTCTATGGGGTATTCATTGGCTATAAATACAAAAATTCAAACCTTTCATGGTAATATCGGGTTTAAGGTTTTTTGGGTCGATATTCTGAGCAACAATGAGGTTGAGAATTTGAAATTCCGGCTTCAAATTTGTTGCCTTGGAACTTTGTGAAGGTTTTGACATGGATATTGCACAGTAGAGCATTGAACACATCGGTTGGATTCTTCTCCTTGTATTTTCTTGGAAGAATCATTCCATTAGGTGTTCGAGGAGTAACAAGAATGGTTCAGATGATGTCAGTAGACTCTGTTGCTATATTTGCATTCTTGGGGTCAGTTGCTATATCACTGCCCTTTAGCCTTACATTTCTAAATTCATTTTCATGATCTTCATTGAAACAAAATTAGATCTTTTGCCGTACCTTAGTTTGATCCATTTATTGAAGTGCTTTATGACCCTGTTGGTTATTTATCCATATTTATAAAACCATGTTACAGCTATGAACATATGAATGCCATTCCTCTCCGTACATTTTCTTGAAGTCTTGAATTGTTAAATGGTGGATTTTCATTTGAGATAATGTTGCTAGAAATTTTCCAGCTTTATAGTCTGCAAGGCCATCAATTTATTTTGATGGTACTGGTAGTTGATTTGTTCTTGTTTCTTCTTCTTCTTCTTCTTCTTCTATTTGTTTACTGTTACTTCATATTATTGCAGGTGAAGGGACTGGCCTGCTTCGCCTTCACAGTACATATCGTCATGATCTTAAAATTTACAGTTCAGATGAGGGTCGTGTACAGGTATAGCCTCTGAAGTGTGTATAAGTATATTTGTTTTCTTTTTCATCCTTCCATTGTTCAAGTGCTTTTATTTTTGTGCATTAGAATTTCATTCTAAAATTATGATTGTGACCTTTGTTTATCTTGTTAACTGAGTTCCCCCTTTTGTTTTTCCTTTTTCTCTCTTTGATGTTTGTATTCCAACTTCTTTGAAGTTTATTGCCAACAATCTAAAATCATTAGCCTTTTACTTGCGCATTGTGTGTTAGTTACCTAATTTATTGGGAATTTGTTGACAGATGTCCGCAGCTGCATTTGCCAAAGGCCTCCTGGACTTGGAAGGGCAATTAACACCTATTCTGGTTTGTAGCCTTTCTCCTTAAAGGGGTTTTGGACTGCTTGTTGACTTGGGACTTTATATGACTAATATTGTCAATTTTAAAGGTTTCGCTGGTTAGCAAGGACTCTTCTATGTTGGATGGACTTGACAATGCCAGTACGGAAATGGAAGAAGCTAAGGTTCTCTTACTTTTTGCTCAGATTATGCTGTTATGTGAATGTGTGTGTATACAACGCTAAAAATAAAAAATGCTGGATCTGCAAAAAAATTGATGCCAACTGCTAATGTTGCAGTTTGACTTTTAGGATGTTCTGCACTATTAAGGCTTGAGACATCCTTACAAACTATTTTTCTGCTGTTATGTACTGTTTCCATTTAACCTAGTGCAATATGGTATATAAATTTGCTTTCATGAGTGACCAGAATACTTTGCTATGTGTTTGACCTTTGTCTATAACTTCTGTAGTTCGGTGCAAAGTATTGTGGATAATTCTTGTAATTTGTGAGTCAGCACTAGCTCTTAAAAGTTAATATTCGTTAGTTATATGGGTATGATTAATTATTCATGTTGACTCTTGCAAATTTTTTATTTGTATTTTTTGGTTTGTAACTTTCTTCTTTTAGTGAGTAGGTGTGGGGATATATTGTCAAAAGATGAAAACTTGGAAAAGGATAATTACGGTTCTGACTCTTTTTATGTTTAATTTTTTGTTTTTGTAAATTCAAGGAGTTAAAGATAGAATGATACATCTATAATTTGACATTCTTGTACCCAGCCTGACCTAGGGAGGACCAATAAAAAAATATCCAATCTCTTTTACATTACAAGTGATCTTTTTGAAAAAAAGTTACCAACATGGTTACAATCTAATGGAGGGAGTTGTCAGACAGTTCAAATTGTTTAATAATTGAGAAATATCATGTGATGCATCTACTAGATAAGGCTTATGATATATTGGGTTTGCAAACCTTCCTGGATCTTCTTTACCATGTGGACAAGTACTTGTACAGTTGGACTATAGGATTTCTTTAGTTTCAGTCCACATAATCTAAAATTGAGGGAGGGATGTTGACCTAGTGGTCCAATAATATACATCAAATGTAACATTTCTTGAGGGTATATTGTGTAATTGGGTGTGGTAATGAACTCACAAGTATGAAGTATCTGAAAACTGTACATGATGAAAAGGACCTTTAGAACAATAGTAGAATCAATTCTATTTATTGATCAACAATGAAAAAAACTGGATTATTGTACTCTGCAATTTGCTTGGAAATTGATCAGCTGGTCTCATTTATCACCCTACAAATTCTTGTACTCTGCAATTCACTTGGAAATTGAAGGAGCTTATATTCTCGGTTGATACATCAATCAAGTAATAGAATTGCTCACACATACCTTTTGCTTCTAGGTTTCAGCAACTTTGTTATTTAAGATTGCTTGCTATTATGTTCTGTTCTTAGTTTCTTTTGTTTCTTCCCTCCCCTCCTCAGGCTAAGTTGAGTGAGATTATTACTTCTGGAAGAAAGACAGTTCATAGCAATGGATCGTCTGATAAACCTTGGATGGTTGATGGAGCTGGACTTCCTTCTAATGCTTCTGGACTTCTCCCCAACTTGGTAATCAAATAATTAATTTTTTTTTTCCCTAATCAAATAATTAAAGGAACTGATAAGTATTGCCTGCGAAAATCGATTTTCTGTGTGGAGATCACAATTTTTAATTTCAATTGGTTGATAAACGGAAATGTCTTGTTGGGAATCTGTCAAGGACTTCTAAAGTGGTTAATTTCTATTTGAGATGTGCAGTATGCTTTCTAATTCGTTATTCCTTCACAATGTGCAGTAATCTATTTTTTTACCTCTCTATTCTACATACTGCAACTCATTATACAAATGGATTTCTTCAAATTCGAGATTTTGACCAAGGGGCTGGCAAATTGAAAATTGATCCTGAATTTCATTAACTTTTTGGCCTTTTGCTCTTTATTTATTTATTTATTTATTTATTGTCTGGATATCTTTCAAATAGGTGAAATTGACTAAGAAGGTTACTGAACAAGTGAGACTACTGGCTATGGATGAAGACAAAAAGCTTGCAGAGACAGGCTCATATGATGTAATGCCTCCATATGACCAAGCAAGGGCCCTTGGTAAGACGAACATTGATGTTGATCGTATTGCTGCTGGACTGCCATGTGGCAGTGAGGGATTCCTTCTAATGTATGCTCGTTGGAGAAAACTTGAGAGAGATTTGTATAATGAACGCAAAGAGTAAGGATTCATAATTTCCATCTTTGAGCCATTTCAGTTAGAAATTTTCCATTATCATTATAAACTTTTGCTATTCATCTAGATTTTTTAGAAAAAAATTAATTTTCAATCATATCAACTGCTGGATATGATTGAATTGTGATTGATAGCCATGCAGTTTCACTAATACTGGATTCTCTTGCAGCCGGTTTGACATAACCCAGATTCCAGATGTTTATGATTCGTGCAAGTAAGTCATATTTTTCTTGTTGATGGTTACCACAAGAATTGTTTTTGAATTGTAACTTGAATAAGACACCTCCTACAGCTATTTTAAGGAGGTTCTTAAATGTTTGATTGCAGGTTATTATTCCTCGTGATGCTTTATTTATTCTTCTATTTTATTATTATTTTCCCCTATATGCTACTTCCAAGAAGTTCTGGGTAGTTTGATGCAGATTTCCTTTTCCTGTACTTCTTTGCATTTAATTGATATCTTGTTGCCATGTACTATACTGAAAATTGTCAAATATGATTTTATGTGGGTCAAGTTTGTAGGCCATTGGCCTATTACCATAACCATGCTTTTCTTGGTTCATCTTATCAAGAAGAACCTATCTCAGCTCAATAAGTCCTTACAACTATATTGGTTCAGCTGTGTGAATGCTGTCTGCTAAAACTTAGAGCCTACGCTTTCTGCTGTAATTGCAAAGCATATGCTGTAACGTCTCTTTTCTCGGCCTGGAACCTTGTGGGACCTTCAATTCATATCATTTTTATCCTTGGTGCAAGCATTATTCTTTGTTGCACATGACAAAACCATGTCAGTTAAATTAGTCAAATATTGACTGATCGCTCAAAGGTGATTGTGTAATGAGGTGCTGATCCCTTCTGTGAAATATTTAAAAATTCGTGGCATATAATTGTAGCATTTTGTTTTCTTGACATTTTTATCAATAATTTGTAATGGGATTTGAATTAATTTGTCAAGATAATTCTTGATGTCCTCCCTTTATTTTTCCTGATGTGGACCTTAATTCTGTACTTCTACATAAACTCTTCTGAGAATCTTGTACAAAGCATGGAACATGTATTATGTATTAAAATAACCCTTGGTTGTGCTTGTGTCTTCATATTTATTTACTTATTTTTATATGTAAAACTTTTCATTTTAAAAATTAGAATAGTTTAATTTCTTAGCCAAAAAGGCTTAATTTCATGACTTTCCTCATAATAGAAACATAAAAATTGTACTGGAAGTCTGGAACTGAATGGAATTGTCATATTACAGGAATGATGTAGCCATGATGGTTATGGTGTTGAATTGGTCATTTTTCTTCTTTTATTTTTCTTGCTTTTGGACATTAATTTTTTGTAGGTGTGCATTCTAGAGCAAACTTGTTTCAGTTCATGCATGCATAAGGATTTTATCTTGTGGAAAATTCGAAAGGGTTTCTTACTGGTTCAGTTGTTTTATGGTGCTTTTCAATTTACTTCTCAGGCAATGGTAATGGTATTAAAAATGAATGGATTACTTCATTCAAATAAATTCTTATAAATATGCTGTTGGTAGAAAAAAAGATGAAGTGACTCGTTGATATCGCTTTTGTTGTGCTTTAGATTTTTTGTTCTTTCTTCCCGGAAATTCAAGCTGCTTGAGATTTTTCTTGGCTTCATTTGACAGATATGATCTGTTGCACAACGCACATCTTAATCTAGCAGGTTTGGATGAACTCTTCAAAGTTGCTCAGGTACAATAAAAAATGCCTACAATTTTTTTTCTTTTGCCTTTATGAATGGTATCTGTTAGCATATATGATAACCACGATTTATGGAATGACTTACCATATTTGCATGGATTTGATTATGCTATAGAATATGCTTTAGAATATACTGTGATTCGATTTAGATTTGATTTAGTTTCCTTTCTTGTAATATGAGCATGTGCTCTTTTTATCTATAAACACTAGAGTTGTGAATGAGTGATTCATCTTATTCAAGCCTTTACGCAATTATCTCATTTTCTCTTCTTTTTATATTTCTACTTGGTATCAAAACCAGGGTGGTCCTACTGCAATGAGGGCATTGTGAGCTCGGCACCACCCATTCGGGAAAGTCTAATGGCCATTCGGGAGGTGTTGGTAGGCAGGGTGGTCCAACCTCAATGAGGAGACATAGTTATTCTTTTTTCTGGTCTGAGGAGACATAGTTGTTTCTTTTTTATGGTCTGAGGAGGCATTATTGATTCTTTCATCTACAGTGTTTGAACATATGTATGAAGGGGAATGGTTTAAGGAGACATTGTTGATTCTCCCATCTACATATTTTAAATATGTGAGGGGAAATAGTCTGAGGAGACATTGTTAATCGTTTATGGTCTGAGGAGATATTTTTGATTTGTTGATCGGCACTTCATTTGAGAGAAAATCATTGCTAGTCAGATTTTCACTGTGCAACTTGTAAATTCTTACAAAGGGCTTTTGCAAGATTGTGTTTGAGAATGCATTGTCCAAGTTGGGCGTTTCAGATAACCACGCACCAACTTGAGGGGGAGTGTTAGCATATATGATAACCACGATTTATGGAATGACTTACCATATTAGCAGGGATTTGATTATGCTATAGAATATGCTGTGATTCAATTTAGGTTTGATTTAGTTTCTGTTCTTGTAATATGAGTATGTGCTCTTTTTATCTATAAATACTAGAGTTGTGAATGAGTGATTCATCTCATTTAAGCCTTTACGCAATTCTCTCCTTTTCTCTTCTTTTTATATTTCTATTGTATCTTTTTGATACCATGCTTTCCTCAAATATCCTGCAATAGAACAAGTTATAGTAGCTAACAATGTTTTTCTTCAAGACCCGTTTCCCTTGGATTCCTTGAAATTTGAATTTAGCAGCTTTAGTTTTGAAAATTATTATTCTTATTATATTATAACTTATAAGGACAATTCATCAGTCTGCAACCTCAAAGTATCAGCTCCAAAAAGTTATATATTTAGGGATGTAGAATGAAGGATGAGCTTATATTAATTACTTCTCCAACAATGTACATAAAATGTTAGGTGGCATCAAATAATCATCATTAGCGGCTGAATGCTATGATTTTGTTATTTCAGTTGCTAGCAGATGGAGTTATTCCTAATGAATATGGGATTAATCCAAAGCAGAAGCTGAAGATTGGCTCAAAGGTAAAGTCCCTACTATGTTACACCCCTTGGTGGTATGTAAGTTCATATTCCATATTCGAAAATTGCATTGGTGCATGCACATATCAAGGTAAACGGCAAATTTTAATTTCTAAATTGCAATATACAATTTTGGAAAAATACCAATAAATCTTATTTTACCCTATTAAAGACCAATAGGTCCTAATAATTTTCAATAAGACAACAAAGTTCAATATATCTACGATAGTTTTAAACCAAAATTTCAACTTTACCCTGTTCAGTTTGTACTATAGTTTTCATGTGGACCCATTATAATATATGTACTCACATTTTGCTAATATTTTTTAGTTTGCACTGTAGTTCCAAATTGATCAAAATTCCAGCTTTTGCACTATTCAGTTTTTGAACCTAATTTTGTATATGAACACCTGTTACGAGATAAATATTTTCTTTTTATTAATTAATCTTTTTATTTATTTATTTTTTTTTTCTTTAAAAATACTGTGTTTGCCAAATTCAAAAAATAGTATGGAAATTCAATGTATTTCAAAAATTGGACAAAATTAATGATAATTAAAATTGAGAACAGAAAAATCAGTCTTTAAAACATTGTTTCAAACTGAAAAAGGCAAAGTTGGAAATTTGATAGATTTATAACTAATGTGGTAATATTTATTTGAGAAGTAGAACTTTGTTGGTTTTTTTTTTTTTTTTGGGGGGGGGGGGGGGGGGGGGAGAAATTGTTAGGACTTGTTGGTGTTTAAGACGGTAGAATAGGACTTATCGGTAATTTTTCTTACAATTTATTGTACAAGATGTAGGATAATCAGGTATGAGTTACTGAATGTGATTCTGTTGAAGCATTAGTGGATTTTGTGGATAATCAGGTATGGGTTGTATACTTTTTTATAATTATTTTAGGGATGCGCTCAAAAGGAGCACCTATTATTAATTTATTTTTACTTATCAGAAGGGGAAAAAAAAAAAAAAAAACTTAGAAAATGTGACGTTCAGTCATGGATATGTGGACATTATTAGGACCTCTTGGCATTGTATCCTGCAAGTAGTTCCTGTTATTGTTACTTTGCAGTTACATGTAGTCAGAACTTCTTAGTCTAAGGCATGGTTAACTAGTACACGCACTGAATAAAACCTGATGTCTATTCTAAATTCTCAAGTACTGTTATTCTTAAGTAAGATCCTTTCTTATTGTAATTTCATTATGCATTGCTAAGTATAGTATGTTATCTCTGCATCGTGTATTATATTGTTGCTTCAATCGTTTAAAAGGGCACATATCTTTTGCCATCAATGATTACTTTCTCACAAATTCTTTTATCATAACCCCTTACATTGTGGCAACTCAGATTGCTCGTCGTTTGTTGGGCAAAATTTTGATTGATCTGAGGAATACTCGTGAAGAAGCAATCAGTGTTGCTGAATTGAAGGGTAACCAAGACCAACATTCAAATCCCACTAAGAATGGGAAAGAAGATGCGGATTCTCATTCAAAGCCTCTCGTTAAGAATGAAGAGACAAGAAGAACTAGTTTCGCAAGTGAAAAATCAATGGATCAAGATGATGATGAGGATAAAGAGATAAAATATCGCTTGGACCCAAAGTGAATATATGATTCTTTTGATTTGTATAATGCAAGCACACACTTATATACATATGTGTATATATATATATATATCTTTATATTTTCTCTTCAAGGAGAGGAGGTTAAGTTAAGCAGAAATTTTATTAGAATAAAAAAGAAAGAAAGAAAAGGAAATATGTACTTCCGCATTATTGATTATATTCTTGTTTCTTCTATTATTTTTGTCAGGTATGCAAATGTGAAGACACCAGACAGACATGTGCGGACACGCCTTTATTTTACATCAGTGAGTAAATTTTTTAAAAAATTTATTACATGTCTGTCATTTTCTCCTATTTTTCTAATCCTGAATATTAAAATTTTACAATTTCCTGGAAGTATTCCTTGATCAACATAAGAAAATAATCATATAACCATCGGAAAATTCTTTTATCAATAACCAATTTGAGCTTATTTGAGAGAGATGTCAAAATCCAATATGGTTTAAACATCGTGGGTGCATAAAATTAAGTTACATATCTAAACTACAGATCGTTTTCATATTTTATTATTAAATATTCTTCTCTTATTTTATTGGATAATATATTCTTATGATCGGTTATTATATATGATTATCACTATGTGTTGCACAGTGCACTATATTATGATATTAGTTATTGGTTTTCAAAGTGGCTTGTGTGATTTGTGACGTGTCCAACATAATTTTATACTGGAGATGGACTGTCTCTGACATTTTCACTTAAGTTTTGTGTCAGAGGTGTCTATGTTCTCAATATTTATTTGTTGATCCCCTCATGTTAAACGCGTTATACTTCAAATGGCAGGAATCACATATTCATTCCCTAATGAATGTTCTCCGCTATTGTAACTTGGATGAATCTCTTCAAGGAGAGGGTAGCCTTGTTTGCGATAATGGTTTGGAGCGTTTGTCTAAAACCAAGGAGCTTGACTACATGAGTTATATTGTGTTGAGGATGTTTGAGAACACAGAGGTTGGTAGCTACCCGAATTCTTCTTTTTAGTTGTACCAATCAAATTTTCAAGTGGTGAAGACTACTTTTTGTGTTTCCCCTCAAGTTCATATGCTTTATTTTCTCTGGATATGCTCAAGTAATGAACATTTTTTATTTTTTATTTTTTGCGTTGGAGAAGTATATAAATCAGGTAGTAAACGAGCATTTTCTTAATCTACTACTGGTGACTAGTGATAATTTGATGTAATGAACATACCCCTATCATCCGATATAGATATGTGTGAAAGAAAAGAAACAGCGTTATTGATTCTTCTCCCATTCTTTTCATTTTTCTATTTCCTGATAGCATTCTTTAGCAGAACCGATTTTCTTATGAAAACCTTTTTCTTAAGATGTTATTTGTTCAGTTGAGTAAATATGTCTTTGAATGACTTGAGTTCTCTAAACAAAGTTAAGTCTCTACCATTTACTACTCCCAAAATGTTAATTAGAAAAGGCCTTAATCAAGGTCATCACCGTGTAGGAGAGATGGAATGGATATGGACTGTTCTCTGTTATCATCTGCACAAAGTGTGCATCTGAAAGGTTCCTTTTAACATAACAGTTCATTCTTGTAGACCTAACTTGTTTTGTTCCTTTTTTTGTTTTTCTTTTGTTTTATTTAAGGGCGTAACCCAGTACTTCTGGATAAGATACCCGTCTTTTAATTATGGAGAAGTTCTACAAAACATTTTTTTTTTCTATAATTGTCTTATTGTGCGGTAACTTCTATATCTTTTGTTAGCATTTAAATGTTACATTGTAGTTGCATTATAGGAATGAGAATTCATGATTGCCTTCCCATAACATGTTATGGCGAGACGATTGCAAGATAAGCCTGTTGGGACTCCTTTTTATCCTTCCATTTCTTATCTCACTGGGAAATTTGGAAGAATAAAGATCTAGTTTACGTAATTGCAAGGGGCCATTGTTGTTAGTGCATTAGTAAATGCTTGGGCTGTCATGAAAGTGGTTTGAATCATGATAACAGTTACTTTGTGCAAGTAATGTCAAAGTTAGGTTGGTACTGGGTCCACCCCTCTCAGCACCCTGGTTAATGGGGACGACACTGGGTAATTCCCTCTTTTATTTTATTCTTATTTGCAGTATACCTATGGAATCGCAGGTGTGTTATTTGGTTAGGAAGACGTCGAGAGTGACAAATAGTTTCTGTGGTTCATTTGTCCACTTGGTTAGATTCTAAAAGAGTCACATGGATCCTTGACTGTTGGACTTCTGCACAACTTTGGCAGTATGCTGTGCATACAGAAATTTGATAAGGAAAAAGAGTGAGATCCTTAAATGCTAACAGCAATCTAAAACAATATAAAGAATAAAGATTGATCTCATAGAGGTTTTATGTTAAATATGAGTTGCCATAATCTAGAATATGAATGTGACCTTGTTTAGAGCTAGAATTGTTTGTCGATAATGACTGATTAGGTTATACTAACATGTATTGTTAGTGTCTCATGCATTGCAGGTTCTATTCTTAATAATTTAATATCCAGGTAGCTGTTAACTTTTATTAAAGTTATTCTGGCCCGCTCAATGAGCTTGTGAAATTGCACTGCAGGTGGCTTTGGAAGACCCAAAAAGGTTCCGTGTTGAGTTGACTTTTAGCCGTGGTGCGGATTTATCTCCCTTGGAGGTAATGCATCTTCAGTTTATTTAGAGAGCTGTGGTTGAAAGATTACCTTTCTGCCTCATCCATTGGCATTGCGTTCACTAGATGCTTAAAATTAGATATTTTAAAATAGCCTAAACTATAATGTTTTTCCTGATACACTGCTATTCATTGCAGATGATTGACCTTAGACATATTCACATGTTGATATTGGATAAATTTAGCATATATTAAAGCTAACCCAATTAAAGCTTATGATTGTGGTATTTCGTTTGCAGAAAAACGATAGTGAGGCTGCTTCACTGCACCAAGAGCACACACTGCCAATAATGGGTCCCGAAAGGCTGCAAGAAGTAGGTTCATACCTGACATTAGAGAAAATGGAGAAAATGTTCCGCCCTTTTGCCATGCCAGCAGAGGATTTTCCTCCACCATCAACCCCCCAGGGATTCACGGGCTACTTCTCTAAAAGTTCACTAGTGCTCGAACGCTTGGTGAATCTTTGGCCCTTCCATAAGCATGGAGCTGCTAGTGGGAAGTGAGAAATGTCTATACTTTTTTTTCTCCCCCCTTCTCTGTGACATTATTTTATTCTTCTGTCTTTCATTATATCATTGATATCATCAAAAATGTTGAGGTACCACTGGAGGGAATTTTGAAGTGATCAACAAATAGGGGAAGCCGAAAAAAATGCTGACAGTAGGCAAAGTAGTTCACATTGCCTGTGAACAGTTTTCATAACCAAAATTTTCCCTATTGATGTAAATTGAAAATGTTTAGTAAAGGATGACCTCAGAAGACAGTTTTTAGCTATGTTGGCCTTTTCTGCAAGAAATTCGTGATTTTGCTTTCTCAGTTCCATTTATGGCCAGAAACAACTTTTTACAATTGCATTTTTTAAATTTCAGACAAAACAATGAAGCAATTAATCTATCCTTAAACCAATCCTCCCACATTGTGTGCTATTAAAATTCAATTTTTAATTCAAGCTCTATGCCCCGGAAGCCTGTGTTTTTGATAATTGCAGGAGCATTGCATGGGTGTCGTATAAATTACCTTGAAATTGACATCCTTCCAAGTTGCAGGTTTGTGAAACTGGGAATCAATGAATTGCTTTATGTGAGCAATCTAACGCAAGCAAGGATTCTTCGAATTTATTAATTGCACGCATATGTTGGAATCTTTGGAAAAGTCCAATCAAATTGCTGTCTAAAGGCGCACTATCATGTGGGCAAGAATTCTATGTTGCAGCTTCGAATATCCATCACTCTGTCGCATCTGGTTCTGGAGAGTTAATTCCCCAATGGGTTTCCCCAAGAAGGCCCCGTGAAACTTAATTTTATACTGCATTTAGATTCCTAAATTCCGTTTGTTTCGATGTATAATATGTTTTAAAATATATTTTTTATTTTTTAATGTTTGGTTGCCGTAAAATATTTATAAAGAGATACCTACAATCTGGGATGGAGAGATCATCTGAATTTTCGTGGAGGCAACCAGTCCCAAAAAGTTCGACATTTCAAAATCAAGGGCATCAAAATTAGTCCTCTTCTCAATTCCTAAATAGGCAATTTCAGGCCTCTTTAAATTACCATCCACCTTATAATCCAAATGTTTCTACTCCATCTCCTATGTTTCTAACTGATGAGATTTTGGTGGCAAATAAACAAATGATGGAACCCTTTAATAAGCAAATTTTAGAATCTAACAAGTAACTGTTGACATCATTGCAGTCCACTCTCCAAATGATTTACTCACATACTTGGTCAATAGCTAAACTTGAGAATCAAGTGGGACATATAACTAATTCGATGAACCAACTTCTTGAAAAGGATAAGGGAAAACTTCTCGCTCAACCATTTGAGAATCCTAGAGGGATTCATGTGATTGACGAAGTCCCTCCTACGAGTGTACCTAATCATGAACATGTCCAAGCAATCACCACCCTTCGGAGTGGTCGAATTGTGGACAACAAGGTTGATGGAGGAAAAGATGAAAAAGTTCTTCCTCCCAAAAATCCAAATCTCAGCTCATCTAATCCAACTTTCACTCCTGAAAATCCAAAGTCCAGCACTGAAAATCCCAAGCTTGTTACCCCAAATTGTGGAGACCTCTTATAAGCCTAAGGCTCCGTTTCCTCAACGTCTCTAAGAGTCGATACATTTTGGAAATAAAGGTTGTAAAATTCAGGACATGTGGGAGGTCTTTAAGCAAGTAAAGATCAACCTACCTCTCTTGGATACTATCAAGCAAATTCTTCCTTATGCCAAATTTCTCAAGGATTTATGCACTCAAAAATGCACTTCCAAAAGTCATTTACTAAAGAAGGTAAAACTAATTGAACAACTGAGTGCGATAATTCAGCACAACACTCCTCCAAGGTATAAGGATCCGGGTGCCCTCACAATCTCATGTGTCATTGGTGACAACAAGATAGAAAAGGCCCTCCTTGACTTAGGAGCGAGTGTGAACTTGATTCCTTATTCAGTTTACTTACAACTTGGGTTGGGCAATCTTAAGCCAACCACCATGGTCTTACAGCTTGCCGATAGATCGGTCAAGCACCCACGAGGCATTCTTGAATATGTCATTATCAAAGTGGACAAATTCTACTTTCCAGTAGACTTTGTGGTTATTGACACGGAACCGGTCCATGATCCAAAGAAACATATTCCCATGATCTTCGGTAGGCCCTTCTTAGTTACGGCTAATGCTTCAATAAATTGCCGAACCGGGGTGATAAATATCGCTTTTGGAAATATGCAAGTCAAACTCCATATCTTCCATTCAACTCAACATCCTCTTGATGAGGATGATTGTTTTCTCATTAATGTGTTAGATGAAGTGGTCGAAGAATCTCTCCCTTTCATTATAAGTAAGGATTCTCTTGAAACTTGCATGTCTCATTTTGACTTCGGAAACTATGATATTGACCAATCTATCTAAGAAGTTAATTCTTTGCTCGAAGTTGGTGCTGTCATGGACTTTCCCTTTTGGAAAGTGCTAAGAGAACCACTTCCTCAACTTTCTAGCACTCCTCCGATACCTTCATTGAAATCTCCTCCACAATTTGAGTTAAAGCCACTCCACCTCAAGTATGTGTTTTTTGGTGCAAATAAAACTCTTCCAGTCACCATTGCATCAAACCTTTCAAAGGATCAAGAAAATAGCCTTTTAGTGGTGCTACAAGAGTATAAAGAAGCTATTGGCTAGGTAGTGATTGATTTAAAAGGAATCGATCCCTCTATTTGTATGCACCGCATTCATATAGAGGACGACGCCAAACCTTCTAGAGAGGTGCAGCACCGGTTGAATCCTAACGTGAAGGAGGTGGTTATGAAAGAAGTGATTAAGCTACTAGATGCGGGAATCATCTACCCCATCTCGGATAGCAAGTGGGGAAGACTCACTCAAGTTGTTCCCAAATATATCTGGCCTTACCGTTGTTGAAAATTTAGCGGGAGAACTCGTGCCACAATGCACCACCACCCGGTGACGTGTGTGCATTGATTGCTGAAAACTCAACTTTACCACTAAGAATGATCATTTTTCACTCTTATTCATTGATCAAATCATAAAGAGGCTTGCCGGCCAAAGCTACTACTGTTTTCTTGTCCATCAATTTTTGACAAATTATTTTAAACACGCAATCCGCATGGACTCATCTATACTTTCACCAAACACCAAAAAAAATAAAAATTAAGAAAGAATGTTTTATCGGATAATAATACTTTACGACCGCGCGTGGGGTGTAGTGGTGAGAGACCACCTTGGCAGAATTAATAACCTTTGTGTTTTTTATCCCCCACACTGCACCAGCTAATTTAGCTGAAGCTCTTGTTGCTCATATGCTGTCTCAAGTGAATATGAGTATGAAAATAAGGTTTTATTGGGCAAACGGGTAATAATGTTTCAGTTGTAAATTTGTCCCTTCAAGATGAAAAAAAAAAAAAATAATAAAAAATGAATCGCTTAATGTATATTTCTATTTGCTGAAATAAAGATCCACTGATAAAGCCACAAATGAGAACAAAGAGCTGATCAGAATGTAATTCAAACACATACACAAAGTAAACCAAGAAAGTTCCAACAATTTTGATTGAATTTTGAAATGAAACCATAAGTTCTCATCATCAGCCAGAAATAGGTGTAAAGTACAATCAATCACTATATATATTATATATTCGCGGTCAAGCAGCGAACTTTGGCAGCTCTCTGTGCTTCTCAATCTTCTTCTCCAGCTCATCCTTTTTCGCCCCAACCACTCTATCTATTTCCTTCCCCCGTTTGATCAACACGAACGTTGGCATCGCCTGCACTCCAAACTCCTGCGCCACATCCTATTATTCCCCCCCCAAGTAACAGATCAAAAACCCTAATCAGTCAACGGTCTATCTAAAATTAATCAGCTGATTGTATCAAAATTAGACGGTTAAAATTGAACGTACCGACAATTCATCAACATCGATCTTTACAAAGTCAACTTCGGTGAACTTGGCAGCCATGGCCTGGATCGCCGGCTCCATGAACTTGCACGGCCCACACCACGACGCCGCGAAGTCCACCACTATCTTCACTCTCACAATAAGGCAAAACAAAATCAGATCTTTAAATTGATAAAAACCCTAATTGATATATATATATATGTGTGTGTGTGTGTGTGTGTGTGTAAGTGTACCAGTTTTGGGGATTCTTTGGAGTCGTTAAAGTGGAGCTGCCATCTGTTGGATGAGTGAAAAGCAATAACACGAGAGTCCGACGAGGAAGAGGAGCCGTCGGTGGTGGAGGCGCCGCCACCCAAGAAGCTAGAAAGAATCGCACCCATGGCTTCTGTTTTTCTCTCTCTACAAGAAAAGAAAGGATAACAAAAATGAAACCACAAACACGGTATACCTAGACGGTATTCAACTGTCTATGTATTTCCTTGTTATATCTTTTCTAACAAAAAAAAAAAAAAAAAACAAAAAACAAAACGCATATAAACTTGTACAATTTCAGTTTGAGTTGCATAAATGGACCATTTTTTTAAAAAAATATTTAACTTTTTGTTTTCTACTAAAAATATTCTCTAGTTGTTTACATCTAGTGGATTATGAATTTTATAATGTCAGGAATCTTAGACTTTTTATTAAGAAAATAAGGCATATAGAAGGTCCAACGTATTATCAGTGTATCAAATTTTGATTTGAATTCAATTTGAACTTGATCTTATAATTTGGATATAGATCAAAAATTTAATTTGATAATCCGTTAACTATTCAATTCCGATAATCCATTTAGTTAACAAATTGAATATGTATCTTGGTCAATTCAATCCGATCAAATATTATCTATAATATGTTATCTATCTATATATATATATATATTATTTATTGTGTGTATTTCATGAAATATTTAATAAAAGATATACTTTACACACTGGTTTATCATGTATATAATTGAAAATTTTTGTTAGTTCAAAATTTCTCCCCTTTATTAATTTCTCTCTCTCTTTATTATTATTTTTCTTTACTTAACAAATCAAATGTTTGGTCTTTATTCTTTTTTGTTGTTCATTTTTTTTTTTGGGGTCATTTCTCTTTTTCTCTCACTTTTCTTAAATTATATTTTGAAAATTTTAACAAAAAAGTACAAATCTTAAAGATCGGGTTATCGGATCGGATGTCCGATAAACTAAAAATCAAATATGGATTGACTTTCATACAATCTAACGGAGGGTTGGCTATATTGTTTATCGGATTCAGATCAGGTCAGATCCGATCCAAATTTGATCCGTTAACAGGTTTACTATCAAGTTTCAGGCTAAAATAAAATAGGATAAGTTACACTGAATTTCCCTTAGGTTTGGGCAAATTACATAGATAGAACGTTTGACTTTTATTGCTTTGACCTCCTCTAAATTTTGACAAGTGTACTCAACAACACCACTTACCATTAATGAAAATTAAAAAAAATGACTAAGTTGTCATTTTTTTGTATTAAAAGATCTTAATAACCTTATATTTTGACATGAAAATAGCAAAAATATGATAAAATGTCAATGAAATGCAAAATATAAAAAATTTCACCAATTTATATATATTAAATTTTACAATAACAATTTTATTTTTTTGTTAATGATATTTGATTAGGTTTATTTTTAGGGGTTAATTATGAAAAAAGAAAAGAAAAGGTAGAATAATATAGTGTTTATATGATGGAGAAAAAGATAAATAAAAAATTAATAAAATCTTTTGATTTGGCTGATTTTTTAATTAAACTATTATTAAATTAGATAAAATATGAAAGACATGTCATCCTCTTAAGAAGGTCAAAGTTCCCACATAGCCCAACAAAAGATGCCTTAGATTAGACCAAAAAAACAGATCCCTCTCACACGTGAGAGTGCGAGGATAATAATAGGCAGAATCTCCCAAGAGGGTTTCTTCAATTGTCTGTCTTGTATTTTCACTCTTCTTACCATGTTAAAATTCTCTGCCCATGGACGACCCAAACCCAAACCGAAAGTAGCCTCAACCTCATCACGTTGTAGAGCAGGGTGTTGGTAAATATATGTTTCATATGACATTTAATATATAACTAATTTTATATTAATATGCTTTAAGATAATTAATAATATGTTAAAAATAATTAATTAAATATACAACTCAATATTTAATTAAACATTCAAATTAAAATAATAAAATAATAATAATAAATAAATAATCTGGACAGAGACTAGTATTTGATACTATGTCCTTAAGATAATTTACGTCTCGCTCGGTGTTAACGGACTCAATTGCATTTATCTATTAGGATACAACGGTCTACATCCACCGATATCAGTATTATAAACTTATGGATACGACGAATCTCCTCTGTATAATACTTTTTCTGACTCACAAATGCATTTATACATAAAAAATGATGAAATTGGTGCAACTCAAACCAAATGGCTCTAACCAATTTTAATATGGCTCATCCATATTATTCTTGGGTCTTAGTGGCTTGGACCATTTGACACATGGCTTGAACCTAAACCCACTTGAGTTGGGTTCATGTTGAGAGAGGGAGAGAAGAATGAAAAAAATGCACAACTTTTACAAATGAATTATATGGCTATTTATAGAAGAATATAAGTCACGTTGGTTCAGTCATTGGGCGCATCCAATCAGATATCCTATCATTATATAATTGAAATAACTTCCCCAACTACTAACTGTCAATTGTCATCTTTCAGTTGCATCCCATTGTTTCTTATTAATTATAAGATTGGTTATCAAACTCTCGTAAAACTAAACAAGTGGCATTCATGTTAGCGTAACATAACATTCATGGCCACCCAAAGCCAAATTAACGTTGTTTTGGAAACATCTTAAACAAACGTCGTTTTGTCAGGTGACACGACCACCTGATGCAATAGTTCAAAGGGTTATGACTGATTTATGCAATCTTTGGGAAGTAAAGGTAATAACTTTCTAACCATTCAACCGTGCAACTATTTTGGTATTATACCACAACGTAATTCACACCACAACACTACTACGTAACTTGTGTGAGATCCAAACATTTCCAAAATGATTTGTTGGTAATTTTCATTCAAAATACCAACAGAGGGGACCATCTTTTTGTGTACTTTTGGACGGGTAAGGAATAAGGAACCCATCGGCAGAGTTTAGATTCCTATACACAGATAATAGATTGTATTGCCTTCAATAATTTCAAACTCTGAAAATAGTTTAAGCCATTAACAAATTACTTCAACGCTCGATTTAATGGTCTTAGATTTTCAAAATAATTTGTTTACCTCAACAACTTATTTTGAGATCGACAATACATTGGCTCTGCCTACTTTCAAGCTCTTCATATTTTGTGATAAAAAATAGATAATTTGCACTTACATCCTTTGAGGTTTGGGTCAACGCCACTAAGTGGATGATCAATGTACTAATTTATATTGATACCTCATGAGGTTTTAAAAGTTTTTACACACACTCCCTCTACCCAAAAAAAATAACTATCTTAACCTTTGACTTGGTCAACAAACACAAAAAAAAGTTTAAATTACTAATATAGTCCTCAATATAACCTCATTTTACATTCTTTCTAACCCTACACAGTACCTCTATCCTTACCATACATTTTCTATCTCTATCATCCCATATGGATACCCTCTCTGTTGTAGTGGATGTTCTTGGGTCTCACTTTGCTTCGTACAAGTGAATAAGAGAAACCCAAATCACGATCGGGCGTGTGTAGTGGCAACGATGGTGCAGGTGGGGATGGTGGTTGGCGGCAACGATGGTTTATGGCGGCTCTATTTCTCCCTCATTCTCTGGTGTTGATTGTGTTGGAAGGCCAAGATTCAGTCCGCTACAACCATGCACCCACGACGAGAAACCCTAAATCGAACCCAATTTGAAACCCAATAAAACCTATTGATCACCATGTTTGTTAGATGCAAGTCCACTGATTCAATTATTCAGAGGCAAAAGCCATCACCGCATCGTCGTTCTTCTCTTCACGGTGTGAGGGTTGTGGCGGTGTGTGGTGGTTGTGGCGGCGGGTGTGGCGTTGTGCGGCGATTGTGGCGTGTTTGGCTGTAGTGGCGGTTATGGCGTTGTGGCAGTGTGGCGTATTTGACGTGCAGCGATGTGCGGTGGTTGTGGCATGTTTGGGTGTGGCGTTGTATGTGCAGGTGTTTGTTTTGTGGTGTGTGGCGTGATTGTTGTGTGGCAGTGTGTGTGGCGGCGTATAGGTGATGGGATTACAGGATTAAGGTTATTATTGCCAATTAACAGGTTCAGTGTCAATGTAAACTAGTTCCTTGATCGACAACTAAGTGACATATATTGACCCAAATCTCAAGGAGTGTGAATGTAATTTATCAAAAAAAAAAAAAACCTCATGCACAAATATAATTTTTTTTTTCTTGAATAAAAATATAAAAATATATATAATTTTTTTTTTTTAATTTTATGTAATAATTATTTGTTGTATTATATATTTTATTATTAACATTTTATAATTGTATTTTTAATATTCAAGACTTAAAAAATTTGGGACTAATTAGTAACAATTATACTACTGTGATATTATACTTTAAAAAATTATATTTATAATATTCAATACTTAAAAAATATTTCTAAAAGTATCTAAAAAGTATATCATACATTTATAAATTAAAAAAAGAAGAAGTTAAAATTATAATTACGTTCAAAATGTATTCTAGAAGTGTAATTGAGCACATCTGAGCATACAAGAATTATATTATCTAACACCGATATGGGTACTTCCTCCCTTACATGAATAGGTTTCCATTCTTGGTACGTGGTGCTTAATTGTCATTTCGAGATTCAATACATCTACATTAACTACAATAATTGAAATTGGAAAGCAGTTACAAATAAAGAGAAAAACAAAAATATTCATTTCCGAAATTAAAGAACAATACGTAGTAATATTGAACCTTGATAATTTCTTTTTGATGAGTAACAAGCTCATAACAGGAAGAAGGTAGGTCATAATGCTGTGTATATGCAGCTTATATAGTTATATTGTTGAATTTGTGTAAGCTGAAGAAGGTGTGGAGCAGAAATCATTTCTCGATACCTTCTGGGATAAGTAACATTTCTCGACGCAAATAGGAAAAAAGACGATTGATTCCAAAACTGGGTGTCTTTAAGGGGATGTAGCTCAGATGGTAGAGCGCTCGCTTAGGTTAATTATATATCCGAAATGGCAATTGAATATTTCACATCCAGAAGGGTCCGACAGTTCATTGTTTGGTCCAAAATCAATAGAAAAGGGCTGATTTGATCAACCAATATTGACAAATCACCACCTCGACTAACATCTAACCACTCAGCCTGTCCTCTCCATCAAAGTCAAAAGGGCAATTTTCAACATGTGAGATTACCA